CGGGACCGGCGGAACAATCTCGTGCCCAATTTTCGTCGCCAGCAGCTTCTATGGGGCCCTTTGCTCCTCGCCAAGAAGCGAGCCGTGGGGCAGAGAATGGTGCGGCCGCAATAGCTGGCACAGCGGCTGCGGCGGGTGGGGGTGCAATGGCGACAGCTGGCGGCAGGGCAGCGACAGCTGGCAGCGCCCCGGTAAAACCGTCGGAGGTGGTCCAAGCGGTGGCGGACATGCTGGCGGCGGCGGATTTGCCGCTGGGGTTGGAGGAGGGCGCGCTGATGGAGCGCGCGCTGGGGCTGCAAGAGCAACTAGGCGCAGCGGAGACGCTGCTCGAGGGCGCGGAGTCGCGCGTGTGCGAGGCGCAGCGCGAGGTCGAGGCGGCCAAGAGCGCGTGGACGTGCAAGGTGTGCCTGGGGGAGGAGGTGACGTCGGCGCTAGTGCCGTGTGGTGAGGACACGTGGCTGACGAACTGGACGGAATCAAAGAGTTTGGTCCGTGCATAACAGTCGGTTGTATGCTTGATGAGCGTCAATAACATTCGTAACGCATTGGCGACGCACCCACCTTTTCTACATTGTTTTCCAGAGCTTTGTTCCAAGGGGATCGCTCATAGTGGGTTCGTGTGCCATTTGACGAACACGGCCGCTCGAGATTTGTGGATCTGGTGCGTGGCAGGCGGCGTAACGTATTTGTTGAGCTTTTGAATCCATTGCTGCAAAGACCCTGATTTGCTGGTCGAAAGAAGCAAACGTTGTTTCTTTTCCTCTTACTCTTTTAGCCTCTTCACAAAAGTTGCGCGGCGAGTAGCAGGTCATGAAGCTGGCACGAAGGAGCACCGTAGCTGAGATAGAGCATCTCTGCTTGTTTATGAGAAAAATCGTCGGCTGATCTTACCACCGTTGCCGTTCAGGTCACTTGTTCTGTACCACCTGCGGTGTCGGAGTTGGTGGAAGATGCCCCTTCTGCAGGCGACCTGTCAGCAGTATCTTGCGCATCTACAAACCGTAGCCTTTCTTCTCCACGTCGAATCCTTGAAAGACTTTTGAGTTCCAATGTAACAAACTCAGTTCTAGAGTTCTCCGACGGGACGGAGCACGACCTGAGACCCATGCGTGCTATCCTTGATATATGCCCATGCAGATAAAAACGGGACCCGAATAAGCGAGAACATGCATGAAGATAGATCTAGTGCACGGGAACATAGATGATACTTTGTGGATGCCACCTCTGCTCGTTTCCTGGGTAAGCTTGTGTGAGCACTATCACAAAGATTAGATTTGTTTGTCTGCCAGTGTTGCAGTGCAGACGGTTCGTGTTATGTGGGCCGGACTTGATGTCATTAGTGACGCCGCATATATCCACATGTATCATGAACAGCTGTCGCGTCTTTGCATTCAGAGATTGATTCTCACAAGACTTGGCATTACTTCACTTTTTTAATCAAGCCGTTTTCACCCTCACAATCACAAGTTTCTACAGCTTTATATAGAAACTCTCCGGAGATGCTTACCGCTTATGAAGATTCTCAAGCGCGAGCTCCTTATAGCACGAACCCTTCGGAAAACGGACAGACCTGCACATGTGATACCTCCTTCCCTTTCCGCCTCGAGTGGAATACCAGTTCCTGCATAATGCATAGCTGCTCATGCATGATGCAGTATGTCGAAGGGTGTATATAGCATCCGAAAACCTAGGAATGCAGAAGAGACACGGCATGATGTAACGATGTACTGTTAACGAGGCCAAGCGTTACATCGGAAAGTTGGTCGCTAAAATTTTCCGCTCTTTACTGAACTATCTATCGAGTATATTCCCAGCGCAATGATGTGGTACGCATGAGCGTACGTCCCTCCGACTCCCCCTACAGTATACTGACAAGCTACCGTCAGTGAATACCGAAAGTGATGAGCAGCACAGTCCAGACAATGGCAGGCAACGAGATCACGTCCACATTATGGGCGCAATGTTAGATCGGAGTCAACATCATGGGACGAGGGAGTCAAGGGAGCAAGAAAGCCAGGACCTGGATCCCTGACGACGTTGCTTCTGTCTACAAGCTTCTTCTGCTAGTCCTTGTGCCTCTCGCCGTGCTCCAAGGCCTCCCTCTGATCTCCAAAGTGAGGATTCCATCTGTCTTCGAGGCCGCCGCGAAAGTTCACCCAAAAGCTGACGATCTCCCTCACCAGGGTCCAGGTAGCGGGCAACTTAGCAATGATCCACTTCCTGTTTCAAAGGCCGTCAATATGCTGACCTTAAAGTCTGAATGCCTTCAGAGCATGGGAAGTTGGCATTATCAACCGACCCCGAGAGATATTGCATGGGACGTCACATGCAGGAAGGAGCTTCAAACATGTGACCTAAGCTACATGGCGCAGCTCAGCATAAACCGCACGGGTCATTTGGGGAAGCTTGCAGGGCAGGCGCATTGGTTTGTGAGAGATGGTCTGAAGTTTCGCTGGGATACCGAGTCGCAGGACTGCCCGATGTTGCCGGTGAACAGGTGCAGCTGCTATTCTCTCCTTGCTTTTTATGATAAGATTGTAAAGCAGACATGGATCTCTTAAAGCGTGCACAAGACTTCGGTTAAGATCTTAACTCCGTGATTTCCACTTCACATCAGCTTGAGCTGGTTTCATAGAGGAACGTTGGATGATTGTGTAGTACACGCTCTGAAGATCTTTCAAGTTGTCCAGACTTTCAAGCATCAATATATTGCGCAGCATTCTGGACATACAAAGCTTTCACATTGCAGAAGTGCCTTCTGTTCGCAATCTTCAGGTTCAGCATTTGAGTATTGCAGACCTGCGAGATGATGCACTTGATGAGTTTCCCAACGCTACATGTTCTCTTCTGCGTTTATCTGCTCCGATGACAGTGGAGCTAATGCCAAAACTTTCATGATTCTGCTGCAATCATCTTCACTTTTGTAACGAAGGTCTCATCATTGTCAAGTTCTCTGCAGGACAAACTTCTGCCATCTCATTGGCCCCGGACAAAGAATCCTTGTTCTTGGGGATTCCATGAGTGAGCACTTCGCGGTCGCGCTTAAGAGCCACCTCCACTGGACCTTTGGCAACAAGGCCGAGACAAGAACGCTCTCGTAAGTAGAGTACCATGACTTTGAAGGGTATTGTATTCCATCACGCCCTTGACCGGACAAATATGAGAAGCTGCAGATAGTTTCAAATGCACATTTTCTGCCTGGGCATACTGTCCTATAGGAAGTTGATCTGGAGGATCTGATTTGGTCTCCCTGTATCTCCAATTTACGTCTACAAATCAATCAGTACCAAGATCAGATTCAGCATTTTTCTCTTTTATCTTCTCACCCAAAGTTGCTTCTTCAGCCTGCCCAAGGTAAGTGCAACCTTGTGCAAAGCGGTTCAAAGATTTTGACAAGCCTGTGCAATTGACTCGCAGAGATCTTTGAACATTGCCAAAGAACTTTATATAAGGGATTCAGCTCAAATGAAAGCTTGTTTATTTGTGAAGGAGGGGAAGCTGGGATTATCGACGCTCGGGCAAATTTGACCGTACATACTTTTTGTTTGACAGAAACATTCTTCGGCTTATAGCACCAAATACCTCCGTTTAATTGCAGGTCAAACGATACTACCTGTACTCCTGCTCGGGACCTCTGTGCTGACGTGTTTCTTACGTCTGCACACGATACTGAGACGGTCAAATTTGTTAGAAGCGATCAGCTCGGCCATGTGGACGAAGGTACTTTGGTGGGGAATACGAAACACGAGCCATGGCTGCACGAGCTGACTCCAGAGACCAAGCTTGTGATTTTGAATCAAGGGCTGCATATTCAAAAGGACGGGGATCACACGTAAGTTTATGCCGCGCTTGGAGAAAGAAGTGTCTCCTATGCTGCTTGACATGCAACAAGGAAGCACTGGGTAGCGTAAGTCAGCATGATGCTCGTTGTTTGTGGCTTGGTTTGAAATCCCTTATCGAGAGGGACGTCTACAACCGATTTGTCCGTCCGGTTTGTCCTGTGCAAGGAATTCCTTCAGTCTTCAATGCCTGGGAGGATGAGCGGAACGAGATGTAAGTTTGAGGTACCTTCAGCTCTTTCCGAAACCACCGGGTGCCTCAATTGCGGTCACTAAATTGAGTTCAGCTTTGAGGATCGGCCATATCTGCTTCGTTTGTTTCTCCCTTCGACTCATGTTTTGCTAACCAGAGTTTCACGACTCGATTGCAGCAAGAGCCTGACAGCAGCGATCCGGCTCATTCGAAGTCGGCTCCCGCACGCGCTCGTGATCTTTCGAAGCACCAGCATCGGCCACCTCAGCTGCGAGATGTATGAAGGTCCACTTGCGTTGGAACAGAGCAACGATCAGCTCCCTTACGGGTGGGATAACGTGAGGAGGCAGAATGAAATTGCGAAGAAGATTGCGGCCGACCTAGGCGTTGTGTACATGGACGTTATGAGGTAAGAAGAAGACGTCCTGAATTCTTACTGTTTACAATACATGTTTCTAGAGCTTTCGGGGGTCTCTCGGACGACCATTTTTCCAGGAATGTCACATGAAGTAGATGCGACCCTTTCAAGAATCCGAAGTTTGGAGTTTCGGATTCATAGTTGCTTCGAAAAGTGTGACCAAATTGGTCTCTGTAGCCTTGAATGTAATCTTTGATAGCTGCAACTGGTTCGCGGTCTCTTCCAGCGTCTTCCTACAGGAATTATGTTGTCTTGCGCAATCCGCTGGGATTGAAGTCATGATATGGGGCCTGAATAAGATCATGCAATCTCTCCGGCCTGCTCGGTCTCCAGCCGTGACTTCCGCATTAACCGGACACTAGGACACTAGGATTTTGCCAAACTGCAGGATGTGATCAGAAAGTTTCTTCTTGTAGGATGACCGCTCTGCGTCCAGACTCCCATCTGAAGCCTTTTCAAGATCAGGACTGCTTACATTACTGTGTGCCCGGGCCCCTTGACGCTTGGGTCTCGGTCCTCTACAACCTACTATTAGCAAATGCTACGCTTGCATAAATGATAAAGGCACATGCGCCATTTGAGAAGAGCAGGAACAGTCGGTCGCCATTCAGTAAACCGTACCAGCGTTCAAGCGTTCAACTTTCGTCAGGTCCGACGCTAAATATCATCTATGAAACGTTCCAGGAGTTCAGCGCAGACCTTACGTTACCTGCTAAATTGTTTACCATCATACTGTCCGTTACCGCTTGTACTATAATTGGTGAGATCTGGGCCAGACAATCTAGATTTCTAACGATATTAAGTGACTCTGGTACTGTATCCACAAATTATAGCCAATTTTTTAAAAGAGATTGTCTTTCAGTTTTTGGCAGCTTTTTCTAAGTACCGTTTCTCAATAAATGTGCCGCAAAGTTGGAAGATTTTCAGACTAATTCCGGCCGGATAGAAGAATTCGACTTCATCCGGGATGCACCGCTCTGTACATCCATATGACATATGTAGTATGCGCACAACCGCATGCACATATTCAGCTACGCAACTAATATTCAGGATCTTGCTGAAAAGTCACTGCAAACACTAATCAGCTCTCGCTTATCGTGTGGAACCGGACCCATGCACTGAGGCCATTTGCGAGCCTTCCAACCAAGTCCATTCTGACTGCCTCGATCAAACAATTGCTTGTGATAAGCTCGTCATTTCTACGCGAGAGGGGCGCGACCGATCATGTTTTCAAGTTGTTTGCTATATGCAGCGTGATCATTATGCACGCTGTCTTTCTGCCATTCTTAGTGTCAAATATTATTAAGAGGCCCTTTTGCAGTTCCAGGTAGCGAGTGATGGCGGAGACCCGCGGGGCCGCGGCTCCGGCCGACCACACATGCATTGACATGCATTCACGAGCAGCTTGAAGACATACTATAGGGTTGGGACTCCGAGTAGGGCTTTTGGTTTTACATTACGGTGTAATTACCGTACCGTAAATTACCCTGTAATTTACGCCGTAATTACGGTCAGGCCCGGTAAAGCAATTGAAGTTACGGTTTGGGCGTTACGGTGTAATGACGGTCCGATTTCTGCTTTACAAGTGGTAAGGCGTAAGTGTAAAGCGTAAAGCAAAGTTACAGCTGGGTTAAGAGAAGTTTTGAGTTACCCGCGCTTCTAACCAAGTTTTAGTTTTTCTTGATTTTTGCAACTTTTACTATATATTCGGATAGTTTCGGATGGGATATATTACTATATTGCCATTTATGCTTAGAAAATGCATTTTTTTGGTCGGTAACGCTCAGCATGAGGCATCTCTTTGCTTTACGGTCTGTTTGCTTTACCAAAGTGGAATTATGACCGTAAAATTACGGCGTACCGTAAAGCAACCGTAAATGACGCCGTAAAGCATTACTTTTTTTTTTTTTTTCCCCCCCCCCGCAGGGAGGAAGGTGGGCATCCCCCTCCGAGCTAGGGTTCCCCTCGGAACCGCACTAGCTCGAGGGTTCAAAGGATGCTTAAAAACAGACCGGGTTATGCTCCCGGGCCACCTCCTTTTATCGAGCAATAAAGTCGGTGATAAATCACTAGTAGTGGAAGTTGATTAAAAAGCGATCAAGCAAATCTATATGGTTGCGCCGTTATCATCGAATGAAGGAGATAAAACCAGGTAGCCCTTATTGTTAAGTTTGCAAAAGGGAACCATTTGTGTCCACAGATGCAAGAATCGTTTTATGCGCCGTCTTTTGTTTTTTGTGTGAGAGGTGCGGAGGTTATAATAGAGAACTTGGACAGATTGTAATAAACGGCATTTTATAGTAGCAATCGATTCATTAGAGGTAATCATTGTTGCTCGGAATATTTTTTCATTTCGCGCGAGCCAAATTGCACGAAGTGTTTCGGCGTGAAGAAGTTTCCATGGGGCAATTTCATGAGATGGAATGTTAGTGTTATAACCAAACAGCAAAGCAGACACATTCCATGTTTGGAGATCATGATTCGGATACAATAGTGAGAATTTGTTTCTTAACCAAGAACGAACTACGAAAGTTCGTAAAGCATTACAGTCAACCTGTGTTACGCCGTAAACTAAAACCCCTAGAACTTGGGAGGGGTATATATCCAGGCGCGCGCCGCGAATGTTCTTGTTTGCAGCAGGGTCACGCTCGCCAAAGCGCCCTTCACTGTCTGCGATCCCTAGGTCCCCAAACACAGATTCTCGGTCGAGTTACGTGGCCCCTTTCTAAGGTTGAAAGGTTTGCATGCACGAAGGGCTACGTCACTAATGATGACTTTTAAGTTGATTTGGGCATCGTGTCAAAACATATGTGCAGTGGCCTCCGGACCTCCGGTTTTCTGAATTTTCTTGGTGGGGCTGGTGGCCGGTTCTCGGAGCTCCGTGGCGAAGAGTCAAGGGGGCTGGTGCCCGGTGCCCGGTTGACCACTTTCACAGCATTTCAAAAGTCACATGTCTCGAGAAATCCCGCCTATAAATATATCTGGATCCATAAGAACGCAAGAGGCTGTCTTTCTCTAAACAATGTTGCATCCTGTGAGCATGCTTTCCAAGTTCAGGCCCAAGGAGTCCATGGCAGCCTACAATAGGTTGTTTGTAATGGAAACTCATGAGCTGGATTGCAGGAGATGGTTCATGGAGTATGAGATTTGAGCTAGAATCAAACACAACGATGGTACTCCTGAAATGTACCAGCATTCAGACTCAGATTCAGCCCGGTCAGCTTAAGTTAAGCACCTGTGATATGTGTCTGACCTTCCCACTTGAGCATGCATATGCTCAACTTGATGTTGCCCAGTAACTCGGTGAGCGCAACTCTTTAGTTAGAGCTCGGGACACAATCTACGAATACAGGTTTGCTACCAGCTATTATAGGTCCCCGTGGAAGGCCGCAGTATGCTCCCCGCTGCTGTCTAGAGTGACTTTCAAGTATTCATCAGCATATCAACATGGACAGTATCTCCAAGGCAGGAGTGGACAGAAGGTTGGCCTGTTGTAGTGAGCTAAGCGCGGCTAGAGCCTCAACAGCACCTAGACGAGCGCCGACACATCCTTGACGAAGGGGTCCAAGGGCTTGCCAATCGAGTAGACGATGAAGCCGATTTTTCGTAGCTCCTCGGGGTTGATGATGTTCCTCCCGTCGAAGACGAACGCGGGCTTGACCATGTTGTCGTACACCTTCTGCCAGTCCATTTTCTTGAACTCGTCCCACTCGGTCAGAATGCACACGCCGTGGGCGTCCTTCGTGGCTTGGTAGGGGTCCATTACATACCCGACCTTCTGAGCGGAAGCGGGGCTGGCGGGCTGGATGTGTGCTGGATGGTCCCAAGCTGCAAGCAGGGAGACGGCTCTGTGAGCAGCAGCCTAGAAACAGACCGCGTAGTTGCTTCACTTGCGTTGAATGTGTACAATCCTGAGCAGGATACTGCTTTATTAGTCGATGTACGTACACGGCTTGTTTTAGAGCAAGCCACCGATTGGTTTCGGTCGCATTTGTCTCTCGACTCAATTTGCGTTTTACAACTAACGAGATCGTTCAACATCTTGTCTGGCCCAAGGCACGAGGTTATGAGCTCCGCCATCTGTCCAATTATTGAAGATGTCATCTGCCCCCCGACTCATCAATGGAACAAAGTTGTCGAAACAAGGTATTGTTTCAGATCGATCGTCAACCTCGAATATCAATTAGCGAAAGGCGCGAAGTCGTCAAGAAACGGATCCCCATCAGCTGCTCATTAGCTCTGTTAGCCGCATGAAAAGGTTCGCATCACTTACCGAACTTTTCTTGTGACAGGTCCCGTCTCATTTGCTCCTCCGTAACCTGAAGGCCATCCAATTGCACGAGTCAGGATGAGCGGCCTTCGAAGTGCAAAAATGGACAAAGCTCTTTGCAGGACAGTCTGTGTTGCACAGAGCGGTATGTCTCAAATCAGGCTCCGCAAGTAACTTCCGTGCCGGCCAGGCTTACAACGAGCTGTGATTTTACCTGAGGGTCGTATACGCTAACGAGGGCCCGGTCCCGAAGTAGGCCGTTTGTGACGTCGATGGCAGGGGTCTCACGTGTGTCGCCGGTGTCCTTCTTGAAGGCGAACCCGAGGATGGCAATCTTCTTGCCGCTGATGGTGTTGAACATGGAACCAACAACCCGCTGCAGACGAAGACCGAGCTCTGAACTCATGAGACAGTCCTGGAGCCTCTCGTAGGATCATGACACTCTCCCAGTAGGATCAGGGCAGGATTCGTACCCTGACATCCTCGGGGCAATTTTTCCTTCGAAGCACTTTTGAAACCAGATAAGAGGCTAATCTGCTCCAGTCAGAGATGCATAGCCGCAGCTGCAATCTCGAAAGAAGAAGGACTCACGTTCACAAATCTCGACTTCTGGTAGTCATTGATGTCGACCACCTGCTTCCAGTATGCAGCAACCTCAGGGAGGCCGTTGCATTCGCAGATGTAGACAAGGTTGAGAATATCCTGCACATCGGATGTCAGTCAGTGACGTACCCAGGAGAGCTCAGAAGTTGCTCGTCAAAAGCAAGAAAGTAGATTCGGCGAAGTGTACTCACTGAGGATGGCACTTCGCTTCTCGTCCGAAGTGCTCGTCATGAACCAAGCTATTGGAAAAGCAACCCATCAATGACTGTTGGACAACTCACCTTCTGGAAGCAGGAGCCGCCAAAGCCAACACTGCTTTGCAAGAACTTGGGCCCAATTCTGCTGTCCTTTCCGATGGCATACGCGACCTCAGAGACGTTAGCACCGGTGGCCTGCAGATTACAAAATAGTCACCAGTGAGAACTTTGCATGAACTTCAGGAGAAAACGGAGAAAGGATGAGGGGGGCTTCAGCAAAGTCAAAGCCGATCTGCCTTCCCGCAACTCAGGCACTCTCAACAACAGGATATCAAAGAAGCAGGAACTGCTTTGGATGTGACCTCGTTTGTGTTTTGTGTGACCTCACCTCACACAAGGCCGACATGGCGTTGATGGAGGAAATTCTTTGCGCCAGGAAGGCGTTGGCAGCTAACTTCGAAAGCTCGGCAGACCTGTCAGAGAAACACATGATCCTTAGGATAATTTATCGTTTTTGAAGGTGTTGCATGTGGTCAAGCTTGCACCTCGACCCACCCAAAAGGACCCCTGTCCAGTCAGATCTGTGCCTGTGTGGAAGCCAAGAATAAGGCCTCCACATCGAACTTGCTGAAAGAAACTATTCGATTTCGTCGATGAAGAACACCAACAAACTATCCGATATGCTTGCAGTGGATCGACAGCATTCAGGACGAGTTGCAGGTTGTCATTGAATTTGGGTAAGAGCAGGCTCACCAGAGGTTGGTCGTGATGATGTTCTCCTTTGGCACCCAGTGTGCATACACAGCTGCCAGGGCTTGGATGGCTGCCTGACCTTTGGGAGTCTCGCGCCCTCCAATTAGTACACGGTCTGGTTTGAGCAAGTCCTCAACTGCGGTCCCCTCAGCCAAAAACTCCGGGTTTGAAAGAATCTGCATGGTTTCAGAGAAAGCGAGCAGAGGCTGAGCTGCATGGCATGCTTGCTTGAGAATGAGAATCATTGGATCAAGGAGCAATCTAGAGAAGCTGTGCCCAATGAAGGTCAACAAAGATTTTCTGGAGCTCTGCCATCAGACAAAAGGGAAGCTTCCAGCTCTTCTGTCACAAGTTTTGATGGAGGATCAGTCTGCTCACCTGGAACTCAATCCCATGACCATTCTTCGTGAGAATCTTCTCAATTGCCTCAGCTGTTTTCACTGGTACCGTTGACTTTTCCACGACCTGTAATACGAGCAAGAAACAAGTAAGCCACTATTTGAGAGAGAGCAGATTTGCGCATCATGGTCAATTGCTGTGCTAGATGCTCTTTCTACTCAAATCCACATCTGTCTCATTATCAAGTACAAGTTGCCTGTGCGAATTGCTTTCTCTTCACAGCCATCATCATCAACTATTGAGGAACTGTGCCACTTACAATCTTGTCAGTCTTAGAAACGTCGGCGATCATCCTGCAAAACAAGGGCTGAGAGATCAGAGACCTGTGGAGAACAGGGTTTGCGTTTGGAATGTATTGCAATTCAGCCACTCTAAGAGCACTTTTTGCGGTTATTGTCAGCAGAAGTTGTCCCATAGGCACGTGGTTCAACTGAATCTTCTTAGACTTGTTGGGATGCAGGATGTGGGGAGCAGGCAAATACCTGGCAGCACTTTCCCAATATGTCAGATCAGCCGCCTTCCCCGCACCCAAACCCTGGAACATGTAGAATGTGTTAGTCCATGTGCCAGACAACCAGCTTTTCCATAAAGCCAACTCTTCCCCAGGTACGTGCAAGTAATTTCTAGACTCAACCTGCCCAGGCACCACTGGATTATGTCATCAAGTTCAATCAGTCATGATCCTTGCTCAACAAAACCCTAATGGACCAGAACGTGCAGCAGATCATCATATCGCGTCTATCAAGCCCAGCCAATTGTGGTTCATTAGACAGCCCCTGCCTCACCAGAGGGCCGTCGATTGACTAGAAGCTTACCCTCGTTTTTGTTGGTGTATTTACACTGACAAATATAATGTCTGCCTCTGCAACATGCTTTTGCACATCTGTGCTGAAGAACAGATTCTTTCCCCGGCGCTCCTTAACCTGACAGAGAAGAAGAGGTGTTCTCAGTGACTTGGACTCGCACGGATTGCACGTTGCATTATGCAACAGATCCCCATGAAATGGCGAATTGGTGGTATCAACTATGCAGCAGCTGAATAGCAGATCTGATCGAGTAGGAAGACATCAGGCAAATGAAGTTTTGTAACTCACAACTTCATCAAGGCCTGGCTCATAGATAGGAAGCTCGTCACTGTTCCAGGCAGCAATCCTGGGCTTGCTGATATCAACCACGACGACCTGCAAAAGATCAAGCCAAGCAGACATGTCACATCAGATCTGTCAATAAGTGCCTGAAAGCAATGCTCTAGATCCTGTTGAACCACTGATTCCCGAACCGACACAAGGTTGCTGAAACTAAAGCTGGAGGATTTAGGGTTCCAGATATGTAGGTACACTACAGTGTCTGAAACTTGGCGTACCTCGATATCATGGCACTTCAAGGCGATCATCGCCATAGTCGGACCTGCAAAATGGATTCAATTGGCTGATCAATGCAAGGGCGATTGCTCCTTAAGCTTTTTCCACAGCGTAGGAAAATGACCAGCAAAGGCCTGTGCAACGTGCATTTTCGATCAGATCTTCAAATTAGGACAGACGCTTGATTGAGGTTGCAGCGATTGCATTGAAAGACACTTACCCCCGACATATCCGGCACCAATACAGCAGATCTTCACCATTTTTGCAGATGGGGATGCAGCAAGGAAAGCGCTTTTGTCAGAACCTCTCAAAGTGCACGAAATGTATCAAAAACTTCTGTGATACACCAACCGGCCGGGCACCCCTATGAGGTTCTAATGCTCAGAAAATGGACGCTGTTGCAAGCAGCAAGAGGACCGATCAACAGCGCACAGACGGAAATTGGAATGTGCTTTCTTCTGCAACTCCAGGCGCCTTTTTAGCTGGGTGCAAGTACCAGCCAGGTCGAGCCCAGGACAGGTTCAGGCAGCAACGGTTTGACCCAGCAGTTCAAAATTCACGCGTTGTATTTTAACCTGGTTGTCTGACCATTTTCTCTTTGCCATGTGCCGGCTACACTATACGAGCGGTCAGATTATTGAAGGAGTACATCGGACGGCCCAACGTTGATGCTTTTCACAAGGAGCCGGGGACATGCTAGGTGGTTAATCAATTAGGTTTGGCGGAAGCGGCATGCACGAAAACGTGCAGTTCGGGTGTGGATAGGCGGATGAGTGATCTTGTGTCAAAAGTGGTGCTTTTCCCATATTGTCCTTGGAGCCTGCTTGCTTCCAACGGACTGACACCATCCCAGAGAGCCGGTACCCTCAGCAGATTGAAACGGCGGTCGTACCTCCCTAGGTCTGTTTCCGGGCTTTCCGGCTGAGCTGTGCATCTGAACCGTCGGTTCGGATGGCTAATTCTAGAAAAAGGTTTATCGGACGCTTTAGATCCGCTACCGAAGAGAACATGATACATTGCAACTACTTTACTTGGATACATTGGATTGGTTTAAAGTTTTGAAACTGATCTTCGATCTTGATTGATCACTACAAGTGTACAATTTGTAAGGACTGGCCCCTTTAAGTTTTGGTCCTCCTCTAGATGCGGAACCCCAACAGCCTTGCAATGTGCAATTTGAGCAGATCGGTGCATTGTCCTTCGATTCCTGAGACAAGGGGCGGCACTCCAATCCAGCACCGCCGTCAAAGCTATAAAGCGGCTTGCAGGACCAAAGGTGGAGAAAGGTGCAAGAATTGTCTCCAGGTGGTACTGCAATGGCCTGTACGGTAGCCCGTGCGGCTGGCTCGTGCGCCATTGCATTGGGGCCCAGCCAGATCCGGCAATGTAGCCAGTCATGCAATGCAGGGGTGCAGTTTGTTGGGTTCAGGAAAGCGCATCAAATGTCCTTTAAGAAGCCGGAAGAGAATCCCTCATGCATTCTTGCCGCAAAATCGCTGGGTCCTAAGAGTCGCTCAGCGAGGAGCCACGGCATTACCATGGCTGGGACGGGCAAGGTAAGAACTCATCTGCATAATCTTGGCAGTTCTCTCTGTGACACACTTGATGTGATGAACCTTCCTGACTTATTTGATCTTTTTGGATAATTCAGGGGCCAGTCTATGAGCTCAAGGGATTCGTCAAAGGCACCAGAGGTTCTGTACTCATTGGTCCCTTCTTTTGGCGCCACCCTGGTTGTTTTCAAGCATAATACATTCAGCTCATAGCCGTTCCTTGTGTGCCAACAAACTCTTTCCATTCATGATGAGTAAGAACTGGCAGGGCGTGATTGCATGACTGCCGCCCGCACAGAACATGGTCAGCAATGCACATGTATACTGCTTTGCAGAACGTCCACTGCTGCCACATGAATGGACCGTTGTAGGTGCCACAGTCCTCAATCTGCCTATTGTGCTGGTAATGGGTTTAGTACACAACCTGCTCTGAATTCCAGAGAAAGGGCGACAACATTCGACACCAACGTCTCAGAAGTCTCAGATATTGAATGCGATGGCAATTAATGACCTTCTCAGAGAGACTTTTAACGTTGCAGTCTTTTCAATGCCAATTCTCGGTAGACCTGCAACCCTCTCAATCTGGATAAAAGAGTCGTCAAAGAGCAAAGTTTTGTCTTCTTTCATCAATTGCTCTGTTCCATGGATGGAGTAGCTTTTCTGTGTTTCAATGACGCTTTGGGCTCCAGTACGCGCATGGGACCCCGCTCTATCTGAGACTGGATGCTTGAAACCGATGGGCCTGCAATGAGGAGCAGCAACAAGGTTTTTGGTGGTACTGTCTGGCTGTCAGGCCTGTCTCTGTTACTCAAACAGATTATCTACTTGAGTCTACGTGAGATTCAAGATTTCTGATTGACTCCCTGAATCCGAGGAACGAATGCACTCCGTGACTTTTGTTACCTGTGCTGACGCGCGTGTCCTTGGATTGTGCAGTTCTTTGTCGGGGGCAACTGGAAAGCGGTAGGTGAAAGGTTTTTTTTCTCTTCTAGCGAAGCAAGTTGTTCACTTAAGTCTCATGCATTGACATAGCTCCTGTCAAAGCGTCCGTGCTCTGGTCTGCTCTTGTGTGATCCAACTCCTCAATCAGTTGTTTTTTCCGGGGAACCCTAATGTGGCGCTCAGGATTGCGGTCGGCAAATTGATGTGGAAGTTCAACGTATACTCTCAGCATGTTTGTGACCACCTTTGCAAGGTCTTGCTTATGTCATTTGGACACGTCTGCCAACTCACTTCGTGTTGCAATGCAGAATGGGCTGGTAGGGGACGTCAAGCGGCTCGTCTCCGAACTGAATGCCGAGCAGATATCAGATGATGTTGGTCAGTAGCAGTCGGCCTTTTACACCAGCTTGCCTTTGATGCAATTGGAGCCTGCTGTCAAGCCCAGCGTATTGCCCGTTCCACTCTGAGTAGTCATGCCAGGCAAGAAAGGCGGTGCGCATCTGCAAAGACTGTGAAAGGCGTCCTCAGCTGAAATCCACTTTAGCAAGGGTAGGTACGCCACATTTGAGCAGGCTCCCATGGAACCAAGCATCAAGCTGTAGCTCATTCCGTGTAGCTCGAGCATCTTCAGAAGTTCCGTCGATGTGACCGTCCAGAAGGCATTATTTTGATCTCCAATTTTGCGTGCTTGGGTTGCAGACGTCGTCGTTGCCCCTCCCTTCGTCCACCTTCCCCTCGTGAAGGACAGTCTTCGGCCGGAGATTCAGGTTGCTGCACAGAATGCCTGGGTGGGCAAGTGCGGAGCCTACACCGGAGAAGTCACGTGAGCTCCCATCGGTCAAGCAGAGCACTGGTAGAAGGCGTCCTGTTGAAAAGTTCAAGGGGACTGTAGCCAGAGATTAGGGCTTACTTGCCTTGCTGTTGTTTAGATAGGACTGCGATTACTGCATGGGCAGGGACGGCTGCGTTTGAGTCGAGCGTTGCCAACTCGATTTAGTCAAAAGAGGGCCACTTTGATCCACTCCTGCTCGTGTATTGCATGATTACATGCTCTGTGGCTATTCTTTCGTTAGATTAGTATCTCGCTTGGATGCGAAATGGGGTGTGAGCAACAGGCAGACCTGCAATGGATGGCGAACCTCAGTAAGGGTCTTATGTAAATGTACAGGGTCTTTGTGAAGCTTGACGATTGGAAGCGCGCACCGTGTTTTGCAGGGCGGAACAGCTGGTTGACTTGGATATCCCTTGGGTCATCTTGGGCCATTCGGAACGGCGAAACATCATTGGGGAGTCAAACGAAGTAGGCGCGCTCTTTTACAATCCTTTCTCAATACCATCTGGTTTTCAATCAGAGATTTCAGACAGGAAGGTGCGTGAGAGTTGGTTCTGAAAAGCTTCAATAAGAGGGAAGGACCTAGAAATGACGGGCACATGTTTGGGTGTTTGTCATAGATCTGCAAATTGCCACTCCATTGGGTCCAAGAAGCCAGTTCCAAGCGGTCGACTCTGGATCGTCACATCTTAGAAAGTTTAGAACGTTCATCAGAGCAGATGCACATAGGGCTTTCAGAGAACGGGATTGTCCTCTGTGCCATTCTGCGTGCTGACATGCGTGCTAGCACTGCCGATAGCGTCCGATCACGGACAAGGTTCACATACTTGAAGCCTTATAAAGTCGTTTGAGTTATCAACGCCTGCTACAGGAGGGTTCAAACTAGTTAACGGTCGAGCTCAAAGAAACTCTTCTACCGCACCGCCGAGTTTTGAGTCTTCTTGATTAACTAGAGCCTAAATGCAAAGCTTGAAGTTTATCTAAACAGAAGACCTTGACGGGCGGATTATAATCAGGGGTGATATGCAGTATAAATGTTGCGGCAAGTGGCACTTCCCTCTGCGGCGCTCTGAGAAAGCTTGTTGACACTCGTTTGCCCCGCAGTTCGTGGGCCAAAAGGCGGAGTACGCCCTGAGCAAAGGCCTGTCGATCATCGCGTGCATTGGGGAGCTGCTCGAGGATCGGCAGGGCGGCCACACCTTCGACGTGGTGTTCGCGCAGTTGAAGGCGCTCGCAGGTGCGCATCCGGACGAGCGTCGGAAACTGTCTCATGTGGTTGGTAGCTGTGCCGGTTCTACTCCAACATCTTTCGTTGTTGGAGTCATGGGCTATTGGAGCAAGTAGGGCACAAATCACATGGAGTGAAGTTGCCAGAAGTAATGCCAGCGTTTGATCTTGGTGAGGGACACTTCGTCCTGGTGGGCACTTTGCTGAGGGGCCGGCTGCTCAGAGCGTCACCTTTCACGCTTCCCAGAAGTAGAGACGGTCAGGAAATGCGGTCCTAGCCCCTCGTGCACCTTCTTGCGGGGGCCTTCTGCTAAAGAGCCACTTGTGCCATTTGGAACGTCATCAAGCCAAGATCGATGCAAGGTTCGGTTTTGTTTCGCTCTGAGGTTAAGTGTACGCAGTTCAGTGGATGTGTCTCGGTTATCTTAGAAAAAACTTGGTCGTTTTGGAAGTTTTCCATTAGAGATCTCATCAAGCACAGGCGTCAGCTCCCCGCTCGCATATATGCCGCCAGTCTCCCTGCCAAGCACGTAGCGTTTCTGTGCTCTTAGCCGCTCCTCTGGGGAAGCAGCAGCTTCGGCTGACCAGCTCTGCTTGATTACATGAACAGTGTCCAACCACCTTCTTCCCTGCCTTTTCCTGCATCATCAAATCTCGCTCGTAGCCTTTCTATTTCACAGATTATCTTCAACCATTTGTTTATTCGATTCCATCCGTCCACCTCAGATCACATAAGCGACTGGGAGAAGGTGGTGGTTGCGTACGAGCCTGTGTGGGCCATCGGGACGGGCGTGGTGGCGTCTCCCGAGCAGGCGCAGGAGGTACACGCCGGTGTTCGGCAGTGGCTCACGGACAATGTCTCAAAGGACGTTGCCGCCAAGACGCGCATTCTTTACGGAGGTAGGCCGGCATTCATTGGAGACACAGCTTGGTTTGTTCAAACGGAGGAAAGGTGGAGTTGAAGTTCGGCAATCCCTTTTTGCTGGCATGCAGAACACTTCTGCTTCTGCTGTCGACACGTGCAAGACAGACTATTAGAACGGATGGATCAACGTGTCTTCGTGGATCCAGCGAAGCTTCCGACTAAGGCAACATGCGGCTGAACGGTTTTGTTGAGAAGGAACGAGAAAATGAGCGATCAATTGTCAAACTCTGACGTGTCAAGTCCGTTATCTTCTGCGCAGGGTCGGTTTCTCCTAAAAACGCTCAAGATCTGGCAAAGAAGGAGGACATCGACGGGTTTTTGGTCGGCGGCGCTTCGTTAAAGGTAAGACTTCTTGACATGATCAATTGCAGCACTTTAATTTATGATTTCGACGACAGGACTATTGTTCTGAATCCCAACCCGTCTGCGGCGTTCTCCTCCATGGTGCTCTGACGCCATTGCTCTTGGTGCAGGGGCCTGACTTCGCTACAATCTGCAACTCTGTCCAGTACAAGACCAGCCCAGCTGTACTGTAGGTTGAATTGGATTACTGGAAAAATCGATCTTTCCATGTTCGGGTGCTCTTTCAATTTATCGCCCAGCAATCTTTGGGGGAACTTGCCGCTGCCAGTTCTCGCAACATGTGTATGTTAGGAAAGGCTGTCCACTAAGACTTGGGTAGACGAATTAACGTGCTTCTCAATGATGCATTTTAGTCGGAACTGGTTGGGGCCCATGAAGGAATTTGATCTAAGCCCATCGTTGCAAGGGCGCGTTTTTTGATTGTGGATGTGACACCGATGCAATGTTCTTAAGGACACTTCCTTGCGAGTGCATGGAGCAACTCTCCGTCACGTTCATGTGTCCACAAGCACAGTCGATGTGTCGATTTGCTGACTACGTCCAACTTTGCCATATGCTGGCCTGGCCGCCTTTTGAGGTTCCGCAACACATGACTTTCATGATCCTCAAACCATGTATTGTGCCGCAGATAGCACATATATGCTGGAGTTCAATCACTGCGTATACCACGTTCTCACGAGTGCTCCATATAGAACATGTTTTGCATGCCCCATGATTATATGACCGCCTGAGTACAAGTATCGCCAATTATATACTAGTGAATCATATGACAATATGATGCATTCCCCGTGCACTACGCAGTGTATACTACACATTATGTATGGCGCAGGCTGCGAAAGGTTAAAATTACTTAGTATATGGTAGGTATATACCATACCTATCTACCTAGGTATGTGGTAGAAGTAAAGAGCAAGCCCAGGCTAGTAGCCGATTCGGATTACCTAGGCTCTTCCATTGCGAGAATCGCAAGCCTGTTCCTTGATCGAACATTATGCCTGTTCCGGTGTTGCGCGCGCGCGCCGAGCGGCATACTTCACACGTGCCTTGGTACGCATGACAAGAGTTGCCTACTTGGTACGTACCTCTTCCTCAAGGTTGGACGTCCACCGGGCGTGATGGCAGGGTATAATCGTAGGGTGTACTACCCGGTAGATTCAACCTGGGCACACTGCAATGGACTGCGACAGAGACCGCGCTTCCAGTGTACGGTACATGCACGTACTACGGTCAGTGACCGGTGTACCTACCTGTGTGTATCGGATGCAGGGTGCTGCCGGGTGCTAGCCGGGTGGAATGAAGCACTGCCTATCCGCCCAAGCAATTGGGCTTTCTTCCGCCCGGGAGGCTAATAAGCGCCCGGATGATGATTTGTCGGTACAAACTACCGGTCATTTGAAGGTGACGGCGCCAAACGCAGGGAAGTTTGAAAGGTTTGAATTTTAAACTTTCAACTTCAAAGTTCAACTGTAGGCGAGGGAGCATCCTGCAGAAGGCTCGTTCGGAGTCGTTCCCGTCCCAGACTGCCCAGACAGTCTACCTAGCTAGGAGGATTGGAAGCAGAAAGAGGCGCCCCTTCAGCTTTGTCTTGGGCGTTCAGCAGGATCTGGCCGCTTTCAGAAGGGCGTCTAGAGGAAGTTAGGGACCTTGAAGGGAGCAGCAGGAGGTGCAGCCGCACATGCGGTAAATCAGACAGAGCAGCGGTAAGGCTCGATCAGGGCCCTGCAGGGCCCTGCGCATGTTCATGCTGCTCAATAAGACGGCTCCAATCAGCACAAAGGTGGAGCAACACTCTTTCAAGTTGCAACTATTCTGCATAGAGACACGGCGAGTCAGGAAGCAGGTTCTCGATACTGAGAACCATGGCTCGGGGAGGGGATGCTGGTCCGTCCAGTCAACAGGTGCAGCAGACACAGGCGGATAGGCGGAAGCTCAGGGAGGACTACAGAAAGCTAAAAGACAGGGCAGCAGGTGCGGGTCTGACAAGAGCCTGCTATGCATGCCTAGATTCTCATTTCTGGCAGTCCTGTTCCGCCGTTATGGTGCACCTTTTGCCTATCATGCCAATGAGGACAACACCAGAGGTTATGTCGATGTGCTTTGTCAACCTAGGTCCTTTATATGTAACCAGCTTAGGGTCTTTCTTTTGTCAGGCTTGATTATGGGTTTGCCACTGAGCTAAGTTGCTCTTGCAGCACACAGAATGCCAAGCCCGCTCTGACTGCCTGCTGCTGGTCCTGCTGTAACTGCCTCAACTTCGTCCATTCAGATATTGCAGATGTGACACATTCTGTTCGGGCCCCACTTTTCTTTGCGCGAAGTGTTCCTCATCCATCTGCTCGTGCAGCTCAAAAGGATGAACTCCTCCAACCTGAATCCCACAAGCTTCAGGAAGCTCTCCTGGAAGCAGATGCTCTACACCAGCAGGGTAAGTGCTAAGGCCACTCGTCCTGGCTAGCCTCTAGTGTTATAGTGAACTTGCTGCATGACCAGAGCCTGCAGCCTCTTCTTCAGTGAACATTGGGCAAGGTCAGAGTCTCCAAACTTATACTTGAAGGCGCAGAAGGGGATCTGGACAAGTTGTTCTGGTTGCTTATAGATCCTGTTTGCTTATGAGCAGATTATTCTTCGAGTTGTTGCCTGCACGTGGAAGCGCCATAAGAGATCTTTGATCACCTGTTTCTATCTGCCTGGCTTTCACTTGTCTCTGAAAAGCACCCTGTTATTATGGGCCTGAAGCTTGTCTTGTGGCCTGCAGTACGGAAGCCGAGAGAGCAGAAGGCCGACGCCGACCTGCTGGCACAGCTGACCGAGGTCACGTTGCAAGCGGCCAAGCAGTTACGGCCGGATGCTTCTCTCTGCACCCCCACCGCTTTCCTGGGGCGGCTCATGACGCACTTTACTGGGGGCATGGACATGGAAGAGGAGGAGGAGGTCAGCCCTGAGAGGTTTGACTGGCAGAACGCGGGGCGGATGATTGGGATGCCTTTGCTCGCATCAGCCCCGGGGATCACTTGCATGTAAGAAGTGCCCCTTTCTCTTGTTTTTCGTGGAGCACTAGGTAGAGCATGGTCTAGATGTCAAGTGGTGGCTCTGCCTGTCGTTGCATGTCTTCAGCAACTTTTGTCGACCAACGTCTCTCTTTCCTGAGTGGACCCCAGTTGCAATGCCTTCAGGATCGTTTTGCTGAACGTTCACATCTGGTGCGAAAGCCATTAACAGTTCATGTGAAACGTTTTTGCTGATCCAGTTGACTTGTCTTTCTGCAGGCTCGGCCCATTGGATAGTCAGCCAAAGCAGAGGAAGCAGCCCCAGCAGCGAGCAAAGAGGAAACGTCCAGAGGAACAGACCAACCCCGATGAGGTAGGGTTGACTTGAGCTGATTCTCGCCTTCTTGACCATCCGAAACCTAGTAAGAAGCTTGTACGATCTCCTGTATTGAAGTCAAGCCTCATTCATTTCTGTCCTGTGCGTAGTAATTATCCCCTTGTGCCCTTCACAGCCTTTTCTGACCTGTGAGAAGCTGTTTCCTTCAATGTCCTCGGTTTACAACTTGCCACTGTACAAGAGGATCCATCTTACTTCAGATCGTGGATTTATTTGGCCAAATCTGGACTTTCTAGGTCACCTTGATTGTCTGAGTTCCTGTCACAACATGACTCGCTCAGAGAGCATCACTTGCATCAGGCTGTTGCTCGATCCCTTTGTTCCGAATTTATACCTGCATTAAGATGCCAATCTCCTTGTGCAGATTGTGGAGCAGACACAGGACGGCAAGGAGAAAGAGACTGATGCCAACATGACCACTATGTTCGAGATTCTACGCCGGAACCATGGGGGGATCCCCTTCGAGCGCCTATTCTTGAACAAGAAGTCCTTCTCTCAGACCATTGAGAACCAGTTCTCGCTCTCGTTCTTGATCAAGGACGGTCGAGCCTCAACACGAAAGATGGACGACGGTACTATTCTTGTTGGTGAGTGCCACAACTCGATCCTCCTTCCCAACAGATTGTGCAGCCCCGTTGTACCTTTTCGTCTGCAAAGGAATGCCTCGTCTTTTCTCGTTTGACGTCTTCAGTTGTGCTCATTTGAGCTGAGTTCACAAGGTGGAGGAATATCTAAAGACTCCGGTCCGATGAACTACCCAAAGCTGGCACAATCAATTTTATTCTAATTCTGGAAAGAAGGTCGCTTCTGTACGGGAATTTCTTCTTCAAAGTCAACCTTAATCTTGTTCCGGGTTAATGGCACTTCGATGCACACGGGTCTGCTTGAGACACTCTCTGAAGGAAACACAGTAGCTAAAGGCTCTTTCTTGATGGCGCCACCAGAGGTTGAGATGCTCAAACAAACTTTATTTTGACTGCTGCAGAGCCTCGAAATGCCCCCAGCAAGGAGGAGTTAGGCACGGGGAAGGCTGAGACGTCAGCATTCATGGCTAAGTTCCAGTACAAGGATTGGCTGGTGAGCTCAACTATATTGAGCTTTTTGTGACCTTTGTCTGTCCGCTAATGCCGGAAGACCAGGCAATTATCTTGGCTGTTTTGCAACGGGTCCCTGATCCAATCTGGCCATGCGCTTCTACCTTGGCTGCTCCCTGTTCAGCACGGGCAGGGCTCAGTCTCTTGTCAGCAAAGCTCATTGATACAGAGTAGGAGCAGGTCGGAATACAATCTGGAATTCCAAGCCAAGAGAAGAAATTTGTCGAGGGTTTGTTGCTCGTTGTCTAATCCTCGGTGCATTCATATCTTTGCAGGATCTAAAGGAGAAATGTCCTGGCAGTGACTACATGCCTACGAGGAAGGGTGCGAACGAGCCGGCCCAGCCCCCTCGGAATGGCACGCCTGTGCGGAAGGGGCAGGGCAAGTTCCGGCCTCGGGAGAACTCGTATAGCCAGCAGCCAGTGGAAGAGGAGTCGGAGGAGGAGGAAGAAGAGGCGTTGGTGGTAAACAGGAGGAGGAAGAAGCAGCGGAGTTAGGGTACTGATATATTGCGAGACATCCGGGTTGGACGTCAGATAGAAAAGTATTGGTTTGACTGCCTCAGAAGGTCTAGGTGTTTCGCGGCGATGCAATTCTATGCCGTTGCGAACAGAGACTGCAAGTCTCGCTTGTGTCAATGCAGAGCAGTCGAGTCGATTTGTCAAACAGAACAGCGAGCAGGGCAGAACATCTATTGTATTCACCAGAAGATCTTTGCGGAGCGTCTGAAGAAAGACACCTGACTCTAGTCTTGCCGCTGCATTGTTTCATTAAAGAAGTGGATTCTCACAGGTTTGTCAGAAGTATGATGTATCCCTGTTTTGTGAGAGCATTGTTGCATCACGGCTCAGAGTGCACTAGTGCACATTTGAATCATGCAGCCGGTTGGGTTCTTGCAACTTAGCCTTAATATTGCATGTCGCGCCTCTCGATCATGCGGCATCATCATGTAAACCGCTCTAAGAGTCAGGCTGGCCAGCAACTACCTCAATTGTTGATCATATGGGCCCAGTATTGCCGGTTGGGCATGCATGCACGCCAATATTGATCAGTCAAAAGTGTCGGATCGACTCACTCACATTTGCTGCCTGTCAGCATGCACAAGAATATATGCACGATTGCTTTCATGTCAGTGATTGAACGTGGAAGACATGAGCCGGCCACTGTGCATGTGCTATATGCATTTTGCACCAAATCAAGCTTTGTGGTCGGTCTGTGAACAATAATTGTGCAGCTCAGTAGCTCCGCATAGCAACTAACCGAGTTCCCAGAAGTGACTGCATCCAAACAGGGAGAACTTACAGACCACAATGCATCATACGTGATCGATCCTGAAACAAGCAACTTTTGACTTGAATCCGTTCACTATGAGAGGTCAACCCTGAGTCACACTCTATAGAATCTCGACGAGATCGGAGAAACCCTGTTGCACAAAAACTGCGAGTTGCTTTCGACTGCACTGTTAAATTCGATGCAATTTCAGCCCCCTCCTAGTGGATCTCTGGAATTTGTATCGTCAACCCCGGTGAAGCCCTCCGCTTAAGTATGTCCTCTTGACTGACGCTTCCCTCCCCACCATCCTTGGCGGCCCCATCCGACCCGTCAGCAGACGCCGTCTCTGCGACCTTGCCAGGTGGCGCCTTCCCCTTCGCACCAGCTGGCGGCAGCCCACCCCCCTTCGTCTTCGCCTTGGCGACGCCGTTCTCGTTCTTCCCGCCCTGCGCCTTCCGCCGCTTATAAGCGGGCGGCCTCGGGGATATAAGCTCTGTGTGCCCGTCCTGCTGAGGCTTCCCCCGGGGCTTCTCCTTTATTTTGCCGGTGGGCTTCCCTAAGCCCTGGTGCTTGCTGGGGGGGGCCATGTAGCGCAGCTTCTCTTGCGCCTCGAGGGGGGCGTGCCGGCGAGCGTAGGAATCGTCATCCGTATCCTGTAAGTCGCAACCGTATACTGTAAAGCTCACTCGTTGGCTCAAGAGAAGAGACCCTCAAATACTCAGCTTTGCGAAGTAACTCGATCTATGCATCAAAGACAGCGCAGCGGAATTCGTGAGGGGTTGGCAAATATTGGTGAACGAAAGCCATACATTTTCCCCCGCTAGTTTAGACTTCAGTTCTGGTTCGATTCTCTCTGGGATAACCCGCAAAAATCCTCTATTCTATGCTGAGAGTCGTGCTTCAAACCCTCTTAGCATTCGCACCAACAAATCAGAAGAAGGACAGGCGTTCATTGTCGGAGACGTTAACGCTGCCCTCAGGAGTTCAAACGCCCAACCCAATCCCCGCTGAAGAAAGTGCAATCACAGCGACCACTGAAAAAGCCGGAATATCAGATCGGACAGGATCTACGACGATAAAAAAGATTTGCGACCTGAGGCTTGATACCCGAGCCCCAAAGCCTGAATTCGCTTTGACATTTTGGTTTTCAAAGTGCTATAATGCCCATCAAAAGATTCTCAACGAGACATTAAAACCAACACTAGCCTGGCCTCAGCTTGTTCCTTTGTCCTACTGCCTTCGGTGTCCCATTCCCCCCCACTTGCAAACCTGGAGACACCTTGATAGCCAGAGAAAACGAAACAAAAGGAATGAAACGAGGAACGCAACAATCGCAAGTTCTCCGACTCGCTTCCGAAGGCACTCACCTCCTCGCTGCTGTCCCCCCCCACCAGCTCGTCGAACGTCTGCTGCACCAGCCGCCAGCGCGGCGTCTCGATCTTGGTGTGCTGCAGCTGCTCCACCGTCTTGCGCCCCACCGACACCGACGACACCACGTTGCTGATGTCATAGTCCGCCGTCCGCCTCCGCCCGGGCACCAGCGCCGCGCCCGACCCCGACCGCTGGATCGCCCCCACCCCCCCAGAAACGTTCATCAAGCTCCGCGTGCGCTCGAGCGCCTCGGCTTTCGGGCTCCCCGAGGGGGAGGGCGACATCATGCTCCGCGCCCCGGGGGAAGGGGAAGGTGCATTTCGTGGCGAGGGGGTCGGAGACGGCCGTGGGGAAACGAACTGCCGGGGGGGTACGACGGCAGGGTTTTGGCCCAAGGGACGGGGGGTCTGGGCGGGGGGCCGCCGAGGGGGGGCGGCGCGGTTGGCGGCGCTGTAGTGGAGTTGGGAGCGGAGAACGTGGAGACGTTGTTGGAGCGCTTCGATCTTTTCCAGGAGGCAGTCCATCGGCTCATCTTCGAGGACCGTCGGGAGGGGGGGCAGGTAGGGGCGGGGGGCGCGCTCGGGGGGGGCCTCGATGCCAGGGGACATGGAGCGAAGATCGACATCTGCAATCAAGCCGCTTCGTCAGTCTTTCATCAAAGAGCAAACAAGGAACCGGAAAGAGCGACCAAGAGAGCAACCACACAGGTGACCGTCTGCTGCAGTCGATCCAGCACTTGACATTTCAGGAGGGAACAGCGGCCGAAATGGGTCAAAAAGAGGATTGGAACTTGCAACGAAGCAAATGGGAAACAGCCTACAAAGTAAGGCAGCAACGCCCACTCGTCAGAGCGAGCAACACGAGAGTACTTCGCATTCAAGGGTAGCAAATTCCGCCAGTTGAACTGCAATGCAATCACAGTACAAACTCGTGCTCACGGTCCAATACAAAAACCTGGAGGCTCTCGGCGAACCACCAACCTGCCATGCTGACGGTGTCGTCTCCTGGCATCCGTGGCCTCTTTCGAGAAGCTTTATCTGCAGAGGCAACAAACATGCTCTTCTTTCCGCTTGATTTGCACAAAACGGGGACTGATCTTTGTTCTTATTGTCAAACACAAATGTGTAAGCTTGCAACTGTTCCAAAGCAGTATCTATGCATAAGATGTGGACGGGCAAAAAAGCTTGCCCAGATTAGCGCCACTATAAATTGGCTTTAGATGCTCGGTCAAGTGATTGCTTCATGAAAACCGAGCAGCAACGGTATTGATGACTCTCGAAAAAGATCGAGGCAAAAAACAAGAGGGAACCTTGTTGGTAGCACCCAGCGGGTCACTTGCAGATGGTGTCAGACAACCCCTGCAAAAATCTTCGAAGATTGCGGGCAAGGTGATTGCAGCTGCATCCAAAGCAGGTCCCCACCCGAGCACACAACCAAAATCAAAACAATCCACACCTGAGCAACAAAACACGAACTGCTCACCGTATCTGGAGAGCAGGGGGTGCTGCGCCATGAATTGCTCCGTCAACGGCTCGTCCTCCACCTTCTTCCGCTTCCTGTGGTGCCGCAGCGACTGCTTCACGCGCCCCACAAGCGTCTCACCCGGCAAAGCGCTTGGGGCCCCTTCGTCATCCTTCGGTAACTGGACAGCCTCGAGATCGACTCTGGCTGCTGTGCTCGTGCCCTTCCGAACCGGGATGCTGACAGCTGGCGCCGACGCAGGCGCCAACTGTCGACCCGTCTCGCCAGCTGGCGCCTGGACATCCGAAGGCGAAGCGCCACCTGGCGCCTGGACATGGGCCACTGTAAGGCTGCTAGGTGCCAACGCCTTGGCGGCACCCTGCCCCAGGGTTTGAGCAACAGGCGCCACTTGTTGCGATGGAGCAGCGACGCCTGGCACTTCCGGAGTCGCCCCTGCTGTTTGGCTTTCTTGCGCAGTTTGCATCTGGGAAGGCTCAGCTGGCCTGGGAGCAGAAGCGGTGGGTGCTGCGTGACCTGGGGGCATTGCAGCATGGTCCACAGCTTGGGGCAATGCTGGCGGCGCCTCCAAAAGCTGAGGGCTTGGGACCTGGGGGCTTGGAAATGCGGCCGGAGACGTTGTTGGAAGAGACGGTTGTTGGGAGGAGGGTGGTGGTAGTTGCTTCTGACCGGCTGGGTGGAGCGCGTGCGTATGCTGACGGGACTTCAGTTGCCTGCATCAGGGCAATTCAGTGATTTCAAAGTTGCACCTATGCGGGGACGAGCAAATTATGTCTTGCCTCGAGACTCCAGGGAAACATGTTCGCTGTAGGGCGCAGCATGCTGTTCCAGGAGCTGCCAAGTGGATGGCTGCGGTAACGCGTTGGAATTGGGGCAGTACCAGAGCTCATGGCGAGAATCTAAGCATTCTGAAGCACTTTGCGCTCAAGCTTGAACCACCTGCTAGCAAGCTCTGACCCTGACGAGTACAAAGTGTGTTCGCTCAAAGGTATGCCATGACATAAAGGGTAAAGGCACTCCGTCGCCAAAAGACAAGCAGCAACATGGTCAACAGCAAGACGTGCTTCAAAATCATCGAGCTCAGCAGATCCATCCGGGGAGGCAACCAGACAAATCTTTTGCAAGATGCACATCACTAGGATGTGACTCAAGTCAGACCAAAGGAAGCAATGAGACCACATTCACTACCAAAGAAACTCTGCATCTGAATTTACTCAAATTCCGGGTGCGCAGCATACCGTGCGAGGTGGCTGTACCGGTCTGCCTTCTCCTGGATGTCGACCATGCGCATCTCTAGCCACCTAGCGCGCCACTCAATCCCCCTCCGCTGCTTCTTCCACTCGGGATGGAGCGAACGCTTCTCCCTGCCAGGAGAGCAGCCAAAGCCAGTGAGCAAGTGCCCTGCATTCCTTTCATGGTGGAAAGAAAAATTGTCGGTTGATGGGAGCTGGTTCAGGGGCTTGCCGACACCGACGAAAGGGCCTCAAATCAAAGCCCTCCCAACAAGGCCGAGCGGAATTAGAACCACGCGGCAATGGGATCAGACCTAGCTCAGCCGTCTACGATCTGCAGAAGGTGAGGGCCGAGAGACCCAGCAGGTTATGGATCCAATGTGTTCAAAGGCTAAGGCAAGTGCTTGCCAAGATACACAATCAAAAGACCAACTGCTTGCCAGCACTGAATGATGCAGCCTAGTTGCGGCCGATGTCACATTCGAGATAATGCAAAATACCACAGTCCACTTGTTTAACAGCACCCGGACCAACGGCCTTGCACAGAATGTGACGAAACGCGAAAGCTCATTGCTGAGATCCGATATCCATCTTGAAGAATCAAACGCAATCAACTGTGAAACCCTTGCAAACGGTAACCTCTTGATGCATGCAGCTAGAAGTTGTCCGTTATCAAAAGGCAATTGGACACCTCTCGCCGCTCCAAAGATAGAAACGGCGAATTTCGTACCTCCCTTCTGCGTCTCTATCATCAGCCCGAAGCCTGCTTGAGACCTCGGGGTCGTAACCCCACTCTTCCTCTGAATCGCTGGCTGTCTCTGCGTACGAGCTCGAGCAGTCCGTCGATCCCTCGTACCGATCCTCCTGCCTAAACTCGGCTCCACCAGCTTCCCCAACTACGTCAATTTCCCCTTGCTTCGATCTTGGGCGTTCCACTTGTTCCTCGGCCGACTTTGCCAACTCGCGCCGTGTTTTCACCTTTGAGGCTGGTTGGGTATCAACGGCACGCTTGTCCGACTTTCGTTCTAGTTCTGCCGGTCTGTGCACTACGGTGAATGCTCGAATGTGCTTCTTGCCTTTCCTAAGCAGCGTGTTTGCGGCGTTGTAGATCTTCGATCGCTTTGCATTGTACTTCATTGCATTGAAGCAGATAAGCTCAAAGTCCTCCTGCAGAACGATTGGCAACAAAACATTCAGTGTATCCTGGCGAACTACTCCGTGAAGGTCTCTCTCGCTGAATCTCCATGGCAACTGCCTGCAATGGATTGATGATCCAATGAGACAATGTGCTGAGGCAAGCAAAAAGACTGCCTCTCCATCAACCAAGTTACAAGCTCGATACGGGTACATGGAAAACAAGCTCACCAGCAGATCCTTTATGAGTGAGTACTCCCCGTTCTTGGCCTTCTTCAACATCACCGAGAAACTCATTGGCCGCAGGATGATCTTTGAATATCCAGGCGCAAATGAATCGTCTACGGGCTCGATGAAGCAGGCCAAATCATCCATCCTGCACGGAGCATGCGAAGTGAATGTGGCCATCTGAGAAAATAGAAACCCCCGGGCCCCACCAAGTTGTGATTTGAATCAGATATTACATACATCTACATATTCAGATATGAACAATAGAGAGATGTTCAGCATCAAGCTAACCCATCTGCTCTTCACCTGCACTGAAAATTGCGACGCCTGAACACACATCTGCATCTTTCTGCAGCTTCCCAAAGCTGAGCTTACCTTTTGAGTTCTTCTACCAGCCCCACCATCTGCTGCCTTGCCTCCGTCTCCGCTACATCTCCCCCCCTTTTATTCCCTGCTGCATCTGCACCCCCAGCAGAGTTACCGTTGCCTTCCCCCCGTGCAGACGCCCCCCTAAAATCTGCTCTTGCAAACTGGTCTGTACTACAGGCAGCAGCCCCCTCCCCTTCCTGTGCATACGCCTGCCTTTCCTGCACCAACATTGCGTCCACAATCCGCTGGCTATCCATCTTGCTCTGCTCAACATTTGGACCTGCAGTGTGCGAAATCTGCGCCCCAAACTGTGGGGTATCATGACCCTGACAGAAATGGTCCGGCGGCGGCGCCTGCACCGCTCCAGAGGTGCCGTTCATGTGGTGCAGCCCCGGCCTTATGGTCATGGCAGGGCCGTGGGAGGAGGATTCAGAGGGCTGCAGAAGTCCGGAACACATCGGTAGAGCTCAGTGGCCCAGGGAGTGCAACGCGCTGTTCCTGGCCCAGCCGAACTCTGTCATCATTACCCCCGTTCCCGTTATCTTCCAATCGAAGCAATCCAATGCTATGGGGTCAGCTGCACAAAGCTCCTTCTTGCATCTTATCCAGTCACTCTTCCCGGCTCCCTATCGTCTCTAGCAAACCTTGTTGCCGCCCATGTTCTTCCTGCCATGAGCTGCGGCACCATTTGCTCATGTCAAACCGGAGTCGATTCTGTGCTCAGCTGCAAACTCCGTTGAACAGTCCGAGGCTTCAGTTCGAAAGGTACGTACCGGAGTAATGGGTTAGCATACTGAGGAAATCGTTCAGAACCCCAAGGCCGTTCTTTTGCCCCTTCCGGAATTACTACAAGGGTTACGGTTGACACTTTGAAAACTCGGTTACCTAGGCATGTGGCGGACAGGTGGCCAGCATTACACTAGGCATACCAAGGCACCGGTGCGATGAAGGCTGCGAGTCGAAGCATCGGTACGTACCTGGGTGTCAGCTGGGGACGGTGCGCATGCAAATTTCGCGCGCTTCTGGGTTGAAGTGACGCGACCCCTGCAGTAGGGTCACAGTCGAATCTGGGTTGTAGGAGTGCTTGAAATATCCCGTAAACGCAAAAGTTTGCGGCCCGCAAAACCCACTGTACAAGAAAAGCCGTTGCAGCCTGGAGCCATCCTCTTCGAGGACGCTGGAAGCTTTCACGTGAGAAACCAAGAAGAGGGGTTGCATTTGGCAGAGTAAGAGCTTTGCCCGCAGAGGAACAAAGCAGGACCTTCCAGAGACCCACCCTGACCTTCAAGGGACGTCATCGTGGCTGCGCGGCCGCCATCGCGCATGAGCTATAAGCACGTACCTTATTGAATACGGCCTATACCTGTGCATGCCTGGGATAAATGCACTGACTGATTTGTATGCAATTCTGAACGGAAAGGCAGGCAGCGCTAGTCCTAACGTGAACGAAAAGGGGGACTGGCGGAGCTCTCCCCTTTGAGTTGCACAACCAAGGTCCAGGGGGGAATTGGAGTCAATTGCAGCCTCTCCTATGGAATTTTCCCCACAATCAGGGATCCATCTGAGCCGTAGCGGTTGAAATCCCGCCCGCTCAATCTTTTGCATGGATTAAAACCTCTCCAGGATGGACGTCGTTTTGGCACAGTTGCGGGGTGACATCGCCTCTGGCGATGCCGCCAAACAGATGCAGGCTCTTGCTATCGCTTTGCAGTACTCTGCTTCTGGAACCGACATCTCCTCCTTGGGGAAGAAAGTCTGCGACGAGATTGTGCGAGCTCCTGCCGGCCCCGTCACCAAGAAGCTCGCTTACGATGTCATTCGCAGCACGCGATTGACGGCGGAGCAGTGGGAGGGTGTCTGCCGGGGGGTGGCAAACGATTTAGAATACCACGATAGAGATGTCACAGCTACTGCGGCTGCATTTCTGACTGCAATCCCAAGCTGGAGAATTGGCAAGTTCATCCTTGACCACAACAAGGAGATCACCGCGTGCATCATCGACCCAAATCCTAACGTGCGCCAGGCGGTTCTGGAGGCGCTCGGGTGCCTCCTTGCGCGGGACGATGTCATTCTGCTCTGCTCAACCTCGGGCAATCTCCTAGACCGCGTCAACGCTTGGTACAAGCAAATTGGCCAGTCGATGCTTGACTCCTCAAACCAGGTCTGCAGGGCGGCATTCGAGGCGGTCGGACACTTGTTCGCAGAGTTCTCCGGCAAGCGCTTGAGCCGATTGGCGGGGGACAAACTCATTCCGGGGGAGGCCTCAGTGGCCGTCCGATGTCAGTTTGTGATGACGCTCGTCGACCTCGTGTGGGCCCGCCGCGATCTGCTCATGGCCCGCGCCGCGCTCCTCCCCTTCGAGAGCCTCCGCTACACCGTCCTCCCCCTCGTCTTCGCTGCCCGCGCGCGCGTCACCGGCCTCTTGGAAGAAATGCGCGCCCTCGCCGGAATGCAGGCCTCCTCTGATGTCAGCACCGCTCCCAGAGCCGACAGCGACGCAGAGAACGCCCTGGGGATCGCTGACATCGTCAGCCACCTGGCGCCGTACTTGAACTCTCTGGACCCTGCGTTGGTTTACGAGGTTGGGATCAACATGTTGGCATTGGCGGGGGTGCCCGGGGGGAAAGCGGAGTGGGCGGCAGCTCCGATCACGGCGTTTCTAGCGCTGTGGGATCGTCAGGAGTATGGTGCGGGGAGGGAGGCGCTGGTGCGCGCAGTGGCGTCCAACATACAGCTGCTGGACTTGCACCTGCAGGTGAGGAGCTCAAAAGGTTCGGCTTCTAGTTTCTCTTAGAAATTTTGCTGAAAACTGGACGGTCCCTGCAAGTAAAATGGTGAGACGGCAGTCCAGTCAAGTCGTCCCCTACTGCAATCTATATTGTATAAAAGGGACAATTCAACTGGTCTGAGTGCTGGCGTTATTTTCTGGAGAGAAGGTCTTGTTTGGAAGATTGGAAGCATCTGTTAAACAAGACCTGGGGAAGGGCCTTCAGAAGCGGAATCTCTTTTGGGGCTCAAGACAATTAAAAAGGCGCCATCACCGGAGGTGTGTTTGATGTTAGTGCTACATTTAACCAATCCAATCGCCAGTCCAAGCCCCTCACATGTTTTGGATTATCCGATTTGATCGACATAACCATTCTCCTTTCCCTCTATGCCACGAACATGTGTCTTTCCTTGAACTTGAACTTCAACTTGCTTTTTCATCACGGATCTTCTGCAACACCACATTTCCGCTTTCTACTTGTTTCTCTCAGAACATCATGGCGACCTAACCAGTCTGCCCTTTCGACCTGGTTTCTTGCTCGACCAATCTTCTTGAACGCGTGCTCCTCCTTTCGATCAGTTCACGGACGGCCTCGTCATGGAGTTCCTCACGATCGTATTTGGCGACCTGAACCCCGTGTTTCTGCCCCGCAGGTCGCCCTCTTCAAGCGCCTCCTTCTGATGGTGCGCAATTTGCGTGTCGAGGCCGACCGTATGCACGCCCTCGCGCGCGTCTGCCGCACCGCTCTTGCCGTCGATCTTTTCGCCAAAGGATCCGTCCGCCGTGGTCAAAAGCCGCTCCCGGGCACCGACGTTTCGTCCCTCTTCGAAGACGCCAAGACGCGGGAGGAGCTGTCGGCAGTAACTAGCAGCGGGCTCTTTCGGGAGGAGCTCGTTGCGTGCTTGGTTGAGAGCTGCTTCCAGGTAGGCTGTCGGAACATCTTGCGAACAATGTAGAGTCTCTTAAGTAGGCCATCAGGGAGCAACGAGATGAGCTCTTTCTTTCTTTGACTGCCGGAAACGAACCTTTAAAAAATGCCTCGCAGTTCCGGCAAACGGATTCCGAGCTTTGATTCGATCACCACTCAGCACATGCTCCGTGCTCCAGAATTTTTCGCACTATTTCCGTATAGATTTCTTGAACATCTTTTTGGGCTTCTTCCCCAGCTGTCACAGCCGTTGCCGGAGGCGAGCACGTCTGGGAACCGCGTGCTGGGTTCGCTTGCGCTCGCAACATCACACGAGGCCATGGGCTGGACGCACGCCGCGCTAGGGGTCGTTGAAGTCTGCCGGCCGTGCATCAAGTGGGACTGCAATCAACGCACGTATGCCATGGTGAGGGCTGTTTTTGGGCCTCTGAGAGCAATTTCAATAGTTTCGAATCGTCGAAGTCCCAGTACACAAAGCTGCATGTTCGTGCAGAAGGGCCACCGTCGCAACTTGCGTGTTGATCTTGAGCCTTGAATACCATAGCGAGGGCCATAACCTCTTTTCTAGGAAGGAATCCATACTAGGCTGCACAGCGGATCTCCCTGATTTGCGCAACCTTTTTACAGTGTCAGGATTATTCTCGTTTTCAAGCTTCTCAAGCGTCTAAATAGTCATAGTCTATAGTTTCAACATTCTTAGTTTTTGGATCGCTTTTGACTTCGCCTTGGTTCTACTCCCTTTTGAAGTATCCGAACGCTGCCAACTTTTCAAGTCGTCCACTGCGAAATCTCGTACAAAAGTTAATAAGTCTGGGTCGGATTTTCTGGTTGCTTCAAAGGGCGGCGAGCTTCCGGGACTCTACGAAAAGCAACGCTCAGGAACTGAACACCCAGAACTTGTAAGATTTCAATTTAGGTATAGTAAGCTACCCAGCCTGGGACGGGTGGGGTTACTTTGGGGGTTTAGGGTGGTGCGGGTGGGGAGCTTTTGAGGGTTCGGTTTTGATTGTCAGGGTAGGAGCTTACTATGTCTAGAGCTTACTAAACCTGAACCGGGACACCGAAATCTGCTGCCTGTCGTAGGACTCGTATCTGCGCCTCCTCGTCCGGCTCTGCCACCTGTACGAAACGTCCGCGGGCGTCAAGTCCGCGAAAGACGGCGCGACGTCCGAACAGATCCTGGCGGAACAGCGCCTCCAAGTTCTCCAGAGGCAGCTCCTCTTGGATCTCAAAGATGTCGCGACGCGGCGCATGCGCGTGCGCTTGCTGTGGGCGCTGTGCGAGCACCTTAACCTGGACGGGTTAAACCCGTTGTTAGCGGATGACCCGACGGACCCGGTCAACATTCTGATCTTCAACCTGCACGAGCTGCTCTTCAACGTCGACTCGGGGACGGCGCTCGTGACCAACCGGCTGCAGGTAGGGAATCCCGTGTAACTTTCTCCGTTTATTTTCTAGTTTGTGGAACCTGGATGTGGGGACAAATGCACTTACACTTTCCGACTAAGTCAGCATCGATTCGATAACGCAAACCAGCCTCGAATGCGTGAAGCGGGGACTACGCGTTTCGAAAGTCGAAGTGCGTGCCGTTCTCGCATCGGAAAACTGATGTCGGTCGAAGCCCCGAGAAGCTTCTTCCTGCCAAGTTTTGAAAAACTCGAAATGCCTGTCGGCACGCAAGATGATGTCGGCTGAGACGACGAAGCCCCAAACCCAAGAAAACCCTTTGCTATACATTATGAGACTTCCTGTTTCGACCAGTTCGCAGATGCAACAGACTCTCCCACTCATTCCAAGCAGGCCCCCGACCATCCCGATCCCGTCAGCAAACAACAATAAAATTGCCTAAACAGTTTTCTTTGCGTTTCTTCTGGCAGGACGTGCAAGCTCTGCTGCTCTGCGCACAACACCTCGGCGCAAGGAACGCCCGTGCGGCCGCGCTTCTAGTTCTCGACCTGGAAAACTTCCGGGGCAGCAGTCTGGCGGATACGGTGAACAAGAACCAGTGCCGGCTCGTGGTCAACGTGCTCAAGTACATCCAGGAGAAGCCGCTCTCGAGGTGGGGGGCTCGTTGTGGCGGAAAACTGTCCCCATAATCACAGAAATACACGTTGCTAATGGAGGAAGTTGCATTATGGTGATTGTGAAGCAGTACCGGCTCGAAGAAGAGGGCGCTTGAAAACTGTCAAAAAGGCATCTGCGTCCCTGATGAGGGGCTCGATTTGTGAGGATCTTTCTAAGAAAAGCGGTCCTCTTATTGTCTCCTTTTGAAAAAGTTGACTCTCTTTGTACTTGGGATAGTTGCATCGTCCAGGCTTGCCTGGTATCTACTTTGAAATCGAACAAGATGTCCGTATTTCCGAGACCTTTTTACTGCTCCATAATTCCTGCATCCGACGGTCCCGGATAGGTGGCCAACCTCTTATGTACAGGTATCTTGCCGTTTGGATCTCACGATGACCTCCCGATGACCATCAACCAGGGAACCCAATACTCGAATATGTTCATTCTGAGTCCTCAACGTCGGATGATTCATCTGGACACGTCTCCCGTCAGCAGATGGACCGGCTGGGTGCGCGGCACCGGCGAGTACCCCTTCGGACACCAGAAACTCTCCGTCCAGTACAACGAGCCCGCGTCCGCACAGGACCGCAAACTGGAGTCCCTCGTCAAGACCGCGGTGCAAGAACTGTGGCGGCCGGCCCCTAGCGAACTCGCCCTGGCAGTGACCGGGGGAAGGACAATCCGCCCGGTTAGCGCAGCCAAAACACTGTCAGGGAGCAGCGACCCGTGCTTCCTGGAGGCGACGCACCTGGCGGACGTCAACGAGAGGAAGCTGACGCTCAACATGAAGGTGGGTGGGCTTTTCCGTGTGTGTGACGTAAGCCTGATGTCAGAGTGGATGGGACGGACAACGGGCCTGCACAAGTGTCGTGAGGATGATCTGTTGGAAATGGCATTCCCGTCCCAAACGTTCAAAGTTGTTTTTGCTGAGTGCTGCAAAGAGGCCCGGAGGCTTTGGTTGCTTCGTTGTCAGACCTGCTTTTGTTGTGCTGGCGAAAGGTTGAGCCAAATATGGTTCGATGTTATTTGGCCCGTTGGTGGAAGCATTTCAACGTCGACAAACCAACTCCCCGCTACTGCTGCTTCTCTAGAATTCAGTAGTCTGAGATCTGCTACGACCTGGAGAGATCGGGCAAAGACGGCTGCCCAAGCAGAAACTGGGAATTGTTGGATCGCGTTTCGTCTTCTCGACGACCTTCTATGAGGTCATGTGTTCATTTCGGTTTCCCCGCCGAACTTTGGGGAATCCAAGAGTTCCAAATCCAAAATTCTCATGGAAGTATCTTCCTTGAACAGATCGTGAACGTGACGGAGCTGCAATTGCCGCAAGTGGACGTCCGCGTGGGCTTGGACGGCGCCGTCGACTTTCTGGACAAGTCGCCCCAGGCGCTGCGCCAGCTCAAGGACCTCGCCTCGCAGGTGGATTAGCTTGACCCGCGCTCAAGTCTGCGTTCCGTCCCCTTTTTTCTGTCCCCAGCCTTTTGACCTTTTTAACGCGATGTCTTGTTATCGAAGTCAGTATTTTAAGCTTGAGTTGGCTGGTGATTGGGACAACCTGATGCAAGCGCCGTGCCAGCTGAAAGTTTCTGCTTCATAGGTGGGTAGCTTTTCTCGACAGGAGCTCCCTCCTGCTTCTTTGCTTCTCAGTATCACTCGCTCGCGTAGTCCATTGAATAGTCAAGGCTTCGAGGCTCCTCATCCGTTGTTCTGATAGTGTTCACCCATGGAGTAGGAAGTGAGGGAATGCTTTGCCCCATGGATCGATGTTACGTAGTTTTTTTACGGAGATGATTCTAGTGGGCGAAGTCGGACAACGCTGACGAATATGAAGAGTTGAGCGATTGGAGACGATTTGGATGACGCAGCGGTCTCGACACTCAGTAAGGTCTCAGTGATTTGCAGGCTCTGCATCCTATACTGCCTGTCCTACTTCTGCGGGCTCAGACCCGGTCAACAGTTTTCAGACGATCCATGCGATCCGCTCAAGAAAGAGTGTTGCTCATACGTTTGCAGTAACACTCCGCACCCCTGATTTGTGCAGGACCCCGTCTTAGCTGACGTCACTGTAACCGTTTCCAAGTTCGAGCGGTGCACCCTGAACGTCCAGCTGCTCTACTACCCCGGGGGGGGCGAGTCGCCTGCTGCCTCCGCTCTCGATGAGACCCCCCTGAACGAGTATGGCGACATTCTGCCCCGCAGCCGGCGCGGGAGTGCGAACGCGGTAGTAACGCCTGGGCGGGGCGAGTGCGTCGTGTTGCGGTGCAAGCCCTACCGAGTGCCGCTCACAGGTGCGTTTTGATTTCGAAACGTTTCGAAGTTTCAACGTTGCAGAGTGTTCAAGTGTCAATATGTGAACATTTTCGAAGAGGGGCCCTGTTTCTTGGACGTTTGAGATAGTGCGACTTGAGGAAGAGAACTGAGCGCAACATCCCCTGTTCTAGATTTTCTCGACTAAGGTTTGTCCCCGTCGATTGAGAGCTTGTATCTACTTTAATTTGATTCGGAGCCAGCGTGTGATGTCCCTCGTTTTCAATGTGCCTGGACTGCTCCCCCTCATTATATTGTCATCTCTCCCATATTCATGCTCTGACGTCAACCAAAGCACAATCTTCCCCTCTCAGAGCTGCTCCGTCCTCAAGAAAACCCCCGTCAACTTCTTTCGCCTGTGGCCGACCCTCTCCGCTATGACCGATTTTACGTACGCTTATGATTACGAGTCCACTGGAATCCTCTCTTGCATCTTTAAGTGACGTCACCCAAACTCATTCTCTGACGTCATTCTGCACAGAATTGCTCCTCCCCATGGAAAGCGCCCCCGTCGACTTCTTCCGCCTATGGCCGACCCTCCCCGCTATGGCCGACTTCACGTGCGCGTATGAATACGACCCCACGGACAAGGACGCGTCTGCGGCCGGCGCGGGGCTGCCGCCGTTCATGTCCGGCCTGGCGGCGCTGGCGGGGAAGCCGCTCGCGCGCGTGTGCAGTCACATCATTCGAACTACGCAGGGCTTCCAGGTGGGGTACTGTTTGCAAAACCCATCCTTTCTGTTTCTTACGCTTGTATTTAGTTGAATCAACCCGCTTATTCAAGCCGCCAAGGGGATTGAATAACCTGGGGAAAAGCCTATTTCATGTGCTCCGCACTTGTGTCGCTCCAAAATCTTGGAACAACCCCGGAATCCGTTCGCTGCGAAGCCGCTCGCGTGTGTGTGCAGCCACGTCATCTGGACCACGCACGGCTTCCAGGTGCGCCGATATTCCAGTAGTCCAGAATAGAGTGGCGTGAATTTGAACTGGTAGGGTTCTGAGGATTGCGTTGGATAGCTTCTCAGCGTTATGGTGGTGATTTTGGATTTTGACGGTCGACAAAGTTCGAAGGGTTCTTTGGGAGTTTGGAAATAACATCTTGAGGTTGTCGAAATCTCCTGTTTGAAATCATGAGAAACTGTACGGTTTTCCTAAGCACAAGAAACACGAGATCCGGGTCGCTGAGCTACAGGACTTGGGATACACTGGCCGCTTCGTCCGGATGACTTCAGTGTCTACATCTGTATCAGAGTTGGTAATCCTTCGCAGAGTGGAACAAAGTTGCAATCGCGTGAGGCGTTTAGGTCGCCGTGAGTTCAAGACACGCAGTCACAATCATTGACACCCCTCCTTCCTTCCTTGCAGTTGTGTTACCTCGCCCGGACCTGGTTCGGCGACACTCTGGCGATGGTCGTCTTCGGGAACAGCGAACCAGCTACCGTCGGGGGTTTCGGCGATGACGTCACGGTGGCGTCATGTCGGTTCGTGTTCCGGTCCAGCAGCGAACACGTGGTGGCGGAGATCAAGGCTGAAGCGCAGGTAGGGGGGTGGTCTCATAATTCGGGACCTCCCAGTGGAACGCGTATGTGGTCTTTAGACTCTGTCTGATCAACTCCCAGTCCAAGTGTGTTACGAGGAACTGGTTCAGCTTTATCATCAACGCGTTTGACAGACCAGAGAAAGGTTAGGAGATGCAGCCGCTGTCAGGATCACTTCAACGCCCGTGTCTACTTTTCCGTTCCGTTGGATTGCAATAGCAATTGGCCAGAGGATCCGACACAAATGCAAGTGCCTTTGAAGCGAACTGCTCCTTGCTGCGCTTCTGGTTCCCCTTTTACAGCGCCAGCAAAGACATCTTGCTATCTTCCAGCGATACTTCGAACCAAAAGCTCTCCCAATCATCCAAGGTTCACAACCACACTTACTTTTGCGCAGTTTTGGTTCGACGACCTGACGGACGGCGCCGTCCGGCTGCTGACGGAGCGCGAAGTGGAGGCGGACGCGCGCGCGAAACTAGAGCGGGCGATGCAGCCGGTGCACCTCAACCTGCCGCCCATTAAGACGCGACAGGACGACAGCCTGCTGCCCGGGATGGGGCCCCGGGCGCCCACCGGAGCGGCGGAAGAGCAGATGGCGCTGCAGACGGCGGTGCTGCAAGAGTGGCACGTGCTGAGAGCGCAGCAGGTGCATTAATGACTGTGTCAGAGGTGATGTCAGAGGCCAATAATGATGATTGTGGCGGAGCGGCAGACGGTGAGTCTGGCAAAGTGGAACGTGCTAGGTGCGTCGATGACGAGGTGCGGATCGAAGCTGGTGCTTGATAGTGTCATCTGCTCGAAGCACACTGAGTGCAGAGATCTGGGCCGAGAAAGTCTGATGTACAGTGTCAGGTGCTTGACCAAACTGCTGGATATTGTGCCATCCCTGTCAAAGCTCAGGCTGGTGAGTATTGTTTCCTAAACGCTACCAAAACCAATGGTTTTGTAGTACATGTAATTTTGCGAGGACTCTTAGCCCAAGCTGTAATTGCATGCGCCACATACCTCAACATGACCGCCCACTGCAGGCCAGGCTGCCGCTGCCCATATGCGCATTTTGTCCCATGCAAGCTTCAGTGCACATGATGCATGAGCGTTTTATCGCACGGATATGAAATATCGCATTGCATGCTCAGTACCCGATTGTCATTGTCTATAGGTATACATAATGTTGGCCTAAAGGCCAGGCACCTAGACTACCAATGCTTGCGCAGTGTAGTCATGTGCACATTTTTAGGATCGCATCGCATTGCGTGCCACAAATTCCCGGAGCATCATGAAGCAACTTGAGAACTACCGAGATTTTGCTGCAACATATAATGGTGGCCATCAATGCTACACGCATGCACGTACGATCCCCCTGCATTGGCAGTGGTGGCAGATCAAGATCAGTAAGTCAGTGGACAGTACTATCCAACGCAGCTTGCGTTGAGAACCGGGCAGCCCTTCAAGACCTTTACAAGCGCTGTTTACGTGCACTCTTTACCTCCAAACCTAATCCTTGTCGTGTAGGCAACGAGATCGAGACGATACAAGTTCCATCTTTCAATACAATCCACTAAACACCAGGTACGTCCTATTTGGCGCTGCTGTGTAATTTGAAGCCGAATATTCTAGGCACGTAACTCTGGGTCGGCTTAGGAGGTTTGATGTAGGAGTAAGTCATCAGGAACAGGTGGGGAAACGTTGTCCCGAAGTACGCCCCGTCGATGTCTGTCACATTTTCCGTCAAGGAAAACCAGCTTCTTGAGAACGGATGCAGAACAAAGGCTTGGAAAGATGCTTTTAAAACCACATAAGTTCTCGTTCAACTTCGGTGCCCCAAGCGAGATCAAACCGGCGAGCAGCAAGCACACGCAAAACGCGTCAAACACAAGTAGCAACTCAACCGCAAAACGCAAACAGAGCATAGCAGGAAAGGGCAAGCCAAGCACGGTTCCGAGGATACTGCCTTGGTACTTCGAGCGCGGGTAGTAGATGTCTTCGCATTTGGGGCAGTAAATCTTGACGGTGCTCGTTCGCGGGATGTCGGACTGGCCCATCGGGAGGCACGGCTGCCCGGAGCAATAGACCCGGGGACACCGCCCGAAGTCAACGTTCTTGTACTTTTCCAGCTGCAATAAAGATAGATAAGTAACAGATTTATACAATACGAGAGAGAAGATAAGATTTACATATTAATAAGGAAAAGATCAAATGATCAGAATGTCTCTCCACTCTACGACTACAAATTGCGAACGCCCGGATCCGTTTGGCCACCTCCTGCGATCTGCCCTGAAAGCAGGTGGACCTAAGAATGGGTGCGTCGGGGAAGGATTGGCAGACCAGACCGCAGACTCGACCAACAAGGTCAACTTCTTGTACTTTTCCAGCTGCGTTAAGACGCAACATATTCTCGTCTTGCAAACAGTGCACAAGCAAGAGCCCGGTGTCGTTTGGCGTTTGGCCAATCTGCCCAAGTACTCCTGAAAGCTCGAAGTTAAGGGAGGAAAAGCCAGAGCAAATTTCCAAGTCGACCAACACGGTGAAAGTCTTCCTCGTTCCAAGTACCGAAAGGGCGAGCATCTTCGTCTAAGACAACACCAAGAAGCTACATGCCCGTGTCTCTTTGGAAGACCAATGCGCCAGTCTGATATCAGAACGGGTCCGTTGAATGTGGCAGCAATAAACCAGGAACGAGATTTATTGACCTGGTGTCCCTTGAGCTGGAAAGGAAGGGGCACCTTTTCCACGATGCAGCGGTTGAAAAAGCAAACGCTCAAATTTTGTTACAAGCGGATCGCGTCTGACATGCCGACCTGATATGTCAGCGGACTCAGAGCCGGCGCGAGCTAATAGAAAGGAAAAGACCGGACAGAGACGACCCAGCTCTAGGGAGGACGCTCCTCTTCGAGAAAGTCTTCCACCCCTTTTCATTACCCCTTAAATGCTTGTCGTGTGTCCTGACTCGAACGTGCATCATATCTAGTGAGAAGACTGTCAATCCAGAACCAGAAAGCGAACAAAGAAAAGAGGACCGTTTATCCTGATCTGCTTCTAAACGCCGGCTGTCGTGACCAGCATTTACCAGATCCCGGATGCAGACGGGAAAACTGCGTGAGCCCTCACCATGGCGCTCATCCCTCTCGTCGTGAGAATGTACCGGACGTGGATCAACCCGTAGAGCATCTCCGCCGCAGACTCGACCATCTCGTGCTGTTCCTCGGTTAGCATGTCATCTGTCAGCGCAAGGAACGATCCGTGTGTGGGGTCGCCGTCACGAACATGTCAAAGAAGTGCTTTCCGCATTTGCGAAATACACGTTTTGAAGAGCATAGCAATCAAGATGTGGGCTCCGAATCTGTTTCTATCCAGCTTGACAGGAGGAATTGGAGGTGACTTGCGAGGCTGCAGTTCCCGTGATGCCTTGCACGTCTCAAGAATATCAGGACCAACTAATCATTCTTCAGAACATTAATGGAGCAGCTTGAGTTCTCAAGAAGCCCTGAAACATACTCCAATGCTCAAACATACCGCAACAGTATCCAGAGCGGACTAGAGCCCCTCAGCCGCGACCCACAAATGCATTGAAACAACAAGAGATTGTTCTTCTTAACATAGTCATAGCTTCTGCAAAGTCCTCTTTAAAAGCTGTTGGTTGGTTCCGCTCGGCACGAGTGAAAGCTTGATGTACTTTTACGTCCTCACTAGATTTGAAATCGGGTGTCCTTGTATGTTCACAACGATAACTCACAAACGTTCACAAGCGGTATGTCTGCAAGCGAACCCAGACGTCCTGAGAAAAGCTAGGCCACAGCAAAGGGAAAGCGACACGGAAAGGCGACCTACCATTGGGTGATTCGACGTCCAAGATGAGGTCCAGAGCATAGTCATAATAGGGCACTTGACTGCTCAGGCCGCTGAGGTTAAAGTCATCCTGGATGTACTCGTCGTCCACCTCGCAGAAGAACTCGTTCCCCTTCAAGCTGCAGAACCACGCGATCCACGACGTGTCCTCCTCGTCGGACCCGCTCACGTCGGACTCTTCGCTGTCGGTGTCCGAATCCTCCCCTGCGCAGAGGAATACGCGGAAGATGATATCAGTTTCAATCTCTTTCATAGAAACCGAACGCAAGCAAACGCTTCATTCACATGTGCTGTTGAACTGAAATTTCCCCTGCACAGAGGCATGCGCGGAAGAGTGTTTCAGTGTCAAACCCTTCCGTAGGAATGTGGGTTGAGCAAACGGTTCTCCTTCCACACATGCTGTCGGTGTCCGAATCTTCCCCTGCGCAGAGGAGTATGCGGAAAATGATATCAGTTTCAATCTCTTTCGTACAAACCTAGTTTTCGAAGCAAACGGTTCTTGTGCTGTCGGAATAGATTCCTTCCCTGTGCAGAGGAACATGCGGGGAATGATATCCGTGTCAATCCCTTCCATGGGACCTAGTTTAAGCCAACGGTTCATCCTTCCACCCGTGCTGTTGGTGTCCAATCCTCCCCGGCACAGTGGAATATGCGAAAGATAATATTGGATCCGATTTTCTCCGCGGAAACCCAGTTTAAGCAAACGATTCTCCTCACACAATTGCTGTCAAATCAGGATCCTCCCCTGCGCAAAAATCAATGAAATGATCTGCTGTAGATTGAACGCTCGGTGTTTCAAGATTTCCCTGCGGTAAACGAGGGATGATGCAAACCTCGCAGAACAAGCTGTCGTGCTACTTCCTCCCCTGTTAAGAAAATGGATGATCGTTTGTCTTTAAATGAAGCGACAAAGTCCAGTTGTTTTTGTTTCCATCATGCACACCCACAATCAGAGCCAGTGACCTGCTCACTTGCACTGTTGGTAGCTAAGTCGGCCCTGCACAGACCGAATACTACCACCCTATTTGGGAGCAAAGATATGTCGGATCTCAAAGGCACTCCCCTGCCCAGGTTGATTCAGCATCATTCAAGCTGAGTTGAACTTTAAAGCCAAGATGGTCAGTGAAATTTCATGCCGTTGAGATTCTTGCGTGCCAAGCCGATGGATGGTCAGAAGAAAAAATGTTGGAAAGCGGTTGCTCCAGTTTGGGTTTTACATTGGTGAGGGTCTTTCCATGCACATATTTGAGAGTGAATGACTCGAGGGACCTTGAAAGATGTCCTGACATGGGAACAGCCAGAGTAACACCGATTACGAAAGGGCCTGTTTGGCGCTCTTGCAATTTCAACGTCCTGAGACAGCCAGCGGGGAGCTATTGGACTGCGCAGCTCTCCTTGCAAAACATCTCTTCTACGACCCTAAACAGATTGAGGGCGGCCCAGTGCTGCTGAATGATTGGGGGGCAACCAACAGCACGATGGACTTTGCCCTGATCCATCAGCAGTTTCACTGTGCGCTGACTTCTAACCAGAGGTTACACACAAGAATGAATGTCTAGGTAAATCCTTACACCACCCCGAGATCACACCTCCCAGCAGATCTTGGTGCTAGTGCAGGCTAGAGCCGGGTTGTGAAGAATACTTTCTTAGGGCAGAAAACAGAGCAGTATCTCTGAAGTGTGCACACTCAAGCCCAATTCGAAGGACTCAGCCAGCAGCGATTGCTATTTTTGTAACATGCCAGCACCACCTCTCCCGGAAGTTAGCCCCTAGTAGCAGCAGCAGCGAAGGCTCTTGCACATGAGCACGACCATTGGTTGCATAAACCAGAGTGCACCCTTTATTTCCCGCTTGGAACCCCTAAAACTGCCACTGTAAGACAGTGTTGGCCAAAACCAGCCATCCGAGCAAGTAAACCACAAGCAACCACTGGCCAGCCGTCAAGTGCCACCTCCTTCTGTACACCGCAGAACGGCTTCTCAACAAAAAGGAAGCGCTCCACTAACCGTCATCCGGGTATGTGCTCTTGTCAAAGTTGCCCGCCCGGGCTTCGGTCGCGCTGCTCCTGCGCATGGCTCCTGCCGTTCCTCCCGCAGACCTCTCCCTGTCCCGAGAACCATTCCCCCGCGAGGACGGCCCCGCCCTCTCCCCCCCGTCCACGTCCGCACGCTTCTTCCCCAGCTCTTCCCGGCCCACGGAGTCCTGCTTAGCGCTGCGTGCCTCCCCTTTGTACATGTCCGAGCAGATTGAAGCACGATTGCTGCAATTGCGCAAAGCTGGCTAGATGCACAGAGTGGGCCTTTGCTAGCGGGTGCGGTGTTGAACGTGCTGCGGTGAGTGCCTAAGATCCGGCCCTTAATGCAGATAGGCTGCTTTAATATGCGTCTGAAAGTGCTTACAAGCGGACGTGACTGCTGCTCAGTGGCTGAGTACCCAACGCAGATGACACAAAGAGGGAGATCCAGCCAACTTAATAGATGCTCCAAGTCTGGGACCGGGCCAGCCTGCACAACCACAAAATCACATCCTGTTTCTATGCAGAAGACCGCTGAAATGTGTGTCCGTCACATTCCACTGCAGCAAGAGGCTAAGCAGAAAAGGGAAAATGGACTGTCCGTGATTGTCCATGAATTATATCATGGAAGAACATCATTGAAGACGTTGCATTTGTTGCACAGCGGACGGGACTGCCACAACCGAAAAGCAACAGTACAAGTTGATGCCAATTGGTAAACCAGTTTCCTTACCTGGACAAAACGTATTCCTCAACCTTCAGGAGCCAAACAATGCAACAAGAACACAGAGCTTCGCAGGACCCGAGCGGGACTTCCCATAGTCCTTGTCCAGGCTGTAGCTATGCAGAAAGCCGCGTAGAGAACTCCACACAAATCAGCCGGCTTAAGAGCCTGCTGTAGTAATAGCCTGCTCTCCGTGCCACCAAGCTTTGCTCGACTTTCTATCGACCAAGCTTGCACTGGCAACAGGCGCTGGTCCTTGAAGTTGAACTCAAGAAATTAAAGCTCCACCTCTCCTGTCTGGCAGCCTTGCAAAGCTAGGCTAGCGTGGCAAGCCCTTTCCCGCGCTCCCGGATTCCGGCCGCTAGCGGACTCCTGAGGGGCCGGAATCCGCTGCCACGGGGCCGGGTTCGTTTGGCTTTGCCCAATTTCGAAAGCAGCAAGTTGCAAGCGGCTTTCTGTCTATGCATTTGGGCAGTCTGTGGCATGTGCATCCGCAGGTGTCGACATTCCACGTGGTCAAATGTCATTTGCTTTGCAGAGGAAAGGCGGCGTTCTGTCTTCCACGTGGAAGGCAGTGGTCAACAATCTGGCCGGGAGCAGGCAACGCCAAGCGAACAACCAGAGTGCATGGCCAGGGCCCAGCACGAGCTGGGGCTAGAATGGGGAGCACTGGGCAGCATAGAACATGGTGCCCGCTCACTAGATTGTCCCAAGCACCAGCTTCTATGAGGTAGTAAACTTTTGAGGGAAAGGTGTTATAACTTATAGATGGGCAAACCGGCTAAGATGAGGACTCGCTGATTCTGCGTAGAAGGAAGCAGGGTGTGTTTTTGCAACGAGCAGCTCAAACGATGGTCGAGCAGCTTCAGGGGCCACAAGCTGCAATTTATGTAATACAGACTGCGCCGTCATCTGCTTAGTTTTCAGATTCAATGCTGCGGTGTTGATCTCCGGTCATGACAACCAAAAGGTGACGTGCTGACAGAGCTATGGGGACGGGTGGTTCTAAGCATGGGAGGCCTGGGGTTTATGAAACCGGCTGGTTGAGAACGTTAGAAAGTGGGGACTCTCACAGATTAGACGTCTCTGTGACTCAGTCTGCCGCAGTTGCGGGTGACCAAAGTCGGCAGGTCCCAGCCGCAGCCAGTGATACTGACACCGTCATAAACCCTGCAGAGGGCGGGCAGAAAGCAGGTGCGGGCTGGTGTTAACCTGCTAGTCATCTTCCATGAAGTCTTCAGCTTTCGAGCGGTTTTTGACTTATTGCTGGTCGTTGAGGAGTAATGAAAAGCTTGTTTGCCTCATATTTGACTTGGTGTGACTTGTGCGGGGTTTGGGGCTTTGAGGACAATCAAGAGACAGATTGATCGCATTGCGAAGTGCTGTGAAACATGGATAGCTGGCCGTCCACGGCATTCAGACATCTTTACTTCATTTTGGAACATTCTGCAAGCCCTTAAGATATGTGCGAATCAGAAAAGGGCGTGATCTGTCGACATCTGGGTGCAGATACACCACACAATGGTGACACTCTGTCTGGATCTCCACCAGACAACACTGACTTAAACCAGAAGGTGAGCCGTTGGTTCTGGATTCTCTGCAACAAGTCTCAGGGCATATGTGATTGTCAAATTTGGTTCAATGTGTAACTTGCTGGGTTTGAAAAGTGTTTTGTCTGGTTGAGCGGGCAGTGGTGTTCACAAATTCTCTGCGTTTGCAAATTCTTTGAGCACTTGTAGGGAAGGGAGCGCCTGGCTATTGTGGTCACTCCCCTTGTCAAAGCTGCTCCAAGGCAGCAAACCACGAGTTTTTATCTCCTCATTCTGACCTCTGCAGGCTCAGCGAGAATCTTCTATAAACAGGGGGGCTCCAGCAATCGACTCCAGCGCCCTGCAAGCGGTGTTGGGAGAAGGTGAGCGTGGGGACTCTGGTATCTCTTGAGTATCTTAAGGGCCGATTGTTTTAAGGAGAGCACCCGGGACGGGTGCGGTCATTTTGGGGGTTGGGGTGGGTGCGGGTGCGGGTGCGGAGCGCGCAGTATTTTGAGTTAGGGGTTTTACCTGAGGTGCCCGGGGCTTATGTATCCTAATCAATATCCTGCTAATACAATCTGGAATTACCAGTCCAGCATGGGGCCCCAACCTTCTGATCATTCTTGGGGGACCTCCTTCAGTGTTTCAGCCCAAAGACCGCCGCTTGTCATGAATCGATGTGAGACAGGGAAGAAATCAAACACTGTGACAGTCAGAATTATCAGAGTAAACTCAAGAAAAGGTTGTTATTGTTGTTTGAGACCTGAGCTGCTTATCTGAGCAAGAGAGCCTTTGGAAGCCCACCTCACAGAGACATTTGTTGCCAGACTATCCGGGATGAGGGAATTCGGTCTAATCAGGCTGTTGATATCAAAATCTGTCAGCTCATACTACCAACATCCTTTGCTTCAGTTAGTCAGATGGGTTTCTCAACAACTGCGGACCACGGTGGTAGGTGCATCTTCTGAATCTGCAGGACGCTGATAGGAGCGCAAGCGTGAGAAGCTCTCGTCTTTGAAACATGTCCTGGGTGCCTTGCTTGCAGGGGCGAGAGCTGATTATGCGCAGTGGGTGGTACACGACTTTTCCAAGTTGCTCAAAGAGCAGTACGGCGTTGCGACGTCCACACCCTTCCAGTTGGCAGGTTTCTCTTGGTGAGCTTTGTCTTGCCTGCGTCCTGGACGCTGCGAATACCTAGCCTTGCAAGTTGCAGGGCCTTAGAATGCTCAGATTGCCGGACAGTCGTCCAATTAAAAGGAAGGACACACTCTGACGAGAACTGGGGGCTCTATTCCTAGTCAGGGGCTCTATTCCTAGTCAGGAAAGGGTCTTTAGGGTCCTCAGAATTGGGGTTTTGGCAAACCCAAACGCCCCGACAGCTGACGTCCTGTGAACCTTCCGCTTTCAAAAGTCTGTCAGTTTACCACGATGGCGGTCTGGTATTCCTTTTCCTTCCTCAAATGCGCGGTCTATTTGAGAATCTGTGGCGTAAAGTTCTCTGGTTCCAATCAACTTTTCGATTCTCGCTAGATCTTCCGTGTGGCTGTAAGATTCTGATTAAGCAGGGGCAGGGTCTCTTTTCATGGGACCGTGGTTCCTGCTGTTTTACGAGCTTTCTAGATCTTTTGCAGTACTCAACTATGTCGCCTCCCTCAGGCATCAAAAATTATCAAGATTTTTTTGTTGCAGGCAACTGCACATTGTTGCTGGCTCCGCTCTTAAGCACGTGGTGGTGCGGCTCCGCATGCTCAATCTGGGACTCTTCTCATTCAAGCGGAATCCTATCAGGCTGCGAGTTTCGCTTCGGAGTCGGGATCCCTTACGCACACTCCATGTTGGTAAGGACAGATGCTCTTGCCTAAGTTTTCGCCTCCTCTATTCTGCTCCGCTGATCCTCCTCAAGTCGCTGCTCTTCCTCTCCCCTTCTCACCGCCATCCTGTCACCTTTCTTTCTTTCCGCTACATTATTTTTTGTCATTAGCTTTATGTTTCAATTTGAAGTCCTTTTGTACCAACTTCCAGTCACTTACACCGTCCCTGCTTCGTACATCGCTACACTACCTTTGATAAAATTCCAGGGTATGGCTCGATTGGGAATCCTTTGTGGAGGACTGGGTATTGCTCCAACTGTGCAGCTGCGTCTTGTCAGAGCTGCAGTTTGTGTGTGCGTCTCTTGAACGTTCTTCTGACGTATCGTTACATCCTAACCCAGCCCCGTGGTGTGTGTTCCCATGTGTGGCATTGTGACCGAAGAACTACACGAGCGGTGTAATAGAGACTATCTCTTCTTGCCTATCCGCTCTGTCAAACTTTCCATTGCTCCCTCCAGACGCCTGCCATCGCTTCCGTAGCCGCAACAGCGACGAGTGGAATTCGGGCGGTCTCATCGTCCTGGAAGAGTGCCTCGACCCCGCCAGCGGCTATGCAGAAGGAGATCTTCTAGCGGGAGACCTCGTTCTGTTCCGAGGTGCGGATCCCTTCTCCATTTTCGAAGCTTTTCTCTCTCTCTTTCCTATTTCGTAAATCTGACTTTCCAACTATGTATCAGCTCGTTTCGTGCTAAGCTTTCTCGGGCTCGTGTAGTGCGTAATGTTGGGCGTCTGAGTTTTATTGTCTGTCAACACCTCCAAAGCTGCCCCATTGGCCTAGTGTATCTTCTAGCCCAAGTCTTTTGGAGCGACGACCTGATTCGATCACTAGTCCTTGGTCTCCGCAACTGCTTTCCTTACTGTTGCGTTTTTGTTAACAAGAGTGCATGCAACGCTTACAAGACGACAGCTTGTTCCAACTCGGCAAATAATCAACCAAACTGTTCTGAAAGCAGAAGCTCGCTGATCTTTTATTCTTTACTATTCATGTCATGGTGGTTCCCTTCCCCCGAACAGATTACAGCGATGAGGGGCGCAGCCTATGGAAGTCGCCCCCCCCCACTTTGGCCAGCACATCGCGCCCCCTCTGCACGATCGGGTTTTCTCACTCGCACGTTCTGGGGGGGGCGGAGCTGGTCAGCCTTAAGCCGAAGCTGGTGACGTTCAAGAACTTTTTATCTGAAATGGAGTGCGAGCACCTCATTGCAATGGCCGGACCGAACCTAAAAAGGTGAGCGGGTTTTGACCGCATATCCTAGATCTAGCCGCCTGATACAGCTTCGCGGTCCTTTTTTCCAGAATGGGGCATCAGCCTCGGTTAGCAGCACCTTGCAATGGCGATATGCTAAAACGTTGCGTATGCACAGCAATTCAGAGGTTGGTTTATGTCCGGCTGTCATTATGTTGCCGTCTCCTGATGCCACCTTCAAGGCCCCAGAGTGTGGTTTTAGTAACAGCGTTACAATCAATACAGAACGGTTTAAAGAAGCTTATGCAGAAGAAACATTAGAGCTAGCCGTCTCGTTTCGGGCAGGTCGTTGGTGTCCGGCCGCGCAGTGTCCGAGAACCGGACGTCGTGGAGCATGTTCATGACGGGCGAGCTGTCGGACGATCCCATCGTGGCGGCCGTTGAGCGGCGCTGCCTGCTGTACGGGGGGATCATCGGAACGCGGCTGGGATCGGATCGGGAGCGGCTACAGGTGCGCTAGGCGGAGACTCGGATTCTTGCTGATTATTGGAGATAATATTTCCAGATAATCAGAGCTTGTTCTGCAGACTTTTTGCGTCAGGAACGGGGTTTGGCGACCGTTGGCTGTGGTGATGGGCTGTGTTCTTGGAAGGGTTTTGGAATCTGCGGTCGTGTTCTGATGACCTTGAAAAAAGGTCATTGAGACTTGATTGGTGTTTTGTTGTGTCAGGAAGTTCCTTCGAATTCGTACTTATTAAGCAGACAACACAAGGTCGGAGTTGTTCACATTGGACATGGCCCGTCGCCATGTTGCTCCATGGATCAGCTTGAGCATTGGGCACTGAGTACATCAATGCGCTTGCACGTTCTTTTGTCACGTGGTTCTGACACGGCTGCTTCTGTGCAGATTATCCGGTACCTTCCTGGTGAAAGATTCAAGCCGCACTGTAAGCCTCCCGCCCTTCACATCCCCGTGAATCACCTATTTCTATGGGGGTCGGCCGATAGGTGGACCTGAATAAAAGGAGGACTGCTGTCAAGGATAACAGTCGCAGTTTCGAGTTCCGCGTCTCAGATTGAAGGAAAAAAGCAAAAATGCAACTGACTCGACCGCAAAGCCTGCATGAATAGTTCTTTGAGTGGAATACCACTTATCAGGATCTGCTGAGCGGCGCCGCCGTCTCTTGCTTGCAGATGACAACGAAGCCGGGGATTGCACCAAGCGGGCCGCCACAATCCTGATGTAAGCCTCACCGCTGCGCTGTCGTTCTGGGTCTTCCAATCTGGACTTATTTAGTTGCTTTTGTTGGTTTCTTGAACAATTACCATTCCCGCTCTTATCGGATACAAAGTGTATCTGGAGCGTCCGTTTCGAACTTCAAAGGCACGTTCCTTCTACGGCAAAGAGGCTGGGAGTAAAGAGAATAAAGGGGACGTCAACAAGCACTTTGTTGATGCTCATTACATTCAAGTAGAACCGCAGCAGCGGCGTTCTGTCAGTTGCCGACCGCAAAGAGACGAAAGCGGCGTTTGGTTTGGCTTAAGTTCACGTGCGTCTCCTTGCACCGTGATCGAAATATCGTCTCTGGACGGTTGAGGGGATTGTAAAGAGGGTCTGTGCCATTGAACGGGAACTGTCAGTATGTGTGGGGTGCCGTGTCCTCAAAACCAGAGCCAGTTTGCGTCTCATCGAGTTGACTTCTTAACGGACTGGGTTGTGTGCTGAACCACCTGGTTTTGCCTCCAGGTTCCTGTCGGACGTTGACTCGGGGGGCGAAACGTACTTCCCGAAAGGGTCCCTTCTCCAGAGCGAAGCCGTCGGGTTTGGGGTGAAACCTTCGAAGGTAACTCTTTGCCCGTCTTAACCTCCCTGTTCTGTTTCAAAGCCAGTTTTTCTGGTTGGTAAGATGCAGAAGGAGTTCGGGGATTGGTGCTCTAGGAGGCCACCGATCCTCATTGGTTTCTTCGCGTTCCTGTATTGGCCTGCAAGGCAGGTTCTAGTGGTGCATTCAGAGAAACTCAGCTGCCTGTTTTCATTACCAGACTTGAGAAGCTGGTGACAGGGTCACTTGCGCTATCATTGCTTGTTTCTCAATCAACGGCTGTCCGCCTGTTGTGCAGGGAAAAGCAATGATGTTCTTTAGCCGCACGCCCCAGGGTCAGGAAGACCCGTGCAGCCTGCATGGTGAGTAGCTGAATTGACAAGGGAGTGCAGAGTCGGGTCAAGTGTTCCTACTTCCGACTTCTCTTCCAATCCTCGCAGTTCGAAAGCCATACAGGTTGCTTCAGCGCTGTCATCGTTCCATGCAACCGTTGGGGCTTTCTCCACATCCTTACATCTGTCGTGATCGATAACGCGGTAGGAGAATTGCTTCCCGACCAAACCTGGTCGTGACGATAAGCAGTCCACCTTTGTTGCTCCTCAATCGTGAGCTGGGCGCTACAGGGGCCACGTTTGATGTTACCACTTGCTTTAAGGATATTGATAGTTGCTTTTGCCTGAAGGAGGTTAAGGCTGCGCTCAAGCATCGCGTGTTAGTACCACACTTCAGGATGCCAGAATGGATAATAAATATCTACGTCTTGTTTACACTTTGTGGATTTCTTTGTCATCTGCAGCTGGCAGCCGGGTGCTAGAGGGGGAGAAGTGGGTAGCTTCGAAATGGTTAACAATGTATTGAGTTGACACGATTTGCGGGGGGGGGAGGACGGGGGGCGGGGTTTAGAAACGGGGGTGGCCAAGCAATTGTGAAGACCGCCCGCGGGGGTCTACGAGATTCAGCTTACATTCAACCAAGTATCTGAGTACCATTTGCATAGAAAGGAGTTCCGGCCATGGAACCCAACGGTACATTAATACCTAGGTGTACATAATATGTGCATGCGCAAGTACAACGGCTGTTGAGGCAGCTAGTCAATCTAGTTAATCGTGTCATGCAAGTTCAGTGGATCTGTGAAGGGCGGCTCAGGATCAAAACAGTTGTTTGGGAGGCTCTTATTAAACCTAAGAGAAAAGAAAGTCCATTAAGCGTCAACTTACATATGGTCCGTGGAGTCACTTCGGACATATGTTCGTTGATGTACTTGCATTTTTTTACTAGAGTTCAAACCATAGTGGTTGAGTAATGAACATAACTGCATGATATTGTCCCTGTTGGGCGGCATGTCCGCGATCCACTTATGCTCTGCATGTGGAATCTAGATGTGTCCACGCAGTATACCTGTTCAGTGTCCATGGTCGTTTGAAGCTGCAGTCACTTATGCCGCGGGACTCCATTGAGTGAATGGCGCTGGCAATTCTCCCACCGCCTAGCTCCCGGTGCTGTGATTCATAATACGTACATCAGAGCATCAAAACGCGGTAGTCATTTAGGGGAGTATATTGACGTACTGTGCCTTTGTTGTTGCAACTGTTATATGCATCTCTTCTTGCTGCAAGATCTCTTACAGCCGGCACCAGACTAACCTAATATATAAAGAGAGTTGACAGAATAAATAGAGCCCAAAAGGATGTGGAAAATATTGCACGTGTTCAGAAAGAAGGGCTAGCCGGGGGAGGCGCACTGTATCCGGCGGCATGCGCGAGAAGCAGCCGTTCCGACTTCCTAATGATGAACGGTCCAGGGCTTTAGCCGCCCCCCTTCCAGATGTCGAGAATCAAGGGCTCGAAGAAGGCGTCGAACTCAGCAATGGGAGAGCAATCTGTCCGGGCTGGAAAGGGAGTCAAAATTTGCCTTGACATCGCTGGATTCAGAGACCAATTGATTGACGTCGGTCTCAACGTCGAAGCTTTGGAAGCCCAATTCTGCTTCGACGAAGTCAATTGATCAGACCTCGCGTTTTCAATTCGGAAGAGGGGTAGATGCACGCCGACCAGATATACGTACTGGCTGCTGCCAATTCGAAGGTGGAATATGAAGGTCTCAGGGCCTGCACCACACTCACAGGTCCGCAGTACAGAAATAGGGATGTGCGGAACCACTAGAAATGAATCATCAATCAGCATATCTGGGAGCCATTCCGGACGGCGTTCGAAGCTTGTTTGATCGTCGCACCTGTCAACTATGTCTCATCTTTTCCCTTATGGTTCCTCGTTGCGAATTGGACGCTTGCGGCGAGGGATCTCAGCCCGCGCGACGGCAGCGCCATGATGCCGCGAGGAGCGCCATAGCGCCGTACAACTTCGGCCTTTCGAACAGCTTCGACGAGAAAGTCTGACGAACCGCTCCCCCTCGAAGTCGGACCAGGAACACGCCTTGGATTGCCAGGTCAGCAGGCCTGCTCCGCCATCCTGGGCCGAGGGTAGACCTATGACTCCTGTGAGCCGCCGCAGACAGGCGGGCGGGAGCATCCCACTGCTGAAGGAACGTGAAGAAGTCGCATTGATGACACGGAAATTCATTTGGAGTTCAAGTGGGCTAAGTTTGTCCAGGATCTTAGGATCGCCTTCATCCTGGCCGTGTATGCCTCCAGACCATATGATATGCGCTGTGAGCTTTGCAAATTAGCCGGAAAGGCCGCTCATGCAAGCGACCTCCTCCGAGGCGCGTGTGCTTAGCTTGACTGAATCTCAGACATCTGCCCCGATCGAGAACCACTGTAACTCTCCTTCGTCTCAATACGCTCTCCTTCGACATAGGAGAATGACTTTGCGCTCTGCAAATGCATAGGCGGACTCGTTCGACGAAATTTAAGAGAGTCACGCTCCCCGTTGGTGGTAGCGATGAGGACGTTGCTGAAGTAAAACTGCTTGCAACATAGCTTGAGAATCGTATACATATCCGGTACATTTTTCTATATTAACGTTGTTCAAGTTGGTGCTGATTTGCTTTCAGATGCCAAGATGCACAGTGCACTTCCATCGATTGTGTGCAGACTTTTGTTGGTGAATAAAGTAAGATCTCAAGCCACAGCGACTCGACAGAAGTAAAGCTGGACACATCATTCCGTATGTCAATCTCATGGCCTAACACATCACTATGTCATGCAAGCTATAATTCAGACGGGTTTCATACTATCATAGTTGGGAACGCAAAAGCGTACGACCTAAGCCTCTTTCACAGATCTGGTTGACATTCTTCACAGATACTGTCTTGCGGGATATGCTGTCACGCTAGTCTCAAGCCCCATGTCAAGGTTAGAGTCAAGGTGCACAACGGTCTAGGTGTAAGAAAGTGGCACTGTAGTTGATGTGCATCAAAAGTACCTAACCTCCAAAAGTATATCGACCTTAAAAACTGCTTATATCATCGATTATAGGAGAGTCCTAAATAAAGCCAAGCTTAAATTAAATTAATGCTATATGCAGAACGTCGTTACTAACAATACAAAATATAAGTCGCATATATGTCTTCAAATGCCAGCAGAATGGAAGTTGTAGTGGGCAAACTAGATAATAAGACACTGTAGACCATGCAGAGCAATCGGGGCCATTTGATTCGCTGGTCAACAACAACCTCTGTACTCAAGAACATCCTCATATACTAGCGCTAGCAGATATAATGAGCCCGAAATGCAAGACGTTCACAATAGGCGGGAACACTGAGGAACCTAATCATGTTCACAATTAATATGCAGCTTCACCAGGTCTCTTATTGTCCAGTTACACGTGAACGATATCACAATTATTCTACACATTTGTACGTCTAGGTGCTCAAGCCTTTGAGCTCAAGATGTATGACCGCGTTTGTCCAAGCGGCCCTGAGCACTCCCCTTGAGCCAAGTGAATTGTACAAGGACGAACTAGACCGTTCATCATAGTCATTCAGCGCTTGAAAAGTATGTTTACGTACAAAGTGCTAATAGCCGATTTCTGAGCAAGAAAGAATCTTTTAGCGATTGCTCCTCCGCATTCAGCTTGTATGCTCCTGCCAACCGTGACGCTCAAATCAGCTAAACCGCCTGAACCCCTCGCGTGTAAGGTTCACCTTGTACACCGTTAAGCTTTGGCGCAAACCTCTTTACAAGGCTTTTAGAGTAGCAAGGGAAGAAGATCCCCATGAAAATGCAAAGCATCAGTGCCGCAACCGCTGGTGCAACCATAATCATGATGATGTCAAAACGGAGGAACCTGAAGCAATCTCCACCACTCGCACTGCCAGCTCAGAAATACCGATAAAAATAGTACTCACATGTGATGCATTCATACTCGCTTGATATGTCATATTCCCCGCACTTCACCATCTTGCACTCCTTTCTAAGAAGCTAAGCGGATGCTACAGTTGGCCGTAAAAACTCGAGGTGAGCCGGGACGTTGGATGCACCCTTGGAACCACTGAGCAGCGGCTTGCCCTCGTTCTTAGATTAAGCCTTCAGAGACACTGAGATCTGCCTGTGAAGAATTCGTCCGCGTACAAGTCAGCTGGTTGGTCCCCTCAATAACTATATTGCTGTTATATTGCTGTGCTGGGGGAACTACCGCGGGTCAAGACTTTCAAGTTTCAGTAGTGCTATTATCACGTTCCAACTTCACAATAATATATGTACAGTAGCAGTGTAGGTGAACGTTCCCCAAAGTAAGTTGCTCCAGCCTCCAGAGTCCACAGTGCACTGTGCAGTGTGCACACTGCACACTGCAGTTTGCGAACTCCCTCACTGTCAGTGTCAGGCTTCTGGCTGGCAACACGGAAACCTAGGGATGAGTTCGCCGCTGCCAACTGGCGGATTGCCGTAGGGTTTTGCCATGCCGGCCCGGGGAAGTCACTCGGGGGGTCGGCATACCTACTCGAACCACCCGAGAAGGAAACCAAGACGATTTCGGGCTGCGGTTCTGATTACCATTATATATTATCGACTAGTGGTTGCGGAGCGCCATCGGAGCTCATTTTGGAGTAGGTAGCTCCTTTTCAAATACTCCCAAGAACAGAGCCGCACGACACGTGGCTATACAAGGGAGGCTATCGAGGAACCCAGCCGTCGATGTGATGGAGGGACTTTAGAGTCGTCATGACTCATGATGTGCATGATGACGATTCAAAACCGGTTAGGACTCTGGTAATATACGACAATTTAGCATAATAGTAGAGTAGCTTCTTGATTCTAACGTCCAAACTCATAATAACAAAACGTGTACTGGTTACCAGGTCCATGGCTTCAATGCTACGGCCTTATAAAAGAAGTATACATACATACATATTACATACAGACATGCAGCTGATGATGGATGTTCCGAGAGTCGAGCCGCAAGTGCTGCTGGCAGTGCAGTGCTCTGCATGAAGTCTGGACTCTGCAGCCTTGTGCACTGTGCCGCGGCGGAACGAAACATGGCGCGACTGGACGCGTCACGCAAGCCCTGACGATTCATACTAGGTACCTCCCTACTAGCTAGTACGGTACTACCTAGTTTCTTTACTCCCTCGGTCCCTGACTCCTGAGGATCTTGGCCAGGAGCTCCCGGGCCCTATTGGATGAGCCTTAGGGCGCCAACAGTATAGAAGGGAGTTTGTGACGGAAGGCAGGCAGGCAACAGGAAAGGCGTTTTTCTGTTCTTGTCTCCTTCAGCAGGCCCAAGCAAATGGCGGCGCGCACTGTGGTTTGAGCACTCCGTAACTGATCGGATCTCGTGTGGCCTGCACACTGTTCGAGCCTAACTTTTTTTTTTTGAGTGTATAACCTGAGCATACCGAGCTCATCAGCTGGAGCATCGGGACTGCTATACGCGTTACCGCGACTGTTCGAGCCTAACAGGTCAAAGTCACCTAGCATAACCAGGTTTCCTTTCTGCGAATCCATCCTATAGAGCACACACTCAGAAAGCTGTAATGGCAAAGTTTGCACACCCGCTGGACCCACTATCTTTTGCTGAGATTCAGGCCACCGCCGCAGCGGTGCGCACCGCAGTGCTGGAGAAGGGGCTCGAAAACCTGCGCTTCAACACGATCACCCTCAAGGTGTGGAGCTTAGTTTTCATCTTCCTGACCAAACAAGAAAGCGTGTGCAATTCCAGCTGTCCCATAATATATATAGGTATTCTGCACATGGGCTTTCTTAAAATTCTGATGATCATTCTGTATCCAATTAGGGCCTGGATGTGCTAATCATGCCAGCATTGTTGATTGCCGGTAGATTGCTCCCCAACCGAATGTCTGGCTTTCATTGATGTGGTTGACTCCATTTGTCTTCTTCTTGAGGCGTTGCTGACGCCTTGCCCATTGGGTGACATGTCGTGGATTTCCTGAAGGACTTCAGCATTTGAGACATGATTTTTCCACGCCGAACAGTGCCTGCTTCTGGTGCCAGGCAAATACACTTTAAGACGCCAATGTGGCGCTTTGCCAACTCAGGGGAGGAAGCATAGAGCCAGGACTATTTTGCCGTGGTCAAGCATTCAAGGCTCATCAAGGAAACACAAACACTACTCGCGAGCACAGGAGTCAAGTTCATCAGTTTGAAATGATCAACGATCAAGCTGCCGTGAAAGCAGCAAACTGCAAGGTTTGAAACAGCGGGCAATCAAAGAGTCACCTGCGGTCTCCAATGCGTCAGGAGTGCGCGAATAAATCATCCCCGCCTTACTGCGCTTTTTGAATACAGAAGGGCTACCAAAAAATAGACGAGCCACCTTCCCCGTCTCATCTCAAGTTATGTTACACGAGGTGCACCGCACGCCCGGCCAACGGATACTAGTAACTCTAATCTGTAGTAATTGGAATTGTTTCAAGACACACAAGCCCCGGGCACCACAACTGAAAATCTTAACTAAAAACATTATGTGCTTCGCACCCTGCCGACCCTAACCCCAAGCTAGCCCCGATCGTCCCGCCGCGCGCTCACCTCAAAATGATTGGCCCTTAAAACGATCTCGAGTCACCGGAGTGCTCAACGGAATCTTTTTCTGCTGACGCAGGAGCCTGCAAAGAAGGAGCTGGTCTCTTACGAGGCCAACGAGGATTCTGTGCCACCCCGCTGCGCGTTTGCCATCATCCAATGCTGGCCCAAACTGCCCCTTGTGGAAGTCATTGTGGACTTGAGCAGCTCGCCACCTTCCGTCTCCAGTTGGGACGAGGTCTGTTTCCTTATTGCACTAAACTCTGTGTGAGAGCGCGTTTCGAAAAAGGGCCCCATGCATTTTCAGTACACTTGATGATGGTGACATTGCCTTCAATCCAATAGCTGATGAGTAAGCAGTGCTGTGACGCTTGATAGCCTCATCTGATGTCCGCGACTGTGCTCGTTTGACCTGTTGACCTGAAAGCGGTGTGTCTGGGCATTCGGTGGTGAGGAAGGGGCAAAGTGCATGAGCATGAAGGTCAACGCAGTCTGATTATCTATGTTAAGCAGCTGCTGAAGGCAAATGCCGCTCGCAGAAGCAAGACGCCGAACCCTTGGCCTCCCCTGACGACTGCGAGCTGGCGGAAGCAATCACCAAGGCCGATGCTGAAGTACAAGCCCTACTCAAGGAGCGGAACATCACGCAATTGGACCTTGTGGCTTGCGATCCATGGAGTGGTAAGTGATCTGTTTTCTCCTCTCCTTGCCTGCTCATTTTGAGCAAGCCTCTGCTGATTTGGAAATGAGCTTCTAAGTCGTTCGAGGTGGCACGGAGGCGACCTGCCGGATGCCAGCTAGCGCCGGAAAACCCTGGCTGGGGCCAAAAGCCGCTGGCAGGATTCCTACATGACAAGAGGCGGACAAAGTGAAACGCTGAGTGTACTGAGGCGAGAAGCGTCAAACAGTCTGCCAGCATTGTGTATTGCAGGCTTGTTGGGTAGTATGGACCATTTCAGACAGCCAGCCGGAATGAGAAGCTGAAGGGCCTTCCAGCTAAAATCAGCAGGGACTTTTGGCCTGAAGCGGGCTACTTAGAGCGCACTTCAAAGTCGACACACATCTCTCTCGGGTGACCGACTAGGAATGAACTGAAGTCCGCCACACACATTGTTCCTACAACGCAAGCAGCTTTATCAAAACTGCCATGAAGACTCAAAGCCGGAATGTGTGGCGTGCAGTAAACGATGCGCCCAGCGGTCTCGGGCGCGTCATCCAGCTGTTCATGTACGTGAGAACCCACCCGGACGATAACCACTACGCCCACCCACTGGATTTCGTCCCGGTTGCAGACCTGAATCTGAAGAAGGTGAGGCAACTCTCACAATCTGCCCCCCTTTTGGCATGCGCCTGGGTGTTCATTCTTCGGGACTGCTTAAATGTTGTATTTTCCCGTTCAATAAGGGGTCTTATGTCATCTCGGCGCGCAGGGAGCTGTGGCGTTCGCAAGGCTGGTTAGTCAAGTCGTTGCTGCCCGTCCATCGTTTATCGTATTATTTGTCCGCCTTAAGTCCCTTAACATTAGGCCTACTGCAGGACGAAATTTACAAGCTCGATCAGACGGTTCGCAAACAGGACTTTTGTTACTTCGGAGTCAAACTGTGCTGAGACCTTCATTGAGTCGCCTTTCAAAATTCCAACTACGAAAGACGCCACTTCATCGTCATCCACGGGGGACGTCGTGATAATTCGACGCCGGCTAGACAATCTTTGGTGCTCTGCAGATTGTGCGCATTGACAAGCAATACGAGGCTCCGCCCCACATCCCTGACCGCAACGTCAACTACCACCGCAACCTGATGGAAAAGGAATGGCGGACGGATTTGAAGCCTTTGAACATCGTGCAACCGGAGGGGCCCAGCTTCACGGTGGAGGGCAATCTGATCAAGTGGCAAAAGTGGCACATCCGCGTCTCGTTCAACTCCCGAGAGGGGCTAGTCCTTCATAACGTCGGGTATGTTTGGCATCTCACCCGATCCTCCGACGATAAGGGCTGACGTGGGTCGGAAAGTTTCCCGGGTTTGGATTGTCGGAGTTTGACTCGTCTCTGCCTAAGCCCCTAGAGTTGCCACTTAGATGAAAAAAGCCAGATGGATCGGATATTGGTCAGGAGATCCCCGGAATCTCGTTTGCCGGTGCTCGACTCATCATGCATTAACCACACGGACGTGACTGCTCGCTCTTTATAGAAGCCCCAACGCCGGTGGACCCCTCGAGGGTTGCGCATCGAGCTCTGTAGCGAAGTTGTTTTGCTTCGTCCCGTCTCAGAGGTTCCTTAAGCGCACCCCCGTTTCGTACGGCTAACCCAAATGCAGTTTCTCGACGGTTGTTTACGCCTGAAGTGTACCTGCAAACAGAGTCTCTCTGCCGTGATTCTCGGTCCGTGTAAGCTTAAAGTTGGCGCTGACGGGGCTCTTGTTGTCTACCCAGTCTCGACTCTTCCTTCTTCATTGTGAGAGAGAAGCGCTTGTTTGTACCGTTGATCAGAGATACTGGTTGGAGAGGGATAAGGCTGTGGGCTTCCACTTCGCGGGTAAGAATCCTTGCTTTCCCCTTTGCAATCAAACAGGTTGGCCGGAGAAAGTATCAGATTGTTGGCCGTTACTTTGCAGGTATGAAGATAACGGGAAGGTCAGGCCGATCGTCCACCGCGCCTCGCTCGTGGAGATGGCGGTGCCATACGCCGACACAAACCCGCCGTTCCACCGCAAGTGCGCGTTCGACGTCGGTGACTGTGAGTCGCGTTCCACTGTTCGTCGCATGTCGCTTTGTCATTGTGTAGTGCTTTACTTCACGGGGACGATAAGTGGACACGTTTCGATGAATCTTGCTGCAATATGGTCTGAGCACTCTTAACAAAACGAATTCGTCGTCTTTGTAATCCTAAAGTCCTGGTCACCGAACCTGTTTATCGCCCGGTTAGGTGTCCTTCAACCAAAGAGCATGCTCAGAGTGTGGTTAAGCACCGGGTTACCAAGTGTGGTAAACAGCGACCACTCTCTGAGCAAGAGTTTTTCCGTCCTCGGAACAGACGGGCTGGGCTTCTGCGCCAACAGTCTGGAGTTGGGCTGCGATTGCGTCGGCAACATCTTCTACTTTGACGGGCTGATGAACGACAGCAAAGGTACGTCGCTAAACCGCGTCTCCAATGCAGCTTTGAAAGCTTCCGTAATGTACCCAATCTTGAACTTTCTTTGTCCACCTTTTTGCGTTGAGTTCCATGTGTTTGATGCGTGCCCATCGTCGGGTTTTGCTGGTCAGTCTGCCCGCGTTCAGTCCCAGTGCTTTCCCTAGGTATTTGCCTACGACCTGAAACCATCCGCTCGTTCGTACTTTGTGCACCGGTTAGAGTCGTTTAATAACTCTTTGACACCCCTTTGTCTGGGAAGTGCAATCTCAAACTGCTATTCTTGGGACCACTCCTTTCTTCTTGAGCAAAAGCATGGTGACTAAGATTCACACTCAGGGGAAAAGATGAAGCAGGCGCCCTTAAACCCAGAAGTGACTCGCCTCCATACTGGGACCGAATCAAAACTCTATACTTCCCTTCTCTCCCCTGCCGTTGGTCATCATAACCCTTTATCAACACGGTATCCAAAGGTTTCACCAAAAGATTGGCTACTCCGCGCTTTTCTCGACATTGTTCATGGCAGCCCCGCATGATCGTAATCGGTATGATTCACCCGATGACTAGGCGCTAACCATGCGTTCCGCACGTCTCGTTACGAACTCACAAATCCATCGAGGTCCCACCTTCTGGACCCTGTTCGCAGGAGAACCGTGGGAAGTAAAGAAGGCGGTGTGCGTGCACGAGGAGGACGTGGGTTTGTTATGGAAGCACATGGAGTACCGCAACGGACACTCCGAGAGTCGCCGCTCTCGGCGGCTCGTCCTGTCTTTCACCAGCACTGTCGTTAACTACGAGTGAGCGAACCTCTCGTATTTGTGGAGTATCAATCCGAGTAGGGGAACCAAAAAGCTGGAACTATGTCTCTCGGCGAGCAGGGAGATTTCGTGCTTTATTTGAATCTAGAGCAAAAAGCCAAAGAAGTTTGTCTGCCTCTGTTTCATTGTTTCGCCGAGTCAATCGGTCTGGTTCGTTGAAATTACGGCGAAATATTCGATCCCTTGGTCTACGTTTGTTCAATGAATTCACTGGTTGGATGTATGTCTTTTAATGTTCGATTTCAGCTGTGAGCGGCTGTTATGAAGAGGACCCTGGTTGGCGAGCACGAGAAGCTGATTTGATCGTCGGGGTCAGAGTCGCTACTGGATACGAGATGTAAACTCGAATCGCAACCTTTCGTAGGGCTGTTAGTAAGCTATGGACGAAGCGTCCAGCAGTTCTGCCAACTTCCTGATTCTAAGCGACAGAACGTCGGGAGCGCAGGAAGGGAGAAACAAAGCAGCAGTCTTTCCGTGTTGGAGAATTGACCCCACGATCATATTACTAAACGGGACTTACCCGGGTGTTCACCTGAGTGAGACCAGCAGTATGGAGCTCGTCATCGCACACTTTCTTGAGTGTCCGACTTGGACCTCCAAGTTTGTCTCCGAATCTCTGACACTTACCCAACCCAATTGCCCACTGCAGGTTTGCTTCGACAACTGGTACTTTTTGCAGGACGGCACAATCCGAGTTCGAAATCGAACTGACGGGGAACTGATCACAGATTGCCAAGTCCTGGCGATGTCGATCCAGAGTACGGCACTATTCAACAATGGTGTGATTCTCATTCCCATCCTCGCAAGTGTCAACTCTTTTACTCATCAACCTGACCCTGACGCTTTGACACTCCGGCAGGTACAACTTCAACTGGTATTTCCAGCAAGACGGCACCATCGAGTTCGAGATCAAACTGACGGGCGAACTGAGCACTAACCTGCTCAGCCCCGGCGAAGATGACCCGGAGTTCGGCACTCTAGTTGCCCCGGGCGTAAACGCCCAGCACCATCAGCACATGTTTTGCGCCCGGTTGGACATGGCGGTGGACGATCCCGACGGCGGCGCGGCCCTCGTTGTGTCTGAGGTATGTTGCAAAGAAAGCTCAGTCGCCGTTGAATTGGCTGTTGATCTTGGGTTTGCTTTGGGTCTCTTCAAGGAAGATCCTGTCCTAACGTGAGAAAGCTAGTAGATCGGCACGAATTACATGGGCGGTTCTTTCTGAGGACCTCTTCGCTTTAGCCCTGGATCTGAGATTGACGCTGGGTCTCGAGTTGGTGTTGGTTCGGGTTTCGCTGTTGGTCATTCTGGGTCACAAGACTTCTAAAGCTACGAAGCTTGAGGATGTTCCGTGAACGATATGACCGATTGCATCGGCCTAACTCTTGAGTATGCTCATCGGAGGGGCAGTCCGCGGACAAAGTTGTGTCTTTCTGATGCATTTAGGGCAATCTGACCCTATCAATCTTGGGCTGAGTGACCAGAACGGTCGGATGAATATTGTGTGTTCCTAGCGTTTAGGGTTTTAGCTACAGATTGTGCGCGTTCAAGTTGGTCCCATGAACAGGCATCACAGGCGCGGTGCCGCTGGTTTCGTTTCAGAACACGGCGCTCATCTAGCTAGACTTCGACTCCGAGACACAAACAAGCCATGTGCAATTTTCGTGGCGCAAAGGACTTGAAACCGAATTGAACCGATCTGAACCAGGCGGTTCTGTGGAATGAGGCGGCAACTTGACAGAAGAAAAGAGATTTCCATATTCTGACATGTTCCCCGTCGCATTGCTAACTGGACCGACGGTTGCTCATCTTCTTCTTCTTTCCGCGGTCGCAGCAAGACTTTGTGCCCTTGCCGCTCGGTCCCAAAAATCCCCACGGAAACGGATTCCGGGCCGTAGAAACGGACCTGACCAGCGAGCTCAAAGCCATGCGCTGCGCGGATCCCTTCAAGGGCCGCGTCTGGAAGATCAAGAACCCCGACTCGATCCACCCTATCACAGGTGAGAATATTGTTGTCATGAAGAGGTTTAACAGGCCCGCTCACCAGCTTGAGTTCAGCAGTTTGAGCAGTTTGAGATTGGAGGCTGTCTTAGTGATGATTCTTAAGAAGCTAAAGCTTGTAAGCAGCAGAGGTGGAATGAGTCTAATCAATTGCAAAGCAGGATCAAATATTCAATCATTACGAAGAGTGTTTGATGTGCTTTTGTTTGCACTCACGTTCTTTCCGTTTGCAGTCGTCCTTCCGGAAAGCTGCTCTCATTGAACTCATGGCTGACTTGATGAGAATTCGATGTACGTGCGACAATCTCCACCGACACCCTCCTCCTATTGTTTGCGACGGGACGACTTTGACAATTTACGATGCCTACAGATATCTTTCGAAAGCAATTAACAAGCATGCCTACCCAGAATCGCGTATGCAGGCAAATTGGTGGCGTATAAGCTGATGGCTACGCCCAAACGACTTGAAATTCTGCAAAGCTGTTTTGTGATGCTATCGTTTTATACGGCTGGCTTGCCGAGTTGACGCCACATCTCCGGTCTATACGCAGGCAAGCGGGTGGCGTATAAGCTGGTGGCCACGCCCTACCAAGGAGTCGAAAACTGCGAATAAAGTCCCCGTTCTCATGGCTGCGGTGAGCCGATGTTCAACCCCACGTCTCCGGACTTATGCAGGCAAGCCGGTGGCATATAAGCTGGTGGGCACGCCCAATCCGTTTGTGTTTGCGGACCCGCAAAGCACGATTGGCCAGCGCGCGCAGTTCGCGATGAAGAACCTGTGGGTCACGCCGTACAACGACCGGGAACGCTACCCCGCGGGCGACTACACCATCGGTTCGAAAGGGAACGTTGGGCTTTCGGAGTGGGTCAAGCAGGTGGGTTACGCGCACATCTCCTAACCCCCATCTTGATTTAGGGACTGGTTTGAGGTCAAAACAGGGTACGTAGATAAAAGACCTGGCGTACGCATGCAGACTGTTCATGTCTGCCACAAGCCAGACATGGTCGACTGTCACAAAAATTCGAGTTTAACAAAAGTGTCAACGTGGCCCATATCGGGGGCGACCAGGAAGGTGGTACGGCATGCTTGCCAGTCGCCGAAGGCGACCGGTTCCCCGACGCTTAATTTCAGATTCATGGCACCAGGCGACACTGCGCTGTGTCTAAAGAGGATTGACGTTGCCAACTTCCACACGGCTCTCCCGGAAGTGCATAGCTCAAGGCCTTACATCGAGTAAGTAAGTAACTCACTAAGAGCTTTATTTCATTGGACTCTGGTTCTACTGCAGGACCGCCCGATTGCCGGCCACGACCCGGTGATCTGGCACTGCTTCGGCATCTCGCACGCGACACGTGTCGAGGACTTCCCCGTGATGCCCGTGGAGCACGTGGGCTTCAAACTGAAGGCGGCCAACTTCTTCGACGGCAATCCTGGCGTGGACGTTCCACCGACCGTGAACGGGAGTAGCAAGCTATTTGCCGGTCCTACGATGAATGGAACTAGCAAGCCCGGCGCAACCCCCGCCATGAATGGTACTAACGGGACCTCTTGTCATTGAGCGCCGTTACCCGCCAGGAGTTGGTCGATTATGCGCACGAAAGGCTGGAAGGACGTGCCCTTAATCGAAGTACGGATCAGGGTTTTTTGAAAGCAAATCGTCAGCGGTCACGTAGAACGCGTTGCCGAAGCTCATCCGGTGAGTCAACGGTCTTGCCCGACCGTCTTCGTTGACATAGATTATGTACATTATGTAATTAGATCCAACAGTGTTGACCAAGTCAGAATCAAGTGATTCAAATGAGTAGCATCTTCCAGTCAACTTTCATTTGCCTCGGTGGAGTCTGCACCGTCCACGTTATGCTTGTGATTGCGTCTTGACAAGCACAATATGAGATCTTGAAGCAAGGATCGCGCCCCAGAGCAATCAAAAAGTGAGGACTAAGGAGCGTGTACACTATAGGCCACGGTTAGGTATAGTATTCGGACTCAGCGTATCATTGGAGCTCCGGCCCGGCTTGTCATTTTCGCTTTGCAAAGCGAATATGACATGTACGTCGCAGTGCATCGTTATCTTAATCCGTCTCCGCCAGTCCCTCGGATCCAACTTTAATGAACTCGAAACCGTGTATATATACCGCGGTTAAGCTTCGACGTGACCGTTCCTAAGGAAGCTGTGCATCATTAATTGAATGGACGCTTTTCATACAGAATTTGCGCGTACGATGGTCGATAAGCTGTATACACGTCTGCAAGTGTATACGTACATCCATGGTTGCGCAAAGCCTAAAAAAGAATCAAACTGCAGAAATTGGCCATGCCCGCGGCCATGCAGCCCCGCCACTTACGACAGGTATACGGCCTGCACATGCCAGGCATGTAATTGTTGTAAAACGTACGTACCACCAACTTATCAGCTAGAGCCTAGCAAATGATGAATCCACTAGCAGATTCGTCGCATCTCAATCTTTTAAATCACATGCAGCATAGGCCCGCTTGGTGAAAATTGTAGAAAGAGTGGGAAACGCGCACTTGCCACAGAATGATATAGCAGCATGTGCTCCAATCACTTCAGAGGCGAGTGACGATTTTTTGTAGGTGGTAGGAGCTCCTCTGCAACGATTCTATATCCCATTTGTCGCAACACCTTTGCCGCTCAAATAAGATCTGAAGGTCAAGACCTTGCAGCCAACATCAGAAGTGCATGAGTGACGCAACCCCCTATTGCAGGAGAGGCCGCTGACTTTGGTTAAAACTTCCCTTTTGTACAGTTTTACCTCCAGTTTTCGAGCTTGACGAGGCTGGCGCTTGAGGGGCTTTCACAACCAGCCTCGCTATACCTCTTCACTAAATCTAGCCTCGCCGCTCTCAGAACGAACGTTGAGCCTGAACCGTCTTTTGTTCAGCAAAGAGATACGCTTCTGGGCTCCGTTTGATCTCGTAAGTTTTCTCCCCTTTACACCAAAAGCAAACCGACTCGACAAGTACGGACGTGGGCGACTACCCAACACTCACTTGCAATCTCTAGTCTGCTTTACAACGGATCCTAACTCCCCCGTACTTTACTCCACCTTTCCATTCGCCGCGCGAGTGGGGGCCTCAAACCCAGCCGGGAGCCACCCCCCCTCTTTCGCTTTACCCACAAACCCTTCAAGAAGTGTGCGCGCATTTGGGATGTCCAGCATGAGATCGTCCAAGGCGTCGTAAACCCTGCCGAAACCCTTGACGATCTGGCTAGTGCTAATAAGGCCCTGCGCCGCTGCTTCGGCGAGCAGCGCGAGCAGGCGCTCCGTCTGCTTTTCCATGGCGAGAATGAGCGCCTTTTTGACGACCTCGTGGTGGAAGAAGGGCAGCGACAGGTCGCGGATGCACTGGCACGCCTCCGTGATGGTACCTGCCGGAGGATGACGTCACTTTCAGAGAAAGGCTGACGTCAGCGAGAGCAGGCGTCGGTTGGATTCCCGAAGCGACAAACCACAGATCGAGTGCATAAACGCATGCGGAGTCAGAGACTCAAAAGTCCTGAACACCACGAAGCTGACGTATAGGTAAACAATCCCGGCCGTCAGGATCCCCGGTTTCTATATGCTACGTGAGGAGAAAAATCTATCAGCCCACCTCCAGCGGCGTATTCATCGAGCAATTTCTTGATGCTTTCTTTCGCGTCCTCCACAGTGCGCCCCGCGCCGCCCCCCCAGCAGCGCAGCACACGCTCCCCGGCGTGCCGCGCAGATACAATCGCACTTGCAGTGTGCACTATTTCCTGACCCAGAGACCCGTCCTTAAGCTGGTTCTGCACCTGGAAGGATGACGGAAAGGTTCTTAGGTTTAGATTTGTTTTCGCCGGCAATGTGCCTGCGGACTCAGCGCTCAAACCCAAGCTAAGCATACGAGATAAGAGAGTCGTTGACGTCAGGTCCTGTTGAAGGAGGCGGCCCGAATTGAGAACGTCAGGAGAGGACATGATTGGCTTCGTCCTGTATGCTCCGTCGAGATAGATCACACGGCAATCCTTGGACCGAGCCGTAAGAGAGCCAAAATTGTCAGCCTGGCAGCCTGGTAAGCGCCACTGCAAATATCGTAAAGCGAAAAGAGACAACATTCGCGTAGTTAATGAATCTGCATTTGTTGTTGACAAGCTAGGCATATGAAGCACAAATTGCGTTTACATTGGAAAGGCTAGGGGACAGTATACCAGAAACCCCAGTCCTCAAGCCCCGACAATCTCAAGAATGCAGTTGCGCACCTGCGAGAGGTAGAGCGGCGGCAGAACGTCATCCACGACCGCGCGCGCCAGGAACAGCGCGAGCTCGTATGCGGCGTCCGGGATGTCGAGCGCCAGGTCTTCCGCCTGCTCCAGCAGCAGCCGGAACGCGCGGCCAATCTCGTCCGTCGATACGACCTCCGCATCGATGGCTGAGATGAGCGCAGACGCCATCTCCTTCTCGCGTGCATGGCGGTCCATGGCCGACGTCACCAGGTGCTTGACGAACACGTGGTGCAGTTCCGGGTGGCCCAGCTCGTCGAGCGAGCGGGTGACCTCACCGATGTCGTCAGACAAGAAGTATTCCTGTAGGGGTTTGAATGCAGACTAGCATCAGATAAATTAAACAGAAGGTATACTTTTGAGAGAAAGAAGCGGGCTCGCTTCTGGTGCATTCATTGTTCGTCGAAGGTGGTTGACTGCTCTCTGACACAAGTGGACGAGGCGAAACCAACGCCAAGCGGCCAGCAGGGGGGATTGACGTCCGAAAGTCGAAAGCGGGGCGTTAGACCACCTGGATCCGAGCAAGCGCCTTCGCCTTGGACTTGCGCGTCACCTCAGAACCCACCACCGAGAGACGCAATCGTGAATCAAATGCTCATCCGCATCTTTGGACAAGCCGGGGACCAATGCCAAGCTGCTGATAAGGACCAAATACACGCCCGAAAGGCCAGAGCGGGGCGTCAGACTCACTCGGATCAGCCCTTCCTTCTGAACTTGGCTGTCGTCTCAGAATGCACCAGTGGCGAAGGCAACCGTGATCCAAGTGCTCTTCCGCACAGTCGGTCACGGCCGAGAACAACGATAAGCGGCTCGGACGGAAACCCCACCTCCAAAATCGGAAGCCGGACCGTCTGACGAGTGTGAGCACATAGGCCTCGAGTTTGTGCATCGCCCCAACAACCACCTCCGGGAAGTTCGAGGGTAACTGAAATGCTCTTCCGCAGATTCGGACACGCCCGAGACACGCGCCAAGCGGCAACCAGGGACAAAACGAATGTTTGATAGTAGAACCCACCTGGATCAATGTGCGGACCTTGGCCTTGAACTTGCGCGTCGCCTCGGATCCCACCACCGGCGAGTGCAGCTCGTGGTCCAGCTGCTTCCCCGCGGATTCGGACAGCCAGCCGTCCGCGGTCGCGAGGCCCGCCAGCGCGGCGAGCTTCTCGCGGGCGTCCGGAACGTCGAGCGAGAGGTCGTCGACGGCGTCCGAAACGCGTCCGAAGCCTTTCGCCATCTGGCTGGACGTGATGAGCCCCGACGCGGCGGTCTCGGCGAGCAGGTCGAGGAGCAGCTGGTCGGCCTTCTTCCGTTCCATCGCCATAATCAGCGCCTGGAGAGGGTGGAAAATTCGGAAGCCGTGTTCAACCGTGCGTCTGATGGGAGCGTGGGAGAGAGACTGCCAAGAGTCCGGTACTGCCATCGCTGTTCCAGGGCCCAGACAGTGCTAATAACGTCGAAATATGCAAGAATCTCAACAGGCGTTTTGCGACTAAAGAGGCTTGGCATTCCTTGCACATGCCCCTTCTACTCGACCGATGCTACTTCAACGGAGGTCACTTCGATTCTGCATCTCTGATTGACACCCACGTCATGAACCCAGAGCACAAACGCGCTAAGGAACTTCATAGCAAGTCTCAAGCAATCGTACACCTCGCACCTGCTTGACAGATTTCAAGAACTTCATGAATCTAGAGCCCAAACGAACTACAAGGAACGAAAAATGCAATCGCGAGCCCCGAGTCGTTCCGACCCCGCACCTGCTTGACGACCTCGTGGTGGAAGAATGGCATGCTGAGCCCCTTGATGCAGCGCGTCGCCTCCGCCTTATCCCCACTGTCCACATACTCCAGCAACAGCTTCTTGATCTTGTCCTTAACTTCGTCTACGTGCTTGTTCGTACTGCCCCCCCAGCACCGCTCGACGCGCTCCGCGGCGTGCCGCGACCCCAGGCGCGCCTCTGCCTTGCGCACTACAGTCTGAGGGAGGGATCCCTCGGCCAGAGACTTGCCTGCAGGATGCGAAAGTGTGACATCAGCAGGCGAACGTGTCAGGTGTTTGCGGGTTAAATGGTCGTCGAAGCAGAACTGGGGGATGTTTTCACAAAAAAGCTACAAAAAGACTTCCGCTTTTCCAAGAATTGTCAAGTTAACAGAACGTCTTCGCTTTGACATGTAATGTCGGAGGACAGCTCTTTGGGTTCAAGTTGAGGTATCCGGTTGCCAGCAAACGTGCTTGTCAACTGGAGCGCCCCCATCCAGCAAGTCTGAACGGCTCATGCCGCGTTTTTCCACTGCGCTCAAATGCCTCCCACCGTCCGCTATAACAATCGGGAATGAGACAAGGCAACCAGCTGCTGACTTCACCTGTGCGGGACAGGAATGCCGGGGGCAGAATGTCGTCCACCACCGCGCGCGCCAGGAAAAGACTCAGCAGCTCGACGGCGTCCGGGATGTCGAGCGACAGGTCCTCCACGGACTCGAGCAGCTTGGTGAAGCCCTTGGCCATCTGGTCGGGCGCGATGACGTCAGCATACAGCGCCGAGAGCAGCGCCGACGCCTGCTCCTTCTCGCGGTCGTTCTTGTCCATTGCTCTATGAAGGGGAAGGAAGGGGGCATGGTGAGCTCCGGGCTTCTGCCGAGAGGCCCTCCCTGAGCCCAGACTCGCAAGGTATAAGATCCCCTGCCTCAAAAAGTTGTTCTTCTGATACGCTGACCGTCAGAAAAAATGGGCAGTGACTGGGTGATCCGGTGCAAACTCGAATCAGCCACCTGGGGATAGGATCGGATCAAGATTGATTCCTCCTTCACACTCACTACTTTTTGACATGTAGTTTTTCTCAAGTGCTGCTCTTATCTACCAAGACATAATCAGATTGTCAGGAATTCGACTAAAAAAGAGACTCTCTGACAGAGTGATAACCGGACTCAGCATGCTTCTGAATGTTTAAGAAAAAATGCCTCTTAGAACTTGGAACTATTTGCTAAGCTCACCTGGACACAAGCTTCTTGACGAAGTGGTGGTGGAACCCCGGCACCTCTAGCTCGTCCAGCGCGGCCGCCACCTCCTTAACATCGTCCGATGCAAAGTACTCGTCGATAATTGTAAGAACCCGCTCCTTGAACACCACTACTGATTTGGCCAGATCGGCTCCGACGAAGCGGTGCCCGTCCTGAAAGACCAGATGGTGAGTTTGAAAAACGTGAAGAAGCGAATGGTCACGATGGGAATCCGGGTGTTGATTGCATCAGACATCAGTTGGAACCGGCCCGGAATGTGGGCACACGATCTTTTAGGCTCTGCCAACCTGCGTTCAAAAGCATTGAAAGCTACAGATAACCAGTGCACAATTGCTTGCTACCCCTGGTTAGCCAAAAGAATGACAGAAAAAAATCCGACTGCTGAAAATGTTGGGAGATCGAGGAGACTGGTCGCTGGACTTCGCACCAGGAGACGGAAGGTGGCTGCAGTATTTTTCAAGGAGCTGTTCTCAGCATGCATTTGACAACCCAACATCCAAACGAGTCTGGAACCGATATGCGCATAACCAGAATGGAGCTAACATAGCAGTTGAAGCAGCTCACCTCGTCGCTGTCATAGTTAGGGTCATTCTTGTCCACAGGCTCAAGGTCATCCGGCAGCTCAAACTTGCCGCTCCCAGTCCAGGTGCCCTTGCCGCCCTGGCCACCTGCTAATACCATATAGTGCGCTTCAATCTTGTAGTCTCCGCTGGTGCCTGAGCGCAGGTTCTCAGAGGCATATATTCTGTGGCCCTTGCTGACACTCTAAGTGCACCAAGAAGCTGCCAATATGAGCGAGTTCTCCTAGCTGGTGGCCTTTCCTTTCACAGAGAGGAATGTGCTAAACTAGGTCATAGTGGAAACTCCATGTATATCTTTATGCCGCCAGCAGGAGAAAGCCCATCCTTTCAGGTGTGGAATGTCATTGACAGGCCAAGTTCCAGGACAATAATGTAACTCATTTGTCAGCTACAATTTCTGGCAATTCAAGCAGAACAAGCAGGCAATCGCATCACACTTCTCCTTAATATCATTGTGCAATTCCTTAGCTACGTGGGGCCTGGTGCGGCGGCCCGCTGTCTGACATGTCAGATTGAAGACAGAACGAACATTTGCAGACGAGGATGCAGAAGAAACCCCATCCAGGAATCTGCATTTTATTGCAGGGTCATGACCAAGTTGCACAACTCCTTCCATAAGGTGTCTGCTGATGCGGAAACAATGCCTGCAAATTGAACAAGCTTGGCTGGCAGGTTTTAAACAGGTTCCTTGACATAGTTGAGAGTGTTCATACAACTTTTGTGAAAGCCAGCCCATTGCACCGTGCACATGCGCAAAACCCCTCACCTTTCTTGGGCCGTCCATTGTACTTCGCATGCGACTTCTTCTCTGCCTTCGGCACGAGCGTCGATTGGTTCTTCGTCGCATGGTCGGTCGTAAGCTTGGCACCTGAGGAAGGTGCCTTCTCTAGTTTGCCGCCTCCAGGAATTGCAACACCCCCCAACTGGATGCTGGGGGTTCCGCTGGCAATCTCCTCGTTGTTCAGGGTCTCTGCCTCCGTGCTCATATAGAAAAAGTTTCTCTGCTCATCAGTCAGGAAGGAACCATTGCTAGGGCTTGTCATTGCGCTATAATGGTTCCTTCCCTACGGAAGGTTACGCTGGATTGGCTAGCTGCACAGGGCTTGCTAGCTAGAAAACCCACTCCTTTCAGGTCCTCAGATGCGAGAATGTGACAGCACAGCGGTGGAGCGCGAGGAGGGGGACAAAAGGAGTGAAGCAGGCAGGCAATGAATTCGCTCTCTTCCTTCTTCCGCAAGGATGGCGCACAAGTTGAAGAAAGCTTTGCTCTGCAGGAAATGTGTTGACGCGTTGGTACGTGCTGCTTGCGTGGTTCTTGAAGTTGTGGTTCGCCAGCAAAGTGCCCAGTGAAGGTGATTCGCGGCGTCAATTGAGAAACATTTCACGTAACATATGGGTTGTTCATGGGCTTTTCGTTACGTGCAGACTTTCCCGGCAGCTGAATCTGGTCGCTCGCGCCAGGCAGACCGCATCCTTTTTCGCTTTCTCCTCAGATTAGGGTTTCTCCTTCAAGTTCCAGCAAGAGCAACAATTTCCACTGCTGGCCGGGCACCACTTCTGCGCCCCCTGCCTGGTGTTCGCATTGTGTTCGCAATTTAGCAGCGACCAAAGAATCAAGTCGAGAGCTGACCGCTCTTGGATCTATTCAGAAAGTGCCTCAGGAAAGCAGCTGAGGCAGGAAATATGGCGCGCACTCGACGGGTAAGGCTCTATCATGCCCAACGTTTCTGCAGAGAACAGCTTAGCAGTGGCTACAGAGCCGCTCGCTTGATGGCTCTTTCTGGTGATGTTTGCGTGTCCTTTCTGATGATTTGTGTGTGAGGAGGGATTCTTATCTATGCCTTTTCGTTATGTCTGCAGAAAAAGAAGCGTACGCATGTGGCGGCTCAGGCCGACCCCACAAAGAAAGGGCCTCCAAAGAGCTTTGTGATGCGGCGGGGCCATGTGGGGAAAATGCTGCGGCGGCTTGAGCAGGACCTCCGCCACGTGATGATGCCCCACACTGCACAAAACCTCAAGGCAAGATACTCTCAATGGTGGCACTGCAGAGTCCTCATTGACTAGGGTGGTGCAGAGTCAGCAGTTTGTGCACAGTCTGATTTTGGCGCTCGCACCATTACCAAGTGAAATAAGTGCAGAAAGCTGGGTAAGTTCATCTGAAAGTAGATGGATTTTAGCAGCATCTTTTTGGGCGCATTGCTGCACGGATGGAAGGTAGTCAGTAATGAAAGCAGAAGTGCAAAGAAATGGTGGTACAAAGTCCACTTTATTGCCTTTGTTTTGGTGACAATCAAGTGTCATTTTTGGTATTAGTGATCACTTGAGCGGGAGGGTATTGCAATTTATAAGCAACCATTTAGCATCGCAATCGGTGGAATTAAGATGAGACAGCATTCAATCTGCCGGCAATTGCAGATGATCCGACCGGGATCGTGCTAGACACCTTGCTCAGACATTTACATCATCTGAAATACCTTCATCTGAGGCAAGAATGCATCTGCTCGAGCAGAGTTAAGGCTTGCAATCATGGTGAGCCCTTTATCATGCACGCAATCTGTTTCTGCAGGAGTCCAAGCGCAACACTCTGAAAGACTTTGTGCACGTGGCGGGGCCTCTGGGGGTTACACACTTTCTCCTGCTATCCACAACAAAAACGGCGCCGTACTTCCGGGTTGCCAAGACGCCCCGGGGCCCCACCCTCACCTTCCAGATCAAGCAGTACTCTCTGGCGGGAGATATTGCGGCCGCCTCCCCCAAATACAGGGCCCCTCCGACCCTCTTCCAAGACCCCCCACTGGTGAGACATAAAATTGGTTTCAAGTTTCCGTCTGTCTTTCAGCGGATTTTGATTCACCAGTGAGACACGGGATGCCGCTTAGAGCTTTCTAGTCGAATCTGACAGATTTGCAAATTTTTTGAACTGTTGTGTTTCGCGTTCTGCTGAAATTGTTTGAAATGTTGGTTCATATTGCTTCCCTTGTTGTAAATGTACTTACACAAGGATTCTGGAGACGATTAGTGGATTCTATTTTGCACAGTATTGATAGGTAAAAAATCTGCTTGTCCCCTGCAGGTGGTGATGAACAATTTCACGGGCGCCGACGAGCACCTCAAGCTGTGCACCGTGATGTTCCAGAACATGTTTCCCCCCATCAACGTCCAAACGGTCCGCCTCTCCCAGTGCCAGCGCGTGCTCCTGCTAGACTACAATGCCGAAACAAAACTGATCGATCTCCGGCACTATGCCGTGACGGCGCAGCCGACGGGGATCTCCAAAAGCATACGGAAGCTGGTCACGAAACAGGACGTGCCGAACTTGGGGGGGATGGAGGATGTAGCGGAGTTTGTAACAAGGTAAGGGGAGTCTTGTGCCATGGTAGCCTGTGATTCTTTGGTGTGTTGATCTAATGTAGGATCTGAGGAGCTTGATCCATACGATTGACGGACGTCAGAGACGGAATGGTCGAAAGATGACTGGCAGGCTCTTGCAAATCAATGCCGAATCTGGTGAAGCCCTGGTTTTTACAGCTACAGCTGTTACGCAACGCCTCATGCATCCCAGTGCTTCCCTTCGTTCCCTACGCTTCGCTTGCTGTGGCTATATTCTTACTTCCATCCGTACACTTTCTGCATTGTTTGACTTCGTATCCTGGAAGAGCTAGCTGCCTGCACAAAGCTCTAAGGGTTGGCATTCATATTAGTTGGAAAAGCAACCTTCGAAACTCTGAGAGCCGTAACCCTCAGATTGCTGTCAGGTTCAAAGCCGGGCCTCACTTCTCTTCAGGTCTGGCTACGGGTCCGAGAGCGAGGGCGAGGAGGAAGCGTCCAAGGTCACGCTCGCGCACGACCTGGGCCGGGGCAACCGGGCCGCCAATCGTAGCGCAGTGAAGCTGCAGGAGATCGGGCCACGGATAAGCATGCAACTCATCAAAGTCGAGGAGGGGTTGTGCTCCGGGAAGGTTATGTTCCACGAGTTCGGTGAGTGGGGCAGTGCTTTCTTCACAACTTCCCTTGAAGTGCCACTCAGACTGGGCATTTACGGCTTCTTGCGTTTCTTTACTTTTTCTTTCTTGGACAAACTTGAGCCTCAATAATGTGATGTTTCTCATTAGTTAGCAGCAGATTTGTAATCGTGAAGAACCTGTGATTGATCCGCTGGGTTTGAGGGTAGAGTGGACCAGCCACAATCAGTCACTACTCAGAAACTCGTAAAGGATCCTGCTAGCCCTGCGAGTACCCGGCTAAAAAATCGCTTCGGTTGACCAATCTCGGAGGTCAAAGGATATGACCTACTTGAGGTTGCTACAATAGAGGGCTTCTCTTCGGACGACCCAGCCTTTTCTGCTCATGCCACTTTCGCACACCAAGGAAGACGGATATAATTCGCTCGAAGCCATCGAATGTACGAGAACGATTATGAATTCCGCTGGATCTTCAAAAGGTTTACCTTCGGTAAAGTAGCCCTCAGCCTACGGTACCGCATGGTCGGTTTCAGATACGATCATTCAGCACTTCTGGCGAGTGTCGTCGAGTCCTTGAATGTAAAAACGTCAGGACCTCAGACTTCAAAACGGCTCTGCAGTGCACAAGAGCGCGGAGGAGGAGGCGGAGCAGGAGGCGAGAGTAAAGACGAAGGAGGAGCTTCGCGCGCAGCGGAGGGCTGAGCAAGAAGCCAACGTCAGGCGGAAGCAGAAGTGAGCTTTCCTGGGCAATCTTTGAGTCATAGTCACAGGCCTTGAATTTCAGTAAGGGGCCCACAGAGACATCCACTTTGAGGAGCGAAGAAGACACTTGCCGAGTGCAGTCTTTGCAACGCTCGCCCGACTGCGAAATGCAGTGGGCGAGCGTGTAGTACTTGCGACACCGGAATGCTCCTTGCGAGGCTTTCTGAAAGCCGAGGCGCAAGTCCCAAATGGTCTACTCTATCTTCAAAGACCCGCTGATAGTCGATGTTGGCTTCCCTTATGTCCGCCCGTTTTTGTTGCAGAACATGCAATCTCAGTAAAGTAGCATCCCGTGCATGCACAATTCTCAGCCCTACTTCCCCCACGCTTACTGACCCCTCTCCTTTTGATTCAGGCAAGAGGAAGAGAAGGAAGCGCTCAAAGCCGACAAGAAGCAGCGCAGGCTGGACCCCAACCATGACGTCAGGATGCGCAAGGACCACCCAGACAACCGCGCGGCGGCGCAGGCGGCCGACGAGGATGATGACGCCCAGTGGTACCGGCAAGAGGTTGGGGAGGAGCCGGAGGAAGGTAAGCGGATTTTTCGGGCAGCCTCGTTCAAAGCCCGCGACCGTTTCTCGTTTGATATTATTTTTCACTGAAGCTGAGGGTGCGTCCATTGGTCGTGTTTGACGTCGGTTGTAAAGTTGGAAAACGTGCGAGACTGCTATCGCAAAAAAGTCGGGGCAGTCAATCGGTTTGGCTAAAGCGCTGTGATCTCGATTGTCGCTGGGCTTGGGAACTTTTGCTGGGGATTTCAGACCGCACCCAAGTAACTAGATGTGGGGTATTGCTGTTGTGCCAGCCACATTCAAGACGGATCTTCGCTGACAAGCAGGCCGAGTTGGTAGGAAAGCAAAGTCAAATCCAACGTCTCTTTGCCTGCTTCCTCTCGGGTGATTCAACTTATGATCTAGACTCATCGCGCCTCCCAAGTAGGACTTCGGATATGCTTTCTAGTTGTCGTTGTCTCCGGGAGCATCTTATACCTTAGAAGTAGCATTCAGGACAGGGACCTTCGGCGGGCCTCCAATTGGGTGTTCTCAGGAGCACACCCGTTCCTACTGCTTTCTAATTGCGTTCTTTTCCATTCAGGTTTCATGACTCGAGGTCCCTCTCCCTCTCTGCGCGGCCGCGGGCGGGGAAGAGGGGGAGGGCCTGGACGGCCAAGTCGGGACAGAGACGGGAGTACAAAGGCCGGGAACTCGTACGGCAGGAATAGAGTAGACGGAGCTAGAAAGGAGGGAGTGAAGCGGAAAGACAGCCGGACAGAATTTATGAAGTCAAAGAAGAAGCGAAGGGTCGGTTGATCTGGTGATTGTCAATGCCGGACGAATTTTTGGGCGTGCAAGTCTAAGCATGATCCACTCAAGCCCTAGGACTTTTTCCATCACGTGGCTAATAGTTGGAGTTTCATGAGTGCTTGGGGCGCGAGGAATGAAGATTATGCAACTCAAGCCCAATACACGTCGGACTACTTGGAACTTTAAGGCGAGGCTCATGTCCCTGTGTGAAGCTGAGAGGGCAGCGGACGGGCTATCATGGGAGTGGGTTATCCTCGTCTCCTACAACGAGGGAAGATGAATGGGCCGATCTCGGAGCTGTGAAATGGTGCATGGGCCGCCTTCCAAGTTGGATGGTAGGCCGCTCACACCGTTTCCTTGAAGCTTATGGTCCTTGATCTGTCCCTTATGCAGACATTGTACTCAAAGCCTTTTAATTAACACTTGTTCGGTACGAAGGGATCGATTGAGTGGCCAGAAACAGCCTGAGCCCCGGGGTTTTCCTACCAGTGTCGTGAGCGTACTGATATACGAAGAGTAGCGCGCAACGAGCAAATTCGTTAGACCTTGCGCGTTGAAAGGTGAAGTATGGGCATGCGCACTCCTCGTTCACTGATTTCTGGTGGTAGTAACTGCCCATGAGCATGCCTTGGGAATCCAAGCTGCGCAAGCTGCTTTTGCGGTCGGCAGCGTTCTACTAATCCTACACATGCGCTGTATTAGGACCGAGTCAATCAATCAATCAATCAATCAATTTATTTTATAGTCCTTTAATTAAAAGATAGACAAATGCAGATCGTCTGTGCCGTGTGGTCACTGTTGTTACGTCACACGTGTCGATCCGCAAGTTTTCGTACAGATTTTTTGGCACTCCCTCACGTTGCGACGGTCCGATCTGTCAGCCAATCAAAATCGGGCGGTTCGAGTAGCTTCGCGTGCGGTACCGGCCCCCTGGTAAGGTTGATATTAATGCCATGCAAGAATTTTTAGCAGCTTGGAAATTTGGAATCAATCTGACCGCGCGCGGCGTTGTTGTCCGGGGGCTGCCGGTGAATCAACGTTCAATTGCGCAGTAGCGTCGCAGTAGGTCCGATATGTTGCACAGTACTGTCGAGCCTGTTGATCACCGTAGGCCTCCAATTATCCAGTGCATCGCGCGCTTATGAGCATGGTAAGCAGCAACTTGCTCGACCATGTGAAGGTACCAGGCGTGCTTTGGGCGTCCGAGGTCAAGCGAGTTAGCACATGCAGAATGAACGACTTGAAGGGAATTGGCTTCTAAGTTCGGCAGCTCGATTTGGCGGGGTTCTGGTTATGAGCTTTGGAATCTGAGGCAGAAGAGCTTCGATCTTCATAGCTCCAGGCCGTAAGGTGCTTCGGATATATCTAGAAAAGCCTGCTCATGCTGCTTCATTGGTGCCCTGCTGTTGAAACTTGATGATCTTGCTCAGCTGATAGCAGCATTGAGCGACATTCATACTTACAGTAAGCTGATCTTAGCTTAGTAGCCCCCAACTTTGACAGAGGACCGCAGACTTCTGCCAGTGCAGAGGGCATTGCGCGAGCGGCATCGTTTGCGGCAATGCTGGGATACAAGCAAGGATGAGACTCAGATTCTTACGTAAGAGAAGAGGATACCAAGCAGGCCTGCAAGCCTCAGAAGGATGACGCCCCCTGCTGACGCAATCATGGGGGCCCCTGACGAGGAGCCCCCCGTCAGCGTCGCAGTGCTGAACGGGTCCCGCGCGCTTGAGGCGTCGCTTTACCTCGCGTCACAGAACGGGAACAGTCTCAAGCGGGGGTCGCCGTTCAGCAAGCTGCTCCAGCCTTTGGCCCCAATACAGGGCCCCATTCTAGTTGGTAACACTCCCCCAGCTGCAAACATTTCAGGGGCCACCGCAGCTAGGCTCGTTCCAGGCGCGCTGAACCCCCTGAAGCGGCCCCTGTTTGCGGCTGCAAAGAAGACGACGGTTCTGCCCCCCCTAACAGAAAAAGCGGCCGCCAATCGGTTGCCCACTCCGGAAGGGGGGCTGCCGAAACAACTAGGGGAGGGACAAAAGAAGATCCGGCTGGCGGAGGAGCTGCAGCCCGTGCGGAAACCGAGGGGAGTGCGGGGCGGGTCAAGAGCGGGGCAGCAAACGCCGGCGGAGGACCGGCCGTGGTTTCTGTTTTTGAGTATCCTCACTTTGCGGCCTTTGTTTGAGGTGGCCCGCACTCTCAGTTTGTTGCAATATCCGGTATGTAATTTTCATGCACAGCTCTTCTCATTCCAGAGGGCTCTTCACATAAGAGCCAGTTGTGCTGGCGACTGAAGGGCTGTAATGCTGCTGCCAGAGGCCTCTTTGAACTCCATTTGTTCGACCCTGGTTAGCTGCCACCACGCACAGCAATGGCGCTTCTGGGTAGATTGGTAACCCTTTAGGAAGGTCATGGATGCTAGCTAGGTTAGCTCTCCATGCTTCACTGGCTTTGACACCGGTGTTGACCCTTTTCAAAACCCAATGTCTAGGTCCGTGTCGGCCCCATGTGCCCGAGCGAGCTAGCTCAGAGTGGGATTAGATGTTCCTTACCTGCATTAACGCCTCTCTGTCTTTGGGCCCTTTTACTTGCTTCGCTTCTTTCGACCAGCAGCACCTCTCACTGGCTCCTTCGATCCCCTTTTCCATTCGCATTCGAGGCGAATGTCGCTCCATTCTGCCTTTCTTTGAAACGGACCTTGACCCAGCCCCAACAGAACAACTGCGCGAGCGGCGAACTAGCCTGGAGTTCATTTACCTGCGGCCCGCCAAGCAGGACGTCACGGTTTACAACCCGTACGACCTCGAAATTGTGGGCCACTCGGACGTCGACCAGAACGACTTTTACACCATGAGCATGGCGGGAGTCACGCGCTTCACGGCCGGGGCCGCAGGTGCGCTTTTCCTCGCTCTAGTTCCTTTGTTGAATGGTCACAAAGTTACGCGCTTCACAGCTGGGGCCGCAGGTCCGCTTTCTGTCACTCTAGTTCCTTGGTTAGGTTGGTCTCTAACGAGCAAGGTTATATGTGGGCAGGCGGATGGGAGTGGTAACAAGCAGTTGCGTTCCAAAGCGCTTGTTCCTTTCGAGTTAGAATTATGTTGGATTGCCCGGTCGTTGCCAGGGCGATGATGATAGCTGAGGCAGGAATTGCACACGCACGCCTGACTTGCTGCGGGTGGTTGAACGCTCTTTCAGGGACCTAGTATCCATACGTTCGGTCCGTTTCAATCAGAGCGGTACAGGGATTTCCCAGAAGATTGAAAGGCATACCCAGCTTCTGCACGAAACTTTGCGCCGGTGAGTGTCTCAATCGATAGACCACACTGATCCTGGCAAAGTTCCAACGGTCTGGCATCCAATTGCCGGCTGCTGAAAGCGTGGGTACTGCGAAAGGTTCTCAAGAGCAGTGCACAGGTCCGGCAACTCACAAGGGGTCCCAATGTTTTTGCAGACTTCACTCCGTTGGATCAGTGGGAGCGGGAGTACCACTTGTTCAACCTCATCAGCACGCTCAAGATCTTCCGGCAGGTAAGGCGATTGGAGAAAGCAGCGAGACCTTTTCTCGCTGGCAAGTCTTCGAAGAGCTTTGTTTGGCAGCGGCGCTCGACTTACAGTGCACGTGATCAGCAGAAGGACAAATTTGGGTTCTTAAATGTCAGAAGCGCGAGCCGTTCGCGCGTGTGCAAAAGCGCGGGTGATTAATTTCCGATCTCGCAAGAAACAATCATGTTGGTGCATTATACGTGTCGTCTCTAGCGCGGCCGGCATAGTCAATACTCTCTCGCGTTTTAAAATTCACCTCATGCTCGAGCGGCCGCTCTTTCCTTCTCGCCGTTATTTGTTTTCGTTGGTCGACTCTGTTAAGCGTTGACGAAGTTCATTGCAGTCTCACGAAATTCTTTCATCTAAATCTCACCAAAGTTGGCTTCCCGCCGCAGTACAAGAGCTGGAAGAGCTTTGCCACGTGGAAGCGGTTCGTGCGGCAGAAGAAGATGCACGCGTGTCGCGGGGTGCTGGAGCGCAACCTCTTCTTCCTCAACCCCATGTTCCAGAAACCGCTGCAGCAGATCAAAAAGGTGAGACGGACGCCGACATTGTTTTCAGGGTGTGGGCTTCATCAAGTAAGCATCTACAGACCAGATTCCGCATATCAAAGAATCGTTCGATTTCGTTTCTTGTCAGGGGTTTCCTTTGGATTGCTTCTATGTTCCAGAATTCGCTGCAGCAAGTCAAGAAGGTGGGGCTTCGGAGGACGCAGAAAAAGGGGCCTTTCTATCAGCGAGTCTGGAGCTAACAGCAGCGTTTTCCTGCCTTTTAAGGGCGTTTTATGATGCCATTGCCTTGCCGAGACCTTTTCTCAGCGATGATCTTGAATTGTCCCATGAAACAAACCGAGAGCAGGCCCGTTTCCTTTCTGAGCGGGCTTCTCTTTAGCGAAGCCTCCTGAAAATCCCCGCGCTTCCGTTTCTTCAAGAGGCGGCATGTTGGCAAGCTTCAGCAGATCCCAAAGCTTGCCACGTGTCGCTCTGCCAGGTGTGCCACGAGGTCTCCGCGCTGCGCATGCACAAGGTGGAGGACGGCGTGCTGTACACTTTGGAGCTTTTCGTCACCAGCCAGCTCGAGAAGAAGGAGCAGATCGGGGCGATCCTGAAAGAGGTGAGGGGCGCTTCGCCGATTCCAAGCCACTCGTTTCGCCCAGTCATCTGGTGAATAAGGAGATTTGGTCGGTTTGTTGGAAATCTGGTCATATTTGAAAATTTATTTCATTAAATTTGTCAATCTTTGCGTGTATCTGACCGACTCGGGCCGGACGCGGCTCGATCGCGCTGATTAAAGTGGGCGTCCGACTTCAAGGCTCCGGAAATGCGCACGTCGTGCAACGGAGTCTTGTTTTGACGGACCAGATTGCAACTTCGATCAATCTGGGCCCCCACCACCCTAGATGGCCTTGGGGTGTCCATGCATGGCCACGCCCACCTTGAGGGCCGCCAAGATGCGTGGAACACGAAGTGAAGCCTCTTTCCCGACACAGATTCCGTTTCGAAACGTCTCTGGCTTGCGATCGATATCGAGATACTCAGCGGCTGCACATCTCTGCTCGCTGTTTACGTCTGTTACTTCGTGGCGAACCTTACGTCCGTATCGTGTCCGCATATCCTTAAAGCACCCCAACAGCTATTGTCTCACTTTCATACTCGCAACGACACTCGATTGCCCCGCTTCTGGCCGCGCAGTTTTCGGAGGGCGCTCTCGAGACGGTCTGCATGGCCTGTCAATCCGCCCTCGACGCTCTCGACGAGAAGCTCTTCGGCAAGGGAGACGCCGACGCGGCCGCGGCCGCGGGCGATACCCGCTCGCGCACGGCAACGGCTCGAGCGGGCACCGTTACCGCAGCGCTCAAGACGGGCAAACTGGGCGGCGCGGCCGCGCAGACGAAGCGCCCGGGGCAGGAGGCGGACGGGGAGCGCTTCTCATACGCTATCACCGCCGCGCGGCGGTCGGAGCAGCGGAAGCTATTGAACTTCATTCGCCTGGCGGACTATATGCTATGCGGCAGCCTGCACGCGCTATTGATCGAGAGCATTCAGGAGATTCTGGCGAGGATAATTATCGACGAGGCGGATCGTGTGAGGGGATCCGAGGATTCGAGCGTTTCGGAGGGGTCTACAAATGGGGGGGAGGAAATGCAGGTGGATGGTGGGGAAACGGAGGGGGGGGGAGCGGAGAAGACAGGGGCTTTGCCCCTGTTCCGAGTGGAGGTGGTTATGGATGAGGATCAGCTGGTCTTCGAGCCGTCGCAAATTGCTTTTCAAACGAAGGTAAGCTGCCTGCAGAATACCATCTTTCCGTCTACGCACAACCGAAACCTTTGCTTACACGATCCCAATGTAATTCTGGAAGAAGGAACGCTTACTGGCTGATCTGAACGGTCGTAATGGTCACTGCTTGCTTCAGTAATCTTGAAGCTGGATACACGGGTGAACTGGCCGCCCTGTGACGGCCCCTTCGAAATTTTGACGTGCCTTAAACACAGGGAATTTGACCGGTTTTGAAAGCGACTCAGAGTTCCTACAACACTCATTTCTTGTCGATTGACGCGTTTTTTGAAAACGAAGAATTACATTCTCCCAGAGCGATTTCGTCTGATCTTCCTACTTCTCCTCCGTCAGGTGGGTGACGTCCTGCAAGGGTTTCTCCAAACCCTGGAGGGCGTCGAGCGCGTTCTGCACCACAGCCGCCTCGCGCAGTTCGTGGAGCAAGAAGGGCACGACCCCCCCGAAGCGGGGACGCTCACGGAGCTAGTCGGGGACGAACTGCACAGCGAGCTCATAGAAGAAGTGCGCGAGCGCTTCCTGGAGGCGTTCCGGGGGGCTGAGGCGTTCGCGGCGTGCTTCCTGCCGCTGCTGAAACTGACGATTGAGGACCGCGCGGTGACGATCGAGGGGATGCGCGAGCAGGTGAGGGCGCGCACTTTTGGGTGACGATGTATAGCGCGCAAGGAGGTTACAGTCTTGTGTTAACGAGTCAAGCCGTCCGGTGGATAGTTGTATGAGGTTGCCCCAGTGAGGCATGCATGAGAGAGGAACAAAGGCCCGAGCTTTGCAAACTTTGAAGAGCAAGCGGCATCAAGCGTGGAACGCTTGAAAAGGGATTCTCAAACTCAAGCTTCCAGGTTTGAAGTGTCTGAAACGAAGCGATGTCTCAATGCAGAAGACGAGAGAAAGAATATAAGTGCAAAGAAATTGACGGGAACGTGAGACGAGTCTAGGATGAGACTAAGTCTACGCATCTCGCAACTCTGCGCGTAATATTTTCCGCCGTCTCTTGGTCGCAGGTCCTTTCCGGCGCGCGCACCTTAGACACGTTCCGTGGCGACCTCGCACGCTTCACCGCGCAGCAGGCGGACATCACCGCGCTGCCCGAAACGCGCGACGTGGGCATCTTGCGCATTTCCAGCGCGCAGCTCAAGACCGCGCTCCTGCCAGGACCGGTGCAGTGCCTGCAGAAGATCTCGTCACTTCTGCCCCAATTGGCCGCGCAAAAGTACCAGGATTTCATCTCTGACGTGCACGATGCGACCGCCCGGTTAACGGCTAACCCGGGCACGGTGGAGGAGTTTGTGGAGCACGTCCGGTTCCTCCAGGTGGGCGCAGAGGATCTGGTTTTCTAATCTATTCTCAACCCCTTTCGTGACAGGTTCTACTTTAGTTTTACAGGTGGTAGAGACCTCCATGTTCTGGACGGGGACCGACGGTTTTCCAAACCTTTTTAAAAAGCACATGCTCTGCCAAGTGCAAAGTCTTGGTCGAAGATGTGCCTTTCATAGAATCAGAACGCCGTGCGAAAACAGCCCGCGGGCCCGGAGCCAATCAGAATCAAGTACCGATCCCGTCATGACGGGCACGTCGTTCGTGTTTGATGCAGTCAATCCGTCTCTATACCTAACAATCTGTTATATCCTAAGAATCAGAATGAAGTCAACAACCAGATATACTTCTTGCTAAGTTGTTCGAAGGGTTCGGAATCTGATCTCAGTCCCTTATCCTGTGCAGACCATGCTCGCGCGCCGCGACGAGTTCGAAGACCGCTACGCGGAAGTCGTCCGGCACTACACACTGATGGAGGAGGAAAACATAACCGTCCCCGAAATGGATCACGCGGCATACCAAACCCTAAACCCCGACTTCCTCGCGTTCAAAAACGCGATCGACGTCGCGGAAGCTGGAAAAGACGACCAAGTGAAGGGCTTCAGCAGCGACCTGGAGGCGCAGAGCCAGGGCGTGCAAGTCGCCGTGACGGACATCCGGCAGCAGGCGCAGAGCGAGATTCTGCTGGATGAGAGTAAGAACGCATCTTTACATCTACGTCTTCGACATTCAGTTTTCACTATCAGAGGAAGTATCAGAGGAAGGGAATCCTTTTCAGAATGGAAGCGCGATCTTATAGTGTTCCAACTTGCAGACGCTCTATAGACGAAGTTCCAAGAGCTCACCATTTTTGTTGAGATCTACGTCTCGCACTGCAGCTTTGCGGCGCTTCGAACCCCTGACGAAACATGGTAGACAATTACTCGACCCTCAGAATGAAGCAGTTCCTTGTCGGACATGCCCAAAATTCTGAAATACCCTCGAAATAGCGGAGTCCTGAAGTTCGAAGATTCCACCTTTCTGCAGATGCGGACCAGGAGACCGTCTTGGGTTTGGTGGGCAAGCTGGTGGAAGACGTGGGCGTTCAGCTGGAGAAGGCCAAGAACATCAAGAAATACCAGCAGCTCTTCCAGGTGCGACTGCCCGGAACACCCGCTAGGAATCCCTTTCGTTCAAGTCTGCTAAAGGAGTTTCTTGTGAAACCCCTGCAATACGAAGCGGATCGAGTAACGTCAAGCAATTCGCCGAGCAAGAATGCTTTTTCAGATCCCAAGAAATAGGGTGGCCTTGTAAAGAATTGGGTCAAATGTCTAGTGCGAAATGAGCTCTGCTGAAGCTAGATAAGATCAAATCAAAGCTCGTCATACCCTTCGAACAGAACTTCCGCAAAATGTCAAAGTATCAAGGAGCAGTTTGTTAGGTCGGGACGCAATTTACCTGTTACTCAAGCACCCAGAAATCCCGCCTGTTTGCCTGATTGTAGGTCCCCGAGTCCGAATTCGACGACATCCGAGTGGCGGCAGAAGAAGTGGAGCTGAAGCGCTTACTGTGGGAAGGCGGCCGTGACTGGGCGGATCTGACGGATGGATGGGCGGCCACGTCATTCCAGAGCATCGACGTGGCAGGCCTGGAGGAGATGGTGCAGAAATACGTGAAGCAGGTCATGAAGCTGGAGCGCGGGCTGCCGCCCAATAAGTGAGCGCGCGCGCACTACGTGGCTTAATTTGGTAGTTGGACAGCAAAGTCCTGAACTTCTGGGGATTATGAGATCCTAAGTGGACTTCATTCGCTCTCGTCAACCGGGAAAGGTACATTGGTACGATCAAGCCCGACTTCAAATTTCGAGACAAAACGGTAATCCTTGAGAACAGGGTCGAAACTCGGATTGAATGGAGAGACCGGTCAGTGAAAAAATGATTGCATAGTGTTGAGAGTCAGAAGACTCCAGCGACTGCCTCGTTGACCATACCTACAATTGCCCTTCTGCGAAAGGCTTCGCGGATCACGCTAAGAAGGTTTCTCGACTCTGCAAACTGTTTCTTTCAGGCAGGTCCTGGAACGGTCTTTTTGTACAAGATGCCCACGCTAACGAGCGCCTTAGGTCCTGCTAAGGAATCTTCGCTGCACAACCGAGACCAGGTAGGCCTTGTATCCAACCCCCCCCGTTCCCAAAGCATATCCAATTCAGGAGGCCTTGTTTTCCACCCGCAGGCTTGTTCCCGAGCTAAAGCGCCGCGTGGAGGAGTACAAGCTGATTCTCCCGGTCATCAGCAACCTGCGGAACAAGGCCCTCAAGGACCGGCACTGGGAGCGGATCGAGGCGGAACTGGGGCAGCCCATCGACGTCGAAGGGGAGCTCACGCTGGGCGCGCTGCTCGACATGCACGTGACGTCACACAAGGACGTCATCGCCACGGTGTCGACAGAGGCCACTCAGGTATGAGACCGGCTCTGAGTTGGTGCCAAGCTTTAGCACGTTTGAAGAGGGGCGGTGGGGCAGTGAGAGGATTTTGGGCAGAATTTGGTTATGTATTTGCTTGAGAGGCGAGCCGCGCATTTTTCGGTACTTTTACAAATCTCGGCGTTCCCTGATGGAAACAGTGGTTTGGTTTGTAGAGCGGTCATCGCTTCAACGGAAAGGTGGGGAAGACATTGGAGGCACCCTTTGTGCGCAGTAGAGCCTATATGCCCTCACTGGATTCTTGTCCGTTTCTTACTTTCCTCCCACTTTGCGCAGGGTCAAAAGCTGGAAATGCCGCTTATCACGTCTAGGAGTGTCCCCTTCTTTGATACTTGCACGTCTCCTCCCCAAAATCCGATGCTCCACACAAATCTCACTACCATTTCCTCCCCCCTGTGCAGGAGCAAGCGCTAAAGGAGCTGCTGAAGACGGCGGAGGGGTAGTGTTCCCCCCTTCTCGTCCTGCACTTTTACCCCCCCATTTTGAAACACTATTTCCACCCCCCTTCGCAGGAGCAAGCCTTGGAGGAGCTGCTGAAGAAGGTGCAAGGAAAGTGGGCGGACGTCGAGTTCGCGGTGAAGCCGTACAAGGACAGCAAGGACGTGTTTATCCTGGGGGGGGTGGAGGACGTCACCGCCGCGCTGGAAGATTCCATGGTCACCATGGGCGTCATCACCGCGTCACGCTACGTCGCCGGCATCAGAACTGAGGTAGGGCTTTCGAAGAACTTACGGTTTTGCGAGAACCCTTCTTTTGATTGGCTGACAACACATCATGTTATAGGGAGTGGTTATGCGAGTGGTCGTGAGAAGAGCTCAAGTTTACCAAGGGCGTCATAAGCGCGTCAAGCTACGTCGCGGGCATCAGAACTGAGGTAGTTTATAGCCGAATGCCGTCTTCAACAAAAACAAGATGTAAAGTTTTGAATGCTAAACGCCCATCCCTTTGGTTGGCGGACATTACACCGGATTATTGTAGATAAAAATGCGAGTTGTCTGCAGAACTAAATTAGAGTCACCATGAGCGTCATCACGGCTTCACGTTACGTCGCGGGCACTTCGGACCGAAGTGGAATCTGGGGCCAAGTCATCTATTTTGCGAGTACCGTTTCCCCATTCTCGCGCTGTGTGAAGCTTACGAAGGGCCTGTCCTTTGAAAGAGTTGCTCAACACGAAACTTCGATCCTTGTTCTTGAGTCTTTTTGAGGGGGAAGAGAACGTGACTCCATGTCACAGCCTCAACTTCTCAAAACTCCGGAGCCCTCAGTCTGAATGCTGCATATTTAACGTGCCTTGGTAGAGAAACTGAAGCAGCTGTTGCAGACATTCCAGATGCTCGTCGACGGGACTAGTCTCCCGGGCTCGAATCCGGATACATAATGGATTTCAGAATCGTTCTCTAATACTAAAAAGCTGGCTTTCTCCCTTCGCCGGGTGGAGAAGCTGGAGAAGGCGCTGACCGACGAGATTAGGCCCCGGGCTCGAACCCAGAAAGAGACTGCCAAGTGAATGGCATATCTTCTACTCATTCCTCACATCCGGGTTTGCTCTGTTCGGCAGGTGGAGAAGCTGGAGAAGGCGCTGCGGCTGTTCCAAAAGGTGCTGGACGACCGAAATGGACTCCGCGCTCGGTTTTGATTTACGAGAAAAGCCTTGAAACGAACCCAGAAAGCATCCTCAATACGTTCCCCAGTTAATAAAACTTGGGTTTCTTCCCTGCCAGGTGGAGAAGCTGGAGAAGGCTCTACGGCTGTTCCAGGAGGTGCTGGACGCGTGGCTGGAGTGCCAGAAGAACTGGATGTACCTCGAGTCTATCTTCAGCGCGCCCGACATCCAGCGCCAGCTGCCCAACGAGGCCAAGGCCTTTGCCTCCGTCGACAAGCAATTCAAGGTGCGCGCGAGCGTGCGCATAGGAAGCCGTTTCAAAAAGCGCGCGCGCACAGAAACCAGCTTTTTGGTCTGCTTTATCTGTGCCTAGAGCTGTGTCGAAAACGGTTTGTTTTTTAGAAAGGGTTAGGCGACGCGTCAGTCGCTCAAGCTCTAATCCTTTGAAGAGGAGAAAAGGCCTGGAATTCGCTTTTTTTGAAACGTTCGGTTCTTTACTTCTTCATGAATCTATGCGTCTCGTTCAATAAGCTGCATCATACTCAGAGCAGTACATACTCAGAATTGTATTTGAATCGTCTTAACGGAACCACGGAAATCTTTCACTGCGAGCGTATACACTTGGAACACTCTTCTTCTGAATAAAAACGTTTTCCACTAGGATTTTGGCCCACTTTTGACACGCTCTCAATTTTCTCCGCGGTGCAGGAGATCATGCGGCGGACACGGGACCGCTCCAACGCGCTACAGGCAGGGACGACGCCGGGGTGGCTAGAGATCTTCACCAAGAGCAATGAGAGCCTCGAGAAGGTGGGCGGGAACTCAATGAGAAACAATTTTGATTCCTTCAAAAGACTGGAAAACCTTGTTGATGATACACAAAACTTATAAACGTAGGCAATAAATGATAAGTCATAAGTAGGACCTTTGAAGCAAAAAAAGATAGCAAAACAAGGATAACAAGAGAAGGGTGGCTGCAGCACGACTCGCTCATCTAGCGCCATTTTCTTGTTAATCAGTTCGAATCTTGCTTCTGAAAGTAGTTGGAAAAGATTCAGAAAGGAGTGTTTGCGATCACCCTTCAGAAGAATGCGTGCGAAACTTAGAGTTCGCCGGATCCAAAAGTAGGCTCCAGATTTTCCGAAAGAGATAGGAAGCGCACAGGCCAACAACTTACCTGCTTTCTCATCCTTTTTCCCTCGCAGATCCAAAAGAACCTGGAGGACTATCTGGAGACCAAGCGCATGGCGTTTCCCCGCTTCTACTTCCTCTCCAACGACGAGCTTCTCGAGATCCTCGCGCAGACGCGCAACGTGCAAGCCGTTCAGCCGCACATGTCCAAGTGCTTCGACGGAATCCGCTCGCTCGACTTCGGCGATGACCCAAAATCCATCGACATCTTCGCCATGGTTAGCTCCGAAAACGAGCGGGTTAACCTGGGCAAGAACCTGAAGGCGCGCGGCAACGTGGAGCAGTGGCTGACCGCCGTCGAGCAGAACATGGTGCAGTCGCTGCGCAAGTTAGCGAAATCGGGTTACCTTGACTACCCCAAAAAGGAGCGCAAGCAGTGGGTCCTCCAGCAGGCCGCGCAGTTGGTGCTCATGGTTAGCCAGATCTACTGGTGCCGCGACGTCGAGGCGTGCCTCGCGGCCGGCGCGGGCGACGACGCGGCCGCGGCCGCGTCGGGCGTCGCGGCCGCGCTGGGCGCGTTCCGCGCGCAGTGCGTGCGGCAGCTGGAGCAGCTGTCGGAGCTGGTGCGCGGGAAGCTCGCGTCGCTGGAGCGCAAGATCCTGGCGGCGCTCATCACCATCGACGTGCACGCGCGCGACATCGTCGAGAACATGCTGACGTAAGCACCGGTTCGTTCTGGCGTTTCGCAGCACTTCGGAGCGTCGGCTTTCGACTCTCGATTCCAGCAATGATCGGATCGTTGGCCTCTGCAAAACGTGCAGTCGATCTTTCCCTGCCTTCATTCAAAATCTGGCAGAACATGCTCTGACTTTCTGAAAACGATATGAAGCATATTTCTTTATTTCTCTTTCGTTAAGAAAGAAAGGCGCAAGTCAGGAAAGCAACGACAAGAAAAGGCTCCACGCATGAAAAGAAGCTGAAAGAGAAAGTATACCTGGATCGAGACTTGTCTCGACGCCTTTGGCTGATGCACGCCCTGAGCCGCCTTGCCTCTGACTTACGTTTCGTTTGCGCAGGGAGAAGATCTTCTCGGCGAACGACTTTGGGTGGCAGATGCAGCTGCGGTACTACTGGGACGACTCGGTGGACGACTGCATCGTGAAGCAGACCAACGCGCGCTTCATCTACGGCTACGAGTACCTCGGGGCGCAGTCCCGCCTCGTCATCACGCCGCTGACCGACAGGTGAGCGGATTTTTGAGTTAAGAATCTCCAAAAAGTCTCCAAAAAGGTGTCCTTTCGTATTTCAGGGAGGAGTCTTTCGGGGCGCAGTCCCGGCTGGTCGTCACGCCGCTGACGGACAGATGACAGAGATTCTGGGTGTTCAGGTTTTAGGGGTCTAGATGGGTATTGTGATAAGTTTTCGGGTAATAAGTACGAGTATCTCGGAGCGCAGTTCCGCCTGGTCATCATGCCGGTCACGAACAGGTGCGGAAAGTGCTCGGTTCTGGTTCCTAGCGCCCGCTTTTTCAGAAAAAAGGCGCCCTGCGTATATATCTCCTCTGCCCTGAGCTTATTCCGAGTCCAGAAAAGCACTTCCATGCAGCAAGGCAGAAACAGCAGTGGTTGTCTGAGATCTACAGAACTCTTCCTGCGCATACTCCTTGGAAATGCAGTACGACGAACGGTCGCGAAGTCCGGTTGTTGCCGCCAGAAGAGGAGACTTCTTTGCTAGGGTGAAAGGGTTCATTTGAAAGTTCCTTGCCAATTAATTTCATGAATCACGGATCCGCTTCTCATTGCAGGTGCTACATGACCCTGACGGGAGCGCTTCACCTGAAGCTCGGCGGAGCACCGGCCGGACCAGCGGGTAAGACCCTTAACCCATTCCTCCGATAGCTTTCACCGTCTTGAAAAGACCCCTCTTTCAAGGATCTGCTCTTCACCGAAAGTTTGACGCCTTCAGTGTTGAAAGCAAGGAAGCAAGGACGGAAAACACTTTTGAGAAAATCTTTGGATTATCACCCTGCTTCAATAAAACCGATGTGCAAATAAGAGCTAGCCTAGTCTTGGAACAGCAGCCCACGCATGACTTGGGCGCTTATCGAGGGTTTCCGTTCGGTTCGCCGCAGGGACCGGAAAGACGGAGACGACGAAGGACCTGGGCAAGTGCTTGGGCATCCAGTGCGTTGTTTTCAACTGCGGCGACAACCTGGACTACAAGTTCATGGGCAAGTTCTTCGCGGGGCTCGCGCAGTGCGGCGCCTGGGCGTGCTTCGACGAGTTCAACAGAATCGATATCGAGGTGCGCTCTCCAGCCTCGACCGCTTGAGTCCTACAGATTTTTGGCTGAAAGAGTCGTGATGTGTGGAGCATCTTTGGAATCCTAGGAAATAGTTTGGATTACCGTATCTCGAGAACGTACCAAAAAACATAAACTGGAGTCTGCAAGCTCTGTGAGGAGAATGGAATATCCAGAAAACGCAGCTTAGAAATAATCAGCCGAGCGCAAGCACCAGCTCTGTTCAAATCCAAGAATTGTTGCTCCACCCTTTTGTTATCATTCCCCGACTCTGCGTAGAAGAATAATGCAAGTTGACCAATTGTTCTCTGGGTATCAAGTCAACTTCTCAGGGAGGTGTAGCAGCTTCATCCTCTATGCTTAATTCATTCCATACGATCTACGCTAGCCCTGGTTCAAAAATCCCGGTCTGTCCACCGCCTTTCAGGTGCTCAGCGTGGTGGCTCAACAGCTGCTGACGATTCAGAACGCGCTCAAGGCCGGGCAGTCCAAGTTCAACTTCGAGGGTCGGGAGATCCGCCTGGTACAAACTTGCGGCGTATTCATTACCATGAATCCGGGCTATGCTGGGCGAACGGAGCTCCCCGACAATCTCAAGGTGCTCTTCCGGCCGGTCAGCATGATGATCCCCGACTATGCACTGGTCGCCGAGGTGAGGGATCCCTTGGAATTGGGAATTTGGTTTCGTTCTGAAGTTCTTTTTGAAGTTGGTCGGATACTAGAGACGAAGTGGGTCCAAATGGAACTGAAAGCCAATCTGCAGTCTCAGGAATTTGTTACGGCAACCCGAGCACTACTCTGCTTGCTGTAGCACAGTGTTCTTCTTGGGCGGGATGTTCAAAGGCATGCCACATAAAGCAGCGTTGCAAGTAAATACTCTGTCTGCGGTGAAGACAACGCTCTTCCAATCCTCGTTTTGAGAAGCATTCAGAAGCAATCTGCCGACTGAGCCCGTAAGGATGATAACAGTGACGAATGTGACTGCCGTCCTTCTCCGCAGGTGATGCTGTTCAGCGAGGGCTTCGCCAACGCCAAGACGCTGAGCCGCAAGATGGTGAAGCTGTACAAGCTGTCCAGCGAGCAGCTCAGCCAGCAGGACCACTACGTGAGCGAGAGCGCACGCACCCGCTGATCCTTCCTTGTCTGATTATGGGCCCCAGACGAAGGGGCAAATCAGGACACACGGTTGATGAATACGTCTGAGTACAAACCTTTTTTCTCCACGCATCTCTTCTGGAAGATGGAATCCGAGACCGGTTTGTTTTATGAAATGTCTCGCGTGTGCATGCGTCAAAGCAGATGGACTTTCAGTTGGGAATGATAATCCCCGGTTTCCTCGCATATCTAGGATCTGAGGCTTACCATCTTGTTTTTCGGACAAATATCATTGGTCACTCTCCGCCTGCCTCGATCATCTTGCATTAAGCAAATGGAATGCTCTTCTCCTATCTGCCTACTGATCAGGGTGCAAGTCTCACCCGGTTACCCATTCTCTCATCACAGGACTTTGGCATGCGCGCGGTCAAGTCGGTGCTGGTCATGGCCGGCAGCCTGAAGCGCTCGAACCCCGATCTCGACGAGGATGCCGTTCTCATCCGCGCGTTCAAGGACAGCAACCTGCCCAAATTCCTCGCGCAAGACGTCGAGCTTTTCCTCGCGCTACTTTCCGACTTATTCCCCGGGGTGACGATCCCCGCGCAAGACTACGGGGAGTTACAGAGCGCGATCGAGGCCTGCATCGAAGAAGCGGGTTTGCAGCGGGTTAGCAACTTCGTGACCAAGGTTATCCAGCTGTACGAGACGATGAACGTGCGGTTTGGGGTTATGGCGGTCGGGCCGACCGGCGGGGGGAAGACCACGTGTTACCGGATGCTCCAGGCGGCGATGACGCGGTTAAGGGCCGCGGGTCACGCTAACCCGAACTTCCAAACCACGCAAGTGTACGTGCTTAACCCGAAATGCATAAAGATGGGCGAGCTTTACGGAGAGTATAATCTGTTAACGAACGAGTGGAGGGACGGGTTAGCGAGTACGATTATCAGGCAGTGCGTGGCGGATACGACGCAGGATCGGAAGTGGGTCGTGTTCGATGGGCCGGTGGATGCCATCTGGATTGAGAACATGAATACGGTGAGGCAACCTTTTCACGACCAGTACAATCAATTATGAATATTTAGAATCACTGAATCCTTCACGATCTTCACATACTTGTTCCTGCTCGTTAAGAACGAAATCTTGAACACCACCTTAACGGAGCTGGGACATGTGGAAGGCAATTTCTTTCTGATCTGCTGTTGCTTCTTCCGAGAATACTACCTGAATCTCTGCTGGTTTGCTATCATCCTGTGTATACGGATCTCCGAAGCGTGCTTCCGCGTTGCTCTCGGCTTCAATGTTCCTTCCCGTACAGCTCGGTTCAAGCCAGCCCTGCCTTCGAGTTCTCTCATTTTTTAACCCTTGAATGAGTTCACGTGTTTCGATTTAGTTATCCTGGAACCCTGTTTGTCTCCCTTCCTACCCAGGTTCTAACGACAACTGCGTGCTGTGCCTATGCAACGGCGAGCGCACCAAGTCAAACAGGAGTTCTCGATGCTGCCTAACACCTTCTTAATCTGGTTGACGTGCATTTGAAGCTCTAGTTAACCCTTGCCGTTATCTCTAACCCAGGTTCTGGACGACAACTGCGTGCTGTGCCTGCCCAACGGCGAGCGCATCAAGCTCAACCCGACCACGATGCGCATGCTCTTCGAGGTCCAAGACCTGGCCGTCGCCTCTCCGGCGACCGTTTCCCGCTGCGGAATGGTGTACGTTCCGCCGGAAGAACTAGGCTGGCGGCCGTACGTCAAGTCGTGGCTGCAGCGGCTGAGCAAGGAGCTCTCCACGGAAGACAAGAAGGTGACCGTACACGTGGCGACGATCGAGCACGTGTGGGGGTTGTTCGAGGAACACGTGGATAAAGGGCTGGGGTTCGTGCGGCAGAAGTGCGCGGAGAGCATCCCGAGTGTCGACATCAATCTGGTGACGTCACTCTGCTCCTACTTCCAGGTGAGCGGCTGTCTTTGTTTCCGTTCCAGTTAAAGATTGATTCTACTTCTGTTTTGATGCACAAGCGGCGTCTTTTGAAATTTCAATCTCATTTTTGTCTCGTCTAGTTGCAAGCTGAAAAAACGTCCACTTCATTAATGGAGCTTTTGTCTGTCGTTAAAAAATTTATGGCCATCGCAACCATTACGAAGAGATAGCCGACTCACTCCTAAAACCTCTAAACCCTGGCAGGCCCTCTGCGCGCCCGCGCGCGGCGTCGAGTTCGCGGCCGCGGGCGAGCCGCTCCACGCGCTGATCAACAAGCTGTTCTGCTTCGCCTACATCTGGTCGCTCGGGGGAAACATCGCCTCGCAGTACCAAGACGCATTCGACGCCTTTTGCCGGGAGCAGCTTGGCCCCGTGACCGCTTTTCCGGGCGCCGGAACGGTGTACGACTATTTTGTGGAGCCTAAGGAGGGGGCGATGGTGGCGTGGGACGAGGTGGGTTAGTCAGCAGGTTTACTAAACGTAATTGGCACCACGTCCGCACTTTGACGTCGTCTGGGTAAACGAGGCTGTTGGGTCTCGCATTTTGTCTGGTATCTTCGCCCTGACTTTGTAGACAATAACAGTGGTTTCGGAGACTTGGTGAATGAAATTTTCTCTGCTCTGACTTTTCAATTCGTATTTTCAGTTCCTCAGTGATTGAACTAATCTGTTCTGACGTTTTAACTGGTCTTTTCGCTGTGACTTCGTAGAAGCGGTAGCCGCTTCTGCTTCAATCAACCAAGCGGCCGACGCACGACCACGCAAAATCGTTCTAGATTGGGTCTGCGAAAACCATTGACCGGTTTTCACGCTCTCCAAGCTAACCGCAGCGTTCAAGCAGTTCACACCAATGCATTTCTAAATTGATCAAACACGACCTTTGCAGAACATGACTCACGATTTGACCGATTGGATTCGCAATTGACGACGTGTCGCTTTCTCTGTTCGCTAGGTGGTGGCCCCCTTCGTGTACCGCCCCGAGCTGCCCTTCTTCGCGCTGACGGTACCCACCGTCGATACCACCCGGTACTCTTTCCTCATGGACATCGGCCTGGAAGTCCAGCGCTCGGTTCTCTTCACCGGGGTGTCGGGCGTCGGCAAGAGCGCAATCATTACCGACCTGCTGAACCGCACCCAGGGCCCCAAGAACCTGGTACCGGTAACGGTTAACTTCAGCGCGCAGACAACTAGTCTGGCGACGCAGGAGCTGATCGAGAGCAAGCTGGAGAAGAAGCGGAAGACGCGGTTCGGCGCGCCCCCCGGGAAGAAGATCGTGCTTTTTGTGGACGATGTGAATATGCCCGTGAGGGAGAAGTACGGCGCGCAGCCGCCCGTCGAGCTGCTGCGGCAGTTCCAGGTGAGCAGATTGCGCCACGTGGCGAGCTCAGGCTTTCTTGACACTTTCATGGATCAAGATACATTGAATCGGGTCTTTTCGTGATCATCGATCGCATACTGACCCGATCGGACTGCTTTCAGACACTCAAATTCGTCACCTGGTCAAAGCCCTTGCAGACGTTGAGAAACAGAGCCGTCTGTAAACAAAGCTGAAACTTTCTTATCTCACCGAGTCCAGAATCTTACGCGAAACTATGTGGGAACCCGCTTTTGAAATTGAGGCGACAATTATCTCAGGAAAGTCCAGAGCTAATCTGGAACAAGGACTTCGAGAGAAATTCGTCCCCATTGAGACCGAGTCCTTGTATGCCACTTCTTTAACGTTCAGCGTCTTATTCTACGGAAAGGCGTCGAGCAGCCAAAGGGGCAGATTTTGAGTGCAATGTCCTGGCAGGGGAAAACTGGCTGCCAATACGATCCCGTTTCGCCCAGTTTTTGGTCACACTTTCCGCGTTCTGAACTTCGTTCCGTTGTACGCCCTTCCGCTCAGGACTTCCGCGGGTTCTACGACCGGCAGAAGCTCTTCTGGAAGGACGTGGACGACATGACCATTGTTTGCGCGTGCGCGCCCCCCGGCGGCGGCCGCAATGACGTCACCCCGCGCTTCCTACGTCACTTCAGCATGCTCTGCGTGCCGCAGCCGAGCGACGTCGCGCTGCGCACGATCTTCGGCGGGATCCTCGGCGGGTTTCTCGGCGCGTTCAACGCGGAGTGCAAGGGTTTGGCGAAACCCATCGTCGAGTCGAGCGTGGAAGTCTACGCGCGCATATCGCGCGAGCTCCTCCCGACGCCCGCCAAGAGCCACTACACGTTCAACCTGCGCGACGTGTCCAAGGTTTTCCAGGGGATTCTCATGGTTACGCCGCGCGACGTGCCTAACCGCAAAGTGCTAACCAGCCTGTGGGTGCACGAGAGCATGCGGGTGTTCCACGACCGGCTGATCGATTCCGCTGACAAGCGCTACTTCACCGGAATGCTGCACGAGATCTTGAAGCGGAACTTTGACGAGGCGCGCGCGCACGACGAGGTCTTCGCCGGGGCGCAGCCGGTCATGTTCGGCGACTACCTCAGACCTGGAGCGACTGGGGAGGACCGCCACTACGAGCAGGTGGGGATTGCCCTAACTGTGGAATCGAGGTTGGGCTATGACCGTTGGAGTGTCATCATTGGGTTCCCTATCTTTCATTGATAGTATTTTGCAGCTCTATAGATCAAATAATTTTCACGTCACACCCATTTGACAAATGACTACGTAGCCAAGAGAGCAATCTTCGTGGTTTTACGAAAGTGGTACAGGCCTGGTTCTTCCGTTCGATTCGCAGAAGATTCGGATGGTTTTCTTTGAAGTTCATGCTTTGACATCGACCGCTGACAAGTATAGCTCTTGGCACCCACACCGCTCCAAGCGCACTGGTACTCAAAGAAAAGGTCCTCATAAGCGGAGACCAACACCTACTATTTTGTTTCGTCCAGGTGACGGACATCGAGAAGCTTTCCGTTCTGCTGGAGGACTACCTGGCGGACTTCAACGCGGGCGGGCACAACGGAATGAAGCTCGTCTTCTTCCGCGACGCGATCGACCACATCAGCCGAATGGCGCGCATTCTCCGGCAGCCACGTGGCAACGCGATGCTCGTCGGCGTGGGCGGTTCCGGCAAACAGAGCCTAACCCGATTCGCGTGCTTCATGGCCGACTACCAGTGCTTCCAGATCGAGCTAACCCGGGGTTACGGCAACAACGAGTTCCGGGAAGACCTGAAGAAGCTGTACCGGTTAGCGGGGGTTACGGGCAAACCAGTTGCCTTTTTGTTTACCGACACCCAGATCGTTAACGAGGGTTTCCTGGAGGACATCAATAACCTGCTCAACTCGGGGGAAGTCCCGGGGCTGTTTGCGTCGGACGAGAAGGAGCGGATCATCGGCGACATCCGCGAGTGGTGCCAGCAGAACAACGTCGCCGAGACGCGGGACTCGATGTACCAGGCGTTTATCGCCCGGGTTAGAGAAAACCTGCACGTGGTTCTGTGCATGAGTCCGGTGGGGGATGCGTTCCGAGCCCGTTGCCGGCAGTTCCCGTCACTCATCAACTGCTGTACGATAGACTGGTACACTCAGTGGCCGGAGGAAGCGTTGCTGTCGGTTAGTACCCGGTTCCTGCAGAACCAGGACCTGGGTTCCGCTGACGTCAGGGACAGCGTGGCGCGGATGTGCGTGGAGATCCACACGAGCGTTACGGAAATGAGCGACCGGTTCTACCAGGAGCTGCGGCGCAAATTTTACACGACGCCCAAAAGCTATCTGGACCTCATCAATTTATACACGCAGCTGCTGGGCGAGAAGCGGCTCGAGATGAATAACGCGCGCGACCGGTTAGTGAACGGGTTAAACAAACTGCGGGAGACGAACGAGATCGTGGGGACGATGAAGAAGGAGCTCGACGCGCTCGCGCCCATTCTGGCGGAGAAGACGGAGACGACCAAGGAGTTACTGAAGCAGGTTACGGCTGACCAGGCCGCCGCGCAGCAGGTTAAGGACGTGGTTAGCAAGGAGGAGGCGGAGGTTAAGGAGCAGACCGCGCGCACGCAGGCGATCAAGGACGACGCGCAGAAGGACCTGGACGAGGCGCTGCCCGCATTGAATTCGGCGGTTGAGGCATTAAATGCGCTCAACAAGAATGACATCACCGAGATCAAGTCGTTCACCAAGCCGCCGCCGCTGGTGCAGCTGACGATGGAGGGCGTCTGCGTCCTGCTCCAGGTGCGGACGCTCGTTTAATTCCCTTGCTGAAGATACTGTTCCGCACACTTGCTCACTATTCTCCAGGCAGTGAACCCACGTTTTAAATGCTAAAGATGCCTTTCTGTCCCTAAGATACGTCCGTTTCTTGCGGTAAAGTTTGTGTCAGTTGCGGCTCCAATCTGTCGTCCTGCGGTTGGAAAGTATTTGATTCTGTGATCCACATTCGTACAGCGTTGTGAATTTTCTCATGCTTCCGAGGCCGCCGAAGACAGATACCCTTTCGTCTTAACAAAGCCGAAGTCACCAACAAGCAAGTGTGCAAACTCTCTGACGAAATTCAACTCCTCACGCCCATCTTGATATCCATTCAAATCCTAGGGTCTATCTCATGAGACACAAAAGCTTTTCTGGGTTCTCAACCTTGTAGCCCTCGCCCCTCCTCTCCTCCTTCCAGAAGAAGACGGACTACATTGCCGCGAAGAAGGTGAAGAGCTGTGCCATGCTTCGAGTCTCCTAATCCAGCAACCCGCTCTTCATTCCTGTTCCTTTTTTTCTTCTTCCAGGAGAAGACGGACTGGGACACAGCGAAGAAGGTGATGTCGGAGTCGGGCTTCGTGAAGCGGCTGGTGGAGTTCAACAAGGACGCCATGTCGGCGGGAGTGCTCAAGAAGCTGTCCAAGTACATCGACGACCCGTCCTTCACGCCCGACGCCGTCGCCAAGCAGGTGACGTCACAATACCGGTCCCCGGCCCTTGTTCTTGGTTTTGGTACTTTCCCGGATAGGTTGGTGCGCGTTTGACGGCTTCGTTGGTTGCTTCTGATCCGGATGCCAGCTAAGGATAAGGCTGTGACTGATTTTGCGGATTCGGCACTACAGTTTTACAGATGCAACAAACATAATCGGTCGCCCAACTGCCTTGATCATTCATCGTCAAATCCAGATTTCGCCACAAACAAAACGGCCGAGGAGTTCTCACCCTGTCTAAGTTCGAATCTGCAGATGGCACCGGTCCTGCTGCTCTTCATATTTTGATTCGGCTTTGATATTCGGCGGGATCGTACGACAGAAAACGTCTTTTTAGCACAGCTGTCCAGGGCTGTCGGGCAAAGCTTTACAAAACCTTTGCTTCCCTAAGCGCAGAAACATCAGCGAATTTCCAGGAAAAGCGATTCGCTGCATCAAAAATGTCTTTCTGAGTACGTTCTTTCGTTTGCAGAGTGCCGCGGCCAAGAGCCTGTGCATGTGGGTGCGCGCGATGGACGTGTACGCGCGCGTCGCGCGCGTAGTGGAGCCCAAGAAGGCGGTGCTGCGCGGCGCGGAGGAGGCGCTCGGGCGCGCGGCCGAGGCGCTCGCGGCCAAACAGGCGCAGCTCGCGGAGGTGGAGGCACAGGTATGTCTGTCGCCGCTGTTTCTTGAGCCTGAGGTATGACACGCAAATACAGCGATTACAAACGCGGGATGCACACGTATTCCGTGTGGTCCGGTACTGTGAAGGATCTTTTGCCCAGATAGGCAAACGTTATGCGCTGGGATCGGTTGATGCTCCAGGTTCTGAGATACTTACTTTCTCTTAGAGCTTTTGGAGATGCTCTCTCTCTTTCATGCAGTATTCAGAAACTTAGGCGCTGTTCCTATCGTAGACGAAGAACTGGCGAAGAAGTCGCGCTCAATCCACATGCTCTCTGTACAATCACAAGCTTGGCCTTCTGGAGAACCAATTCTCAACTCGAGAGCTGTATCGGAACCCAACTCATTCCGGTCCCGTTCCGCTTCTGCAGGTGGCGACCCTGCGGCAGAAGCTGGCGGACGCGGAGGCCGAGCAGGCCAGCCTCGCGCAGCAGGCCGCGCAGACGACCGCGCGCCTCGCGCGCGCGGGCCAGCTGACGGAGGCGCTCGGCGACGAGCAGGTCCGCTGGGCGGACACCGCGGCCGCGATCGGCGCGCGCACCGCGCTCCTCGTCGGCGACGTGTTCCTCGCGGCCGCGTGCATCTCGTACTACGGCGCGTTCACCGGTCCGTACCGGGAGGAGCTGGTCGCGAAGTGGATCGACCGGTGCAAGGAGGTTGGGATCCCGGTTAGCGATAACGCGAGTTTGAGGGGCACGTTATCGAACCCGGTGGAGGTGCGCGAGTGGAACATTTGGGGGCTGCCGACGGACGGGGTGTCGGTGGACAACGGCGTGCTGGTGACACGTGGCAGGCGGTGGCCGCTCATGATCGACCCGCAGGCGCAGGTGGGTTCTTGTTTGAATCTATTTCACTGGACCGCGATCAGTATTCGCGCTGGAATTGAGTAGTCCAGGCGAATCTGGACAGGCGTCTCTACAATTTCAAACAGAGCGTCTTTCCCGACATACAGACCTGTCATTGTCAGAATCCCATTCGGCGAAGCTTTTCGATCTCAAAAAGTGACGAAGCAGCTCAATCCTCAACGTGTAGCGTCTTCGAATCCACATGGTCAGCCTCCTACGGCCAGAGCATTTGTGCTTCCGAATCACAAACACCCCACGTTTTGTCTATGCTCACAAACACTCACGAGCCAAACTGTGGATCAAGGTCACGAAATGCAATCAGCGTCTTGAATTGTTTTTGGATACAGCTTCTCCCGTTCAACATGCCAGTATTATCCAATTTAGATTAATTTCACTCATCAGCAGATTGACTAATTTAGACTAAAACTTTCACGAACAGTGGCAAGTTGCTCGGAAGAAGCCGTGAAAACTATCCTCAGTCTCAGTTTTGCCCCCCATTTTTCCTGGGCAGGCCAACCGGTGGATCAAAGCAATGGAGGCCAAGAACGGGCTGCGCGTGGTCAAGCTGACGGACCCCAACTTTTTGCGGACGCTCGAGAACAGCATCCGGACCGGGAGCCCCGTTCTCCTAGAAGATATCGGGGAGAGCCTGGACCCGGCGTTAGAACCGGTGCTCCAGAAACAGGTGTTCGAGAAGCAGGGACGGCTTCTTATCAGGTGAGCACTGAATATCTCAAGTATCGCAATCTTATTTTCCTTTCTGGTTCTTGTACTGGTTGATGATTTTGGAATGAGCCCAACCCGGCTCTAGAACCGGTGCTGCAGAAACAGGTCTTCGAGAAAGAGGGGCGGCTTCTTATCAGGTGGGGAGAAAACTCCGACTTGATTGAGATCCCGAATCTCTGTCATGGTGGCATCTGCGTAATCCTGAGAAACACAAGACCTTAGGCCCAGTTCTGAACTTATCTTGACAGTACAGAAGCGAGCCGGTTTCTCAACAGGTTAGCGAATGTACTCTAATGCACGCGTAAAAAGATCTGAAGCAAGTCTATAAGAGTCCTGAAGCCAAGCTCGGTCTCGTTGCAAAACTCAGGAACCGAACATTGCTAAAGGTGAGGACGCACGACTTTATAAAGTTTGATTCTTATATCCGCTCTTTACATTTGACCCGAGCAAACATATGACGGCGCCTCTTGGGGTACAGCGATGTTGGACCATAGTAAGACAAGGAATGATGGAGAAAGGAAAGAGTTTCCAGAGAATTGTAGCGGAAGCCAGGGGCCTTTGTTTACTTACCGCTGACAGCTTCCGGCGTTCCGTTTCCGTTCAGGCTGGGCGACTCCGACGTAGACTACGATCCCAACTTCCGGTTCTACATGACGACCAAGATGCCTAACCCGCACTACATGCCGGACGTCTGCATCAAGGTCACCATCGTTAACTTCACGGTTACCGCCAAGGGTTTGGAAGACCAGCTTCTGGGCGACGTGGTGCGAAAGGAGCGGTCCGATCTGGAGGAGCAGAAAGATCGACTCCTCGTCAGCATCAGTAACGATAAGAAGCAGTTGCAAGACTTGGAGGATAAGGTATTGAAGCTGCTGAAAGAGAGCGAGGGGAATATATTGGACGACGAGGTGCTGATTAACACCCTGAAGACGAGCAAGTTAACCAGCGGGGTTATCCAGGGGCGGGTCAAGGAGGCCGAGGTGACGGAGAAGGAGATCAACGCCGCGCGCGAGCAGTACCGCCCCGTGGCGACACGTGGCAGCATCCTGTACTTCGTGGTCGCGGACCTGGCGCTCATCGACTCGATGTACCAGTACAGCCTGACGTACTTCACGCAGCTGTTCAACTACTGCATTGACGTCAGCGAAAAGTCGGACGACCTGCCGACCCGGTTAGGCACGCTAACCCGGTACATAACCGAGTTCATGTACAAGAACGTGAGCCGGGGCCTGTTCGAGGAGCACAAGATGATCTTCAGCTTCCTCATCTGCACGTCCATCCTGCGGAATTCCGGCGAGATCGGCGCGGCGGAATGGAACTTCCTGCTGCGCGGCTCCGCCGGAATGATCCTTGCGGACAAGGGCGCGGCCAACCCGGCGCCGGAGTGGATCGGGCCGCACGTGTGGAACAACGTCAGGGCGCTGTCGCAGGTAGGGGCCGCCTTCCACCCTTTCTTCGAATTGCATCAAGCGCTTCAAATTTTACTATACTTTCAAAATTGATTCGCTCTGGCAGACTGGTTTTGAGCCCACCCTGCTGGCGACTACATGGCGCTCTATAGCCTTCTTGACTCCAGCAACGGTGAAAAATCAGAGAATGTGCTTCTTACAGGCCAACCGTCTAGTGGGAACAAAGAAGCAGAGACTTCTGGGGGTACTGTGTGTGTTTCTGGGGGTCTCTGTGTGTTTCTGGACCGGCAACATTTATCAGCGAGATAACACTTTTCAATTCCCAAACATTGCATAGATTTATTCACTTTCATCCCCACAGGCTGTCCCCGTATTCGAGCCGCTGTGCCAGGACATCGCCGCGCAGCTCCCCGAGTGGCGCGCCTTCGCGGCCGCGCCGGAACCTCACGCCGCGCCGCTCCCCGCGGCCGCGGCCGCGCGCGGCGTCGACGCGTTCCAAAAACTTCTCCTAGTGCGCGTCTTCCGGGAGGAGAAGCTCGTGTTTGCGTTCCGCGATTTTGTGCGCGACAAACTGGGCGCGCAGTTTGTGGAGAGCGCGCCGCTGGACCTGGAGACGGTGTTCAAGGACACGTCAGCACCGACGCCGATCATTTTCATACTGTCGTCGGGGGCGGACCCGACGGGGATGCTCCAACGGTTCGGAGAGAAGGTGAGGAGTCGTCCTAATTTCGCAAAAACATTTTCATTTTTCTCTTGGCGAGTCAAACGGTTACATAAGTTGTTGACCTATGCCTTGAGAAACGAACATTTTCTCCCTGGCTAACTGGCTACTTCGAATCACCCGATCGACCTTCGTGGCGCGTCCCTTCAAACAACGTTCTCAATAGCTTGGACGACAAGCTACGCTGGCTTTGATCAATCACCCGGACACTGAAGCGCAGTTCAATGTCCGCAGACCGATGGGGTAAAAGGTCGAGACCTCCAGTAGGGCTTCGCAAGTTGCGCGAAGACCTACCAAAACTCACCAATCCGGAAACAGGATTCGACATTTATATCATTGTCTCTGCCGCTTTGCTATTAGGACACTCAATCAACTCGTCCCGAAAGAGACGGAGTACGTCGCCTCCGCTCGTTTGCGGGGTCAACGATTCTCCTAACCATATTGCCTTAACCGCTCGCGAAGTCAACGGTTTGCCGTAACCCGCTTTCCGTAACCCGCAGGTCGACCGCCGCGTGGGCGAGCGGCTTCACATCATCTCGCTGGGCCAGGGCCAGGGCCCCGTGGCGAAAGCGCTGATCACCAAGGCCATGAAATCCGGCGACTGGGTGTGCCTCCAGAACTGCCACCTGGCAAGCTCCTGGATGCTGACGTTGGCCGGGATCGTGGAACGCTTCCAGCAGGACAGCGCGGAGATGCACCCCGACTTCCGGTTATGGCTGACCAGCATGCCGTCGCCGCACTTCCCGGTGCCGGTCCTGCAGGTTAGTGCGATAACCTGGTTTCGTTTCCGGTTGCTTTGTAACGTGGCAAGCGTTCACAATTGATCAGCATGCCGTTGCTAGCCTAAGACGTCCCGATACCCGTCCTACCGGTTAGCGGCCTGACCCGGTTGGGTTTGGTCAAGGCACGCCTAGGCGGGGAAGGTCATTGGCGTTCATCCTTCATCAGAGTTATCTGTAATATCGTTGAAGTTTTTCCTTTATGTGATTGACTGATGTGGCAGCACAATAGATCCTCAAGGGCGACCTCACGTCTTTCCAGCACTTATCCTGATCCTGCTGAGCCTACACTTATCTGCGTCTACATCGGACATTTTTCTGGAAGCCATTCGAAATGCCGCAAACGGAGTCATTCGACCTCTCTTCCTTCCGTGCTTCCGACTTCCTTCTTGCTCAGCTTGCGCGCTCGACAGAAGGGGAAATCACGAAACACTCTGCTCGAACAGGAGACGGAAATTCGATCACAGGCCTCTCAAGTAGAACAAAGAGAAACAGCTTTCACCAGCTTTTTTTACAGAACGGCATCAAGATCACGAACGAGCCGGCGTCTAAGATGGTTTGATCAAACACAGGAATAGCCAACGAACCGATAAGAAGCCTCGTCTTATAATTGTGTTCCCTCCGTTCCTCCTCAGAACGGCATCAAGATCACGAACGAGCCGCCCAAGGGCGTGCGCGCGAACCTGCTGCGCAGCTACGCAACTCTGGGCGACGCGTACCTGGACGAGTGCTCCAAGCGCGCCGCGTGGAAGAAGCTCATCTTCAGCGTCGCCTTCTTCCACGCCGTCATCCAGGAGCGGCGCAAGTTCGGGCCGCTCGGCTGGAACGTCAGGTGGGCGGAAGCTCTAGAGGTCCTTCATGCCGTAGTGCTTGAAGAGGAAACTTAAAAGGTTTTCTCGCCTTTGCGTCTTCCTATTCTACGCCGTCACCAAGGCCGCTCGATTGGAACGTCAGATGGGAACCTCTAGAGGGTTTCTAGTCGCTTTCCGCAAGACCTTAATGCTTCTCAAGGTTTAGCGGGCGCTCCAGTAAGAATCGATCACTCCGTTCGTAAGCCAGGAATGACTGGGCCTTTCGGAGTCCGACAAGCCTCATCAGCAGATCAAAGAAACACTGATCAAGAAACCCTCCAACGACTTGCTTGAGCATTCCAAGCATCATTAGAGGAATCAACGTCTTCTCGTCTTCAAATCCAGCCGCATGTCAGCTGGCTACGAACTTTCTATGCTACTGTTAACCATCAGGATCGTACTTCTTTCTCGCCACCTTCTCTGACTCTTCTTGGCCCGAAACCTCTTTTCAGGTACGACTTCAACAACAGCGACTTGGAGTGCGCACTGCAAACCCTCAAGAACTTCCTGGAGGAGCAGCCGGAGATCCCCTGGCCGGCGCTTTTGTACGTAACGGGCGAGATCACTTACGGGGGGCGCGTTACCGACGACCAGGACCGGCGGTGCCTCATGTGCATCCTCCAGCAGTACTACACGCCCAAGGTACTCGACGACGCCTACACTTTCACGCGGGACGGTACGTACCGCGTCCCGCCGGAGACCGACCAGAACGGCTACATGGAGTTTATCAAGCGGTTACCGCTAACCGAGGGGCCGGCAGTCTTCGGGATGCACGAAAATGCCAACATCACGTTCCAGCTGCAAGAGACGGGCAAGATCGTGGAGACGGTGCTCAACATGCAGCCGCGGCTGGTCAGCGGAACCGGAACCGGAAAGTCGCCGGACGAGGTCGTCAGCGACCTCGCGCTGGAGATCGCCGAGGGGCTCCCCGCCCCGTTGAGCAAAGCCGAGGCCGGGCCCGGTACGTTTGCCCCGGGTCCCGGAGGCCGACTCAACTCCCTCGCCGTGGTTCTCCTCCAAGAGAGCGAGCGGTTCAACAAACTGCTGCGGGTTATGGTTAACTCGCTCGCGGAGCTGCAGCGCGCGATCAAGGGTCTCGTGGTGATGTCAGCGGAACTAGAGGCGATGTACCGGAGTTTCTTGAACAACCAGGTGCCCGCGGTCTGGACTTCGGCCGCGTACCCGTCGCTTAAACCCCTGGCCAGCTGGGTCAAGGACTTCCAGCAGCGGATGGCGTTCATGCGCGAGTGGATGATCAACGGCGAGCCACAGTGCTTCTGGCTGCCCGGATTCTTCTTCCCGCAAGGATTCATGACCGGTGAGCGAGTCACCGTGTCGTTCGTACTTCCACCATCTTTTCCGCGCGAGGTTTCTGCTGTTTTCAGCTTCTACTTTCGATTGCATCAATTTCATATCACACCTCGCTTGTTCTTACGACGAGAGCTTTGCAGAGTCTTGAAGGAGGAGCGAAAGTACTCTCTTTCATAGGCGAGCAGCTTCAAACGCATATGCTTCATCACTGCCGCGCGGTCCCTCTCCATAATCACACAGCCACATTAGGAATCTATTCCCTGGTTTTCTTGTCAACACTTTCACGAAGCGCCATCGGTGGCATCGCTAGATCAAATGACTGCAGGTTTCAATGAATGAGACTGCGCGCAAGTTTTCCCTCCGGTTCCGTTCCTTCAATTCCGGCTTCTGGTCCTCACTACTGCTCGTGCCCGTCCTTGTTATTTCTCCAGCAGACCTATGGCTCCGAAGGGCATAATTTTCTAGCAGTTATAAGAACGGATTTCACGCATGCAACTTCGCATCTGGACGATTCCAACAACAAAGTGACATACAGTCCATGCCGTAGCTGAATCTTCCGTCTGCTTGTATGCAGGCGCGCTGCAAAACCACGCGCGCAAGTACCAGATCCCCATCGACACGCTCAACTTCGGCTTCAAGGTGATGCCCTTCGAAGACGCGGAAGCCGTTCCGGCTCCGCCCGACGACGGGCTGTACGTCAGCGGACTGTACATTGACGGAGCCAGGTAAGAAACGGATTTGTCTTTAGTTGTATCCAGTGTATTTTGACTTCTGCAAAGATTTTTGACTTCTGCAAGGGGAGGAGCAGCAAATACGATTAAGGATAATCGAAGGCTGGAAGGTGCTGCATTTTGTTGACAAATCAGATCTTGATGAAGCGAAACGGTTTGAAACCATCAAATGCAGTTCTTTACGAAATGTTTCGACAAGTTGGGCGAGTCGAACATTCTGCTGTGAATGCATAGACTTTTGGTCTGGTGACTGTCTACGGCGCCACTCTCAGACACCGCAGCACCGTCTGTGACCGGTGTACTAAGAGGCGTAGCTCTCTCGCTGGCGCCTGCAATCATCGAGCATCTAACAATTATGAAGAAACTCAGTTTGACACGAGACTACTTGGAGCTCTTCTCACCCACCGCTCTCTTCACAGGTGGGACCGAGAGAAGCAGTGCCTGGTAGAGTCTCTACCGGGCGAGATGCAGTCTAAGTTGCCAGTCGTGCACCTCATCCCGACCGTTAACTACAAGCCCCCCGAGGAGGAGTACCAGTGCCCGCTGTACAAGACGAGCGTGCGGGCGGGAGTGCTGACCACAACAGGGGCGTCGTCAAACTATATATTTAATGTTAGTCTGAGGATAGACCGGGAGACGACCCCCGAGTTCTGGGTGCGCCAGGGGGTGGCGCTGCTGACCCAAACGAACCTGTAAAGTGAGCACGAGTCAGGATATAGAAGGACTGATAAAGTCAGCCAATAAGCTGCCAATAGTTGCCATTGTAGAGTTACAAATCTGTGTTCTTGTTGGGTAGGTGTCGGAGCCGCTAGATTTCAAGTTCGAGCGTTCAATTCATTGGATCAGCGGTCTATCTCCGAACGCACCATGCTTCTACGAACAGCACCCGCAAATGTCGAGGTGGCGCGGCTTTGTATGCGTCCTCCAACCTCTTCTCTTGTTTCCACCGGCAGCCAGCCGAAAGGAAGCCGAACCAGTGCTGGCTAGCAATTTCGTGTGGCTCTTTCATTCCTAATCCCTTCAGCCTGTAAGTTCGCCTGAGTTCTCACTCGAGGGCAGAGGTCAGATCAGAGCGGCCTGAAGTTCTTTTATAGACTCGAAGTCTTGTGTACATATAGCTCGCGTTATGCTTCATGGTCCAATACTCTGTCCCAAAGCCTGCCCGGTCGAAGTAAAGTTGCCATGCTTTTAGAACACTATATCATGGCAGAGGTGACTGAAGGTTCGTGACGTGTAATACGTGTGACATGGGTGGCTGATCAGAACGACGTCAGAACATAATGTACTTTGGCGGTGATCCTCTTCGCACTCACTGAAAACAGCATCTTACAGCTCGGTGCCTTTGAAGAGGACTCTCTGATCACTGCTTGCTGATCTTTTGAAAAATCAAACCTGTCGTATAGACGAAATTCTGGAAATTAAAATCTGCATTGCAGGGAATCCAGTTGCGCCGCGACGATGGGCCCTCGCGGGCCCGTGGGGGTTTAAAACGGCCCGTAGTACGCCAAGCGTTTTGCTCGGCGACACGATACTGAGCTGAGCGGCGACCACATGGTGCTGCAGTCGGAACCTTATTCGCCCGAATTTTTGTATCCCGCAGCGGGAAAGTCATCCGCAACTCTACATGTCCGCATGACTCAGAGAAAACTCAACCGGGTTCCGATGTCAGTTACAAGTTTATGTTGCCCAAGGATCTAAAGACCGGGGGCTACTGTAGTAGAGCTCTCCCGGAGTGTTTGAACCGGGGCAAGACTCCACATGAGAACCACCCACTTTCCATCCCGGTATGCCTCATTCTGCATATTCTGCCTTGCAATCTCTACCCCGACTGCAGTCCCTTTCAAGGTTAGCATCGATATCGGACGGTTGGCACTGTTGGCTCTCGATCCGAAGTCCGAGTCAAGAAGTCCGAAAAGTGTTTTGGCGACCTTTCAGCCCTCAGCTTGAGCTGGCTTGAGGGCGACCAGCTAAGATTGAAGGTGCTGTGGCAGCAGTGGATTGCTACGCTACGTTGCCCTGTGGTAAGATTACAGCCTGCCGGTTTAAAATCTAGGGGCCAGGGGGTCTTGAGTCTTCAATGCTGTTGTATTGTGCGGTCATAGCTTGGTTTTTACAGTAAATCAAAGGACAGGGGTGATTGCAAGTACCGGGCGCTGCGCCTCCTTAACACCACCAAGCATCACACGGCAGCGAGGAGCAGCGATAGGGCTGCTCAATGCATTACAGCATTGGAGAAGATGGAAGCGGAAGGCTGTGCAGCTTCTTGCCAGTCAGAGCAGCAGGAAGTTCCGACCTCATGGTCGATGTACTTTCCACAAGAGCCGTTCAACAAGGAGGATCGCAGGGCATTGCTGATTGAGAACCTTCTGCTCAGCTTCAGAACTCCTGCAGGAAAGGCACTTCTCAAAAATGTAAGCACTCATTGGCGGTCGCACGTCTGGCTGGACGCAGGATGTCTTCTGCAGCAGTTGTAGCTCTGCATCTTGTGAAGATTATCAGTCGCTAAATATTGCTGCTTACCTTAGACTCAACTGCAACTTACTGCCACCACTTTATGGATTGCTAACGGCGCGTCTGATTGTCTCTGGCAGGCTGACGTCAGTGGCCGACACTGTGTGCTGCCAGTTGATCTCCAGATTCTCAGCCAGTGCTCGGACGCTGCCGAATTGACTTTCGCCCTAGAGTTTGCCCCATACGAGGCGCTGACTTGCTTAGCTGCAGCGGCACATCAGGTGAAGAATCAGGGCCTCTTCCAAAGAATTGTGTGCAGGCAAACGCCAAATCTTCTCAGAAAGAGTTTTGGGCTTGCTTCCAATCTCATGTACTTTTGATATCGATCCTTATATTGAACTCTCTACGGACAGGGCTCCTAGAAAATTTGCCTTATCTAACTAAGCAGGATAGTCGCCCCTGCTTCACAAAAGTCTTTTCTTCACTTGCTGTCCTTTAGTTAATCCATGTCACACATGTCTTTCCTTCCAGGCACTGGTGTGGGAGTCAAGCGCATCATGTACAGGACCCTCGTTTGAAGATGTGGCAGCTGAGAAGATCCAAGTCCGACCCTACAATCATCCAGATTCCCTGCTTGCCCTCCGCATGCTCAAGGCACAGAGTATAGGTATGATACTCTTCAGCTTATTCCTTGAAAGCCACTGGCAGCATCTGTTCTACTGATGCAATGCTTGGCAAAATTCGTCTAGACTCCTGCACAGCGCAGAAGATAACTGTCCCCAAGGACCAGAATTTCCGCTTCAGGCAATCTGCAACGAGCTTTCTCACCTGAGAGCCTGTCTTAAAGAGAACGCCTTGAAGTCTCTAATGAAGATAGCTTTGTCCAGTAACTTGTCTTCCTTCAACAATAAGCGAACCCTTGTCTTTGACTTGTAATCTAACCAGAAATACCAGTCTGACGGCTGTTCTTTCTGCAGGACGCTTCATCTCAGTGAGAGGAACTGTAGTTCGGGTCAGCGTGGTCAAGCCTATCGTGACTGGCGCAGACTTTGTGTGCCAACGCTGCGAAACTGTTCAAACATGCCACTTTGTTGATGGCAAGTATGAGGCACCAAGCAACTGCGCGATGGACGGCTGCCGTGGCCGGCAGTTCTTGCCAGACCGTGAGTCTGCCACGACCGTCAACTGGCAGAAGATCCGGTAAGTCTCGAAGCCCTTAATATATGCGGGTTGTGTCTGAGTTGCCTCATATTTCGAAGAGAAAATGCAACTTCTGTGAGCATAGCCTAGGACCGACTATCTAAATTCAAAATCATGAAAGGGCAGGTGCCAAAGCAAAGTCTGTATGACAAGGAACCCAACAACTTGTGTTGCAGCCTTGTTCAAACTGAAGTATCCTCAGATGACCAATATGAAACTGGAGGCTGACTTCAATAAGCTTAGCAAGCTCAAATCAGAGGCTGACGTAATCAACAGGCTGCAGGAGGTGGTCGCGTACGAGGGCCAGGAAGAGGGCCGCATACCCCGCACTGTTGACTGCGAACTGACAGAAGACCTGGTGGACACGTGTGTTCCGGGGGACGTCGTCACAATATGCGGCATCGTCAAAGTGATCAACACCGACCTTGACATGGGGGGAGGTGAGCTGATCGAGGCTTCTGTTCTGATCGACAAGGCTTGGAGAATGAAGGCAGAGTTCACTCTCAGTAGACATAAATATTATTTCAGAGGCGTTTGTTAGAGTCCTTTTGCTGCGCCATGTGTTTCTGGCGGAGCTTCCAAGCCTTCAGAAGTTTAAGCTGCCCTGCAGGACTCTACTCCGAAGTATTCATCACAAGAGTTGAAGGCCTTTGAAGCGCTTTCGTGCAATCGTCGTGCACCGGAGGTTTCTAATGGCACAGAGAACGAGCAGAACCTATCCCGATCCTCAAGGGCTCCGTTTCGAAGCGAGACTCATTCCGCTCCAGGTCGCACCAAGAACAAGAACCAAGCCCTGTTCTACCTGTACATAGACGCTGTGTCCGTCACCAGCGCGAGCAGTCAAAAGAACGGCGCAGATGAGGACGAGGACGAGCGCTGCTCCGCGCCTCCGAACGCGCTCGCTTTCCAGCCGAGAGACCTCGAGTTTGTGGCCAAGTATGCAGAGGAGCACGCGGGAGATCAGTTCCGACAGCTGCTGCACTCGATATGCCCGGCCATCTACGGGCACGAGCTAGTCAAAGGTGAAGATAATTGTTCATCAACTGTTTGGTACGCTTCGGGTTCTTAGTGCGCTAGTAAAATTGGCGAGGAATCAGGCAGATGGTTTGAAAAGCCTAGAGACCACACATACGTATTGAAAGCGAAGCGGAATCTCTGGAAGTAGTGAAGGGTGTGGGGTATTTGGAGTAGTCGGGAACAGTAGGCTTTTTTGAAGCGAACGGTCGTAAGATGCAACTTTTGCTTTGACCGTAACGACGGCAGGATCGTTCCGTGGTATAAGCCGGAGTGCTTCTTGCAATTTCCTTACCGGCTGCTCAACTGAGACCTGTTTTTTTAAAGGTTCCTCCTTTGACGGCGAATGAGGTCAAACTAACGGCAAGGGATGAAGCTGACTGAACGCTCTTTCTGTGATGCAGCCGGCATTCTCCTTGCCCTGTTTGGCGGGACCCGGAAGCACGTGCGAGACCGCAACCGGGTCCCGGTCCGTGGCGACATACACGTGCTGGTAGTTGGTAAGTGACGTGCCGTCCTTTCTGACAAAGCTGCCTTGAGGGTTTACAATGAGAGCTGGCAATATCTCTCGTGTCTATACTAAAAGGTCAAAAAACGAAATTGTGACCAACTCGTGCGCACCAAGTAACGGAAAGTCTCGATTGCTCGCCTACATTCCGGTCTGCTTTGGTTGTAACTCGAGTGTTTAGTAAGCGCGTCAGGGTAAGGTCCTTACCAATTGCCTTGTGGTCTGGTTCGCTTGATGCTTACCTCACTTAGTTTGAAAGACCTCAAGGTATGTTCGGTTGCAGGCGACCCCGGGCTCGGCAAGAGTCAGCTCCTTCAAGCAGCTGCGTCAGTGGCGCCACGTGGCATCTACGTCTGCGGAAACACGACGACGGCTGCGGGTCTGACGGTAGCGGTCGTCAAGGATGGACTGACGGGGGACTACACATTCGAAGCAGGTCTGCTGCGGCGTTTATATCAATTTTGACAAGCTTCAATTTGCAGCACCCTATTCGATCTGATTCAATCCGCTCCGTCCCATCCCACTGTCTCTTCCCTTTCTGACTACTATGTGAACGACACTTGGGATCCGGCGTAACAGGAGGAGCTAGAAAATCTTCTCTTTCATGAATCTGCCCGAATTCACTGTTTGACGCTATCTGCTGCAGTCACTCGGCCTGAAATGGCCCATATTGCATTGAGCGGCTCACTTTTGTTAGCCCCCTCATTCTGGCACGCGCTCGAAATCTATGTTTGGTTTGTGATTGGAAGCAGCTTTCCTTCAGGGTAGATTGAATTCGCATTGTTCCCTGCGCAGGAGCCATTGTCCTGGCCGATCGAGGCCTTTGTTGCATTGACGAGTTTGACAAGATGACCACGGAGCATCAGGTACGATCTCAATCCGGGACAGAAAGGCAGTAGTCGTGCATTGTTCACATTTGCCGTCCTGTGACGATCCTTCGCTGTCCTGGGATCTGCACTTTGAAGGACCCGACTCTGCGAGCTCTTCGAACGGTGGATGCAAGCGGAAGCAAGGCAAAGTTTGGATGCCTTCTTGCAAAAGAGAGCTTTACCTCAGAAACTTTGACATCCAGTATCAGAACATGGCTCAATGCCTCACAGTTCTGTTTTGTTTGCACTAAGACGAGTTGGATGCCAGGAACAGAGTGTCATCAGAGGTTCGCCTCACGCCGCCAAGGTTGCGTAGACCGTCACGAACTTTGTCGTCCGACTCCTCGAATGGTCTCGCTCACTAATTTGGCATGTGCTTGTCATTTGTTTGCTGCAGGCTCTCCTGGAAGCCATGGAACAGCAGAGCGTCTCGATCGCAAAGGCGGGCCTGATTGCGAGTCTGCCCGCCCGAACCTCGGTGCTCGCGGCTGCCAACCCTGTGGGGGGCCACTACAAGTGAGTCGTGTCAACTTCTCGTTCCTAACGAAATACAGTTTCTCCGTCGAGAGCCCCTATTGCAGCTTTGTGTTGTCACCTGCATGTCGGCCCGCGGGCTCAGGCATATTTTGCAACAATCCGACAACTCTAGAAGATGTCTGTCCTAAGTTACAACCTCGCCGAATACTCGTGACCGGTGGTGTACAAATACTGTGGTCGGACGAAAGCATTCCATCTCTACAGAGGACACCTACTGACAAGCGCAACAAATAAGCGGGCGTCCACCCGACTGCGCGCAAATAACCTTTCCCCGCTCACAGTGAGCAGCCCCGCTTGAAATAAGCTGCAAACGGCTTAGTGGAAGAACGATTCTGTCTTCCTTAGTGGCTACTGACTTGGAGGGACTCCTCTCAAGAGAAGTGAGGCAGTTGGGTCACTGTCTCACGCAGCCTCATTTGTCCGGGGGTGACATTAATATAAAGCATGGAGCGGTTGCTTTGACCTGGTTCTCCGGAAGCACTTCCGTTCTCGCTTCGAAGAGGCCTTAAATTGTGACCACCGCCGACTCGTGCAGTCGGGCCAAGACGGTGAACGAGAACCTAAAGCTCGCCCCCGCGCTCCTCTCGCGTTTCGACCTCGTCTTCATCCTGCTGGACAAACCGGACGAGATCCTGGACCAGCGCCTGTCCGAACACGTCATGTCGGTGAGAACGGTTCTGCCCGCCATTGCCGGGTGTGCGGCCTAGTGAAGGGAGTTCATAATGGGTGCGCCCAGCTCCATCTAGAGCGGCCATTCAGTCGGTCCTGTCACATTCCTATCTTGACAGTGTTGCGCTTAGATCCCGCTGCCGGCCCTCTCCATCAGTCTCTACCGTAGGAGAAGTAATACAAGCTGCAATATCTGCCAATACCGAGGTCGCCCGTGTGAATCTGGTAGAATATGTGGAAGCTCGGAATCGCGCCTTACCTTCCGTTTGCTCGCCTTTATGTTGACCCGGAACTTGCATGCAGCTTCATTCCAAGAACAGCAGCCGGCATGCGGCCGCCAAGCAAGCTGGTGAGCCCCTGCTCTGACAGTTTTGCGCAGCTTTCTGACGCAGGAGATGCACGCATGCTGAGGGCTCAACGCTGATAATCTCTGTACCTGATGCTAACACGGCATTGCTAAATCGCAGCCTTGCTATCTTCTCACCATTCCCAAGTTGCTTGTCCAGAAACGCGCTGTTGACGTCAGTCCTCTTCCCTACTTCTTGACGTCAGCTTATAACGTCTCTTTTCGCCGTCTGCAGTTGCACAGTACGCTGGGAACGCTCCCCGATTCGTAGATGCGGACGCGCCCCTGTCGGTCCGGCTCAAGCTGGACTCCGTCCGAGATGCGGACTTCGCGCCACTTCCAGCGCCCCTGGTCCGCAAGTACATAGCATATGCCAGACAGTATGTTTTCCCGACGTGAGTAATGTTCCTAACTGCTCCTTAACGAATCTCCTTTCAGCGCGACCTCCAGACTCATAAAGGCACGATGTATGTGACCAAGTGCTTATGTAGAAAGAGGTTCAGACTCAATCAACTATCTGGCGTCAACTCGGAGATTTTCAAGGGCCTCTAAGAACCACGGACCTGACCGTACGCACAATTAGGGAGACACATCCTGGTGACGGCATCCCAGTCGACAACCTCAGCTTCATACAAAACACGCATTATGCTTTAGCAACATCACAAGATTTCGTTTCAGTTTAGTTCCAGATTCTCCTCTCGAAGGTTCCCGCTTGTGAAGCATTCCCAGTTTGGCCGCTGAAACCTCCTTTTTCCCTGCAGGATGTCGGCAGCCGCCGTCGAAGTGCTGCAGACGTTCTACCTGCAGCTGCGCGAGCACAGCCACGGCGCCGACGGCACGCCCATCACCGCCCGCCAGCTGGAGAGCCTCGTCCGCCTAGCCGAGGCGCGAGCGCGCGTCGAGCTGCGGGAAGAGATCACCAAACAGGACGCCATGGTGAGGCGGTGGGTTGAGGCGCATCTGAGCGACGGACCGTGCTACTTAAAAAGATCCGAGGCAGTAGGGGGCGTTTTGATGTTGATAGCAGTCACGGCCCGTCGTTCGAAGTTGTTGGCTTGTAAGGCAGGTGGCCTTCTTTTCGTTCAGTGCTTGTAGCAAGAGCCGCCAAGCAGCGTCTTTTGCTTTTCGACAGGGACTTGGATTGTCTTTATATCCGTTATCTCCGGCCGTGCATCGTCAGAACCTACTTCCCGCGTGACAGCCCAATGCTATGCTCGCCCTTTCCAAGTAGGATTGTTATGACCGACTCTTCCCACAGTCCGGCTAAGCGACCTGCAAAGAAAGTAGGCCCCTGGTTTTTGCAGCGCTGATCGACCCGGCTTCTACAAGTCTGGGTCCAAATACTTCAATGGTAAAAACATCAAAATCATAAACGTGGTCTTATTATCCTACTATCGTACAATCATTTCAATCAGAAATGTCCTCGTGCGCAGGACGTGGTAGAGATCATGAAGGAGTCGCTGTACGACAAGTTTACGGACGACCACGGCTGCGTCGACTTCGGGCGCAGCAGCGGGATGAGCCAGCAAAAGGAGGCGAAGCGCTTCCTGGCCGCGCTGCAGCGGAAGTCGGAACTGCAGCAGAAGGCCGTCTTCGAGGTCAACGTGAGTGCGCGGCGCGCATCACACGCAGAAACTGCACTTCGATCGTCGTTGGCTGAAGGCACAACTCGGAATCAGATGTGGTTGTTCGCTGAACGCGCAACTCGGAACCGGCTGAGAGTGGTTAGCGGCGCGGCAACGGCTTCGCTTGCGAACGTTCGGCAAGTAGGGGCGGCTATTACTGCTTTTCTTGACTCAAACGAGCCCCGGTCAATCTTGCTGAGCTGTCCTGCTGACGTAGGTACTTGATGCAGGAGCTGTACCTCTTAGCGGACGACATCAGTCTGCACGTGCCGGACATGGAAACGTTCATCGAGAACCTCAACACGGCTGGATACTTGCTCAAAAAGGGGCCTCGCTTATACCAGGTAAGCACGACGCAGCGGGAGTGCATCTCACAGTTGAACGAACGTCCTAATGTTCCTGCTTCGCTTACTCAAAGACCAAAAAGCGAAAGTTTCACCTTGCTGCATCAAGTGTTCTTCCGATCAACGATCTACCGTGTGTCAGTTTATAGTCCCTTTAGGTTTTGAGCGCTTCATCAGATGTGGATGAACGAGATAAGTGACAGAGTCCCATGCACGATGAAAAAAGGCAATGTATTCCGCTTCGATGTTTCCCGCAATGAAAAGCTGAGTGGACCGTTCTTACCTTCCTCGCTTTGTTTGCCTTGCAGGTCCAATCGTCGTCCCATGGGGGGACCCAACGAGTGGTTCAGTCGCAGTATGCCACTCAAAGAAGGTAACTGTTGAGAGCATTAAGCAAAGTTTTTTGATACTTTTGGCTAGCAAGTACGAATTGTTTGCAGCAACGAGTGGCGAGAATCGACAGTGTTAGAGATCTTGAAGTATGAGAACTTACTGTCAAGCTTTGCTTCTGTAACCGTGGCGAGAGGCCAGCGCACTCCGCAGAAATCAAACGCCCTTCTGCCAGACTTCATTTACCACAGGAAAATTACAAGCATCAGGTGGCACAACATGCCCTTTTCAAAAACCACTTTCCAATGCCCTTGGAATTGGGGATCAGTTGCACATTTAACTACGGGAAGCATGCCAAAATAAGAGAAACTCTGAAACAGTTTGGCCCCTAATAAACTTGTATAATGAACGGGCTGACTCAACGCATCCCTCGGGGCAAGCATGCGTGCAATGACTAGATGAATGCCTCTAACCCAACTCGATCATACATAGATGATGAAGATCGAAAAGGACCCGGCCGGCGTTGCTAACGCGCGCGCGTGTACACAGTCAGGCTCAAGATCAGCCAGCCATGGGCCCGCATACTAATATCTCGGTACGTACCCGCTATATATTCATACGCGGCGACACTCGACGCATGCTTATCCGTTCATAGCACACACATAACCAAAGATAACTTAATTTTCTCAAAAAGCATAGTACGCTGTATATGCATGCATGCGACGGAAGCGGTCACTTGTATGAGTTGTCGAGTCTAGTCATGGTTGCACACTGGCACGAGTCTCATATTTTGCATCTGAGTGAGATGTGAACACTGCATGATGTGCCAGATGAACGAACATTAATGCGAGTCGAGCCTGAAGCCTTTCATGCATGCCGGCGGGCCAGACGCGACGCGCACCATGGCACGGCCCGTCCGACATCGTCAGCTTCGTCGTCACAATTATGCATATTCAGGACGGGAGCCTACATGTGGGAGAATCTCCTGCCAGACGTCGGGATTATTAGTCGGACATTCGGAAAGTAAGAACTTAACTTGCAGTTAAAGCCGCCGTTACATAGAACGTGCCAATTAGCAATCCTACAGCTTTCGAAGAGTACGTTATGATCGTGAGACCTAAGTTGATACTACCAATCTTCTGAACCGACTACTAGTACGTGGTCCATGCTCACTAGTTTCGGATCCATTCGCTTCAGTTCTATCAGGGGAGCACCGCCTCACCTAGTGCACTACACTGCAGAATAGACAAGCCGCGTGGTTCTCTCTTGACCATGAGCGCTAGGTCCTATTCGACCAGTACAGAAAGACAGGACGAAGGAGACGAGGCACGTTGAGGAAGAACATGCCTATGTTGACAAGCGTCGCCGTCGTCAAAACCCACCTTTTCGAGCAGACCAAAATGTGCGTCCCTACGAGATTGGGTGGCCCTTTGGTAACGTAGTCTGGATAGATGACCTGCGTTGCAAGGATGCGGTCGCACATGGTGCTGGGCAGCCCGATGTAGAAATCGAAGAGGAAATGTTCGCTTGATATGCCTGGCCAAGGCACCGTGCAGCGGTGAAGGCTCAATGATGTGTTGCTCGAAACATGGAGGAAAGGATTGATACTGATGGATGGATCTGGCAGCTGGAGGGGTTGAGGGACGAGAGCCTGTATCCACACAACGAAAGCAAGCAGGAGACCAAACAATATGCTGGCGATAAGGATGGCTTGCTTGTCATCGTCATTGAGCCTCTTTGCTTGCCTGCTCTGTGTCCCATTCTCGCCGTTGCGGGACTTCTTTCCTGAACTGCCAACCGTATCGTAGTAGGGGTACGACAGGAGGTGTATTACTCCATGAGTCGCCGCAATGATGAGCAGAACGCGCCAGGAAGTTAGAGAACGTCGCAGCTGAACAAACCAAAACTTTCCGTAGGCGGAGTAGCTACTCTCCGGTAGTGGCAGCACAGGAGGTGGCACTCGACAGCCCCCCGAATGCTCCGCAGCATAAAAGTTGAACAAACCCTCTCTCCCGAGAAGAGCAAGATACACCTCGCACTTGATGAGCTGAAGCGGAGGACTGGACGGCAGGAGCGGGTTCTTGAATGTACTGTGATTCCGCAGAAAGTCATTGACAAGCGCAGGCTCAGGCAGTATGAAGCTATCCATGAGGGGCTCTGTTTGAACACCCGCGTTGTCAGTCCGTACAGTGCCCTCCAAAATCTTCTCTGAGGCGCCGCAGCTTGCACTCGCTGCGCGGGCGCCAGCTAATATGAACACGAGCATCAGCACGAAGCTGCAAAACAGAGGCGCCGCCATGTTGAAACCTCAAAAGGAAGACTGCGTTTGACAGGTCGACGTCTGGCACTATACAAGATTGAACTTAGCACTGCACTGCATGTAAAGTACTGAGAAACATGCTGTAGGTATACGCGAATGCGGCCGCGGGCCGCCTCAGTGGGCGGGAAGTGGCCGCCGCGGCCATGAGCGGCTTGCAGGGGTTCAAGGTTTCTTTTGTATAAACTCAACCTGCATGAATCCGGCCCCGGCCGCCGTGGCCGCGGGCGGCATCATCTTGGATCAGATTGCGCGCGCGGCTCGCGAGCTACCCCGATCGATCACACTCGGAGACTGCAACGTGTCATCTCGTGTCACTTTGAATGCTGCAATGCTGCACCACTACGCATATGGCGGCCAGCACGAGAATTGGAGACAGCAGATGAGTATGAGAAGGCTCCTGCCATTGCGGAGAGTCCTGTCTGAAATTGCTCATTCAGCAGCTGTATCAAAATGACAAGCCACCAAGACAACGGCGACGGCCGGCAGGTCGCTCTGTTGATCCAGAGTGGCCCCGCTTCCGCTGCCGCAGTCCTTGTTGTCAAACAGGCACACGACATTGATTCAAACCTGTGGGAGCTGCCAACCCTCTCACTGAGCGCAGCGGAGGATGAAACTGAACGAGCGGTGCTCGAAGAGCAAGCACAAGGGGACCCCGCACTGCAGCAGGAAGGGGCCATCGACGCGCTTGTGTGCGCAAAGAAGGTGAACGGGCTGTCCCTTCTTTCTGTATTCAGAGCTTTTGGAACAATGTCCAACCTTTAGTGGTGGCGAACAGACTGCATTTCAGGAAATCCGCTTGTAAGGACCGTGCCTGAACATCACACTATGTACTGGCCTTTTTGAAAAAGCGAGAAAAAGCGAGCTGATCGGAGGCTGATAAATATCCGCTGGACATCTGAATGCCTTTCCGAAATTCAAATGAAATTCTGGGGGTGCTCGAACGGCATAATCTTGGAAGCTTGCTCTCATTGCAACTGTGGATAAGTTGAAGACAGATGGCCGTTGCTTGGTGAGATGGAACATCCTTGTTCATCCGTTTGCACCCTTCTGATGTCAGTCTGACCTGTCAAAGCGCCCGCCTTCTGCTCTTGACAATCCATTGTGGTGTGAGTCAGACGACTCATATCTATCACTTGCTGAAACGAAATATTCCGCTTCAAAGACTGTGTGCCCTTTTCAATGGCACTTCAACTTGCCTTGTCTTCTTACTTCTGCCTTCGAAACGAGCATATTGGCGCAGTAAATATCAAAAGCTGACAACCATGTTATCTAGACAACATAGTTTCGTAGCCTACTATGGCTGGCGCAGGGAAAAGGTCGAGCACAACTTGGACAGCATCTGTACTTAGCCCCACAAATTGACAAGACTGCTCCTGGAATGTCCTGAAAACGAGTTTTCTTCCCAGCAAAAGTGTGTTACTCGGCTGCATGCAAAAGCATGGAGGGTTTTTCAGGCTGGGGAAATGAATTTCTCAAACAGAGAGACTCTTAGAAGAGGCGCTTGTATTTGCTCTGATAGATCATGCAGTAATGCATCTCTTACACATCTCTCTGGCGTGCAAGTGCAGATGATGGATGAGCTGGCGAAGAAGCTCTACCCTGGCCGAGTCACGTTTCAGCCCTTGAAGCTCATTGTGGAGCCGGACTTTGGGCCCCGGGAACCGATGCAGACTGCTGTGATCAAGGCGAATGTGGAGGCAGACTTTGACAAGCTGGGTGAGAAGTCCCGGCTTGATACCTTTTCATCATCGAGCTTTGGCCAGAATATTAGAGATAAAGCGGGGAACGAATTTGCACTGCAAACCTCTTCTGCTTTGACTCGGATCTTACGATTTCCTCTTGTTGGAGGAGAATAACATCTCTTCTGCTGCCAGATATTGCGGGGTTTTTTGTTGAACGCCACTGGTGCTTACCGTATTATTGTTGCTTCTTTGCGATGGTATTATCCAGTCTTCTTGGGTGCATGAAGAACCACCGAGCCCGGTACGAACAAGCCTAGAATGTCTCGCACTCCTGTCCTCGATAATCTCTCTCATTCAGCGTGTCTGCATCTGCCAATTTTGATCACTCTCCACGGTGGCACATGTTGTCCTCCTTACCGTCTGACCCCCGTTAGCCGCTGACGTGGCCCTCGTAATTCTTTGCAGACAAGCAGAGCGTCATGATGGTCACGCAGAAGCGCGCCATGAAATGGCTGTCCGAGGGCTCCGATCGCGCCTTCCCAATGATTGGCCCCCTGGCACTGCACATCCTTTTGAGCAACCAACCTGTCGTCTCCAGCTTGCACCCGGCAAAACTAGGGGACATTGAAGGGGCTATGGAATATCCCCCTGGTTTTCTTCTCCTTCCCCTCAGAAGTTCGACGTTACCCCCTTTCAAGTCCACCACTCTTGTAGCTTATGCCCCCGCATCCGCTTATAAGATCGAAGGAGAGGCAGCGAAGATTAAGATAGAAGATGATGACCGACGAGAGGGGACACAAGGGCAGGAAACGGAGCCCTCTGAAAAGGACACAGACTCAACTAGTGGTAGGACAGGCGAAGCATCTGGGAGCGGAGTGAAGGGCGAAAGTGGGGCAACGGGTCAGAGCAAGGCAAAGTCGAAGCCACCTCTTCCGAAGGGCAAGGAGAAAGCAGCTTCGCGCCCGGAGATCAAGGAAGAGCCTCCAGCGGGGGGGACGAACCGCGGCCGTTTCGACCCCCTGAGGAAGTTGCCGGCAGCAGCGAAGGAGAAGAGGGCTCAAGAGGCGGAAAAGAGGCGGCAGGAAAAGGCGGAGAGTCTGAGACATGCGGGCGAGAAACGGCACGAGGGGGCGAGAATACGGGGCACGTGTTTGCTGGTGGACCCAGGGGGCAAGACCGACCTGGAAGGACGGAAACAGGTGATGGACGGGGGCCGAATGAGAGCGGAGCCTTGTGCAAAGATGCGTCTTAGAAGTAGGGGCCCTTTGGATGCTGTTGCGCCGCTCTTTGCAGAGTGACCACAATGCTTTCTCTCATCGTATACCGCCAGATGACCCGTTTCCAGGCAGGATAGAATGCATATACCAGGCTGAGCTTTGCTGTCACGTAGGTCAACCACTTTGCTGACAGTAGAACCCGTGACTTAACTCTCACGCAAAAAGAAGCTCATTGCATATTCTAGTATTCCAGCCGAACGTTGCACTCACGAGTGCGTAACGCAGTCAAATGGTTGAGCGGTGCTTCTCCAAGACTCGTCAGAAACAGATTTTCTCGTCGTCAGGTAAGTCTGCGTGCTAGCTGACAGGTTCGGTCTTTCTCGTCCAGATGCGGAAGGTAGTCGAAAACCTGCCGGGCCCTCCAGTCGTGTTCATAACGCACCACCACATCGATCACGTAAATGGTGAGTATCGCCTTTCTTTTTGCCGCAAGGTTTCTGATACAGAGTACAGGCCGAGCACCTTTTACCCATTTGAGCATCGTTGTTAGAACCAGATATTGAGTTGTCGGCGAAGGCAGCGCAACGGTTATACGTTCTTGTTCGATTGTTGTTGGACAAATCAGAGCCTTACGGTCCTGATAGTAAACGCCTTTATCGAATAGCTGCATAGTCATTACGACGAGGATACCTGTCTCGTTGTGAAGTGAGACTTGTTCATGATTAAGTGCGAGATTTGGCCGAGAAAACCCAGTACCGTTGGACAATCTCGAGGGCCTCCAGCGGGTAGTTAGTTTCGTTGCGAATTGGAAGTCATACAGCAGTTTTTCGCAACTCCAACCCTCAGAGCACAGTAGCTTTGCTGCGCTCCAGAAGCGTCACCGGTTCAAAAGAACAGGCAGTTCTTGCATTATAGAGCTTTAACGCACCTGAAGGTTTCAGGGGCTTATACTGATAGAGAAAATGATAAATGGAAAAACGAGTAGGTCGTCGCCGGTTGCTACTGCACCAGGAGGAGTCTTATACTTGTATGCGCTTTCATCTGCAGCGCTGAGCGTTGTAGAGCGACACTGTCCGGATGCGCTCGTGGTGGGGCACATGAAAACGCTGGTGCGCATCGAAACAGGTGAGGCGAGCCTTACTCTTCCTGCCTGAGCGGGTTCAAGGAGAAATAGCAATCTTGAGACCGAAACCAGGGATTGCTATTGACTTATGCCTTGGCGGAAGTAAGGATTTTGACCCGGAGCTTCGCGATCAGTCATTGGTCGACGAGCCCAGGGTTTCGCCCCCAACCAGACTCTTATCACCAGCCCGATTCGTTTAACCATGGACATGTTTAGATTGCCCGCTCTTGTCTTCGTCATTTCCGATTGTATGCTGCTCCGCTGTCCGCGGAATAGCCTGCCCCAGCAGACTCTCCAAACTTCCATTTTTTTGTCCCCCTAATCATACTGTCCTGTCTGCTCATTACTACGCGTGCCAGTTCACCACGAAGCCGCGCGTCGCACGTTATTGCCGAAGCTTTTAGCCGACCGCTCTGCAGTGCAGGCGCACGCACTATTTTTCGTCCTCCTCTTTCCACATTCTTCGGCCCCTTTCCCTCCCCATTCTTTCACCCTTCCTAATTGGCGTTGCCCGGACTTGACTGAGGCGAAGCCGGCATGAACCGATGTTACTCTTCGTTTTCCTGTTTCTTCTGGACAAATTAGATGAACCGAAGCCGCTTGCTAGAATCCCGATAGCATCCAACGTCTTTCTCAATTCTCAACAGAAGATTCGAAGTCTCATCGTTCTCCACTTTCTGCCCGTCTAGTTGTTACCATGCCATGACGGCATGCGGTCGTCTATCACTCATTCACTCACCCCCGGTTCAATCGCTCCCACCTCGCGCGCTTCTATGACACTCAACTTCCACATTACTCACCATAAAATACTTTTCCGGTCCAGTCGCTCCTGCGTTGCGGCGGCACCCAGTTGCGGGCGGCGACGTTCTCGCGATTGCCGGGCAGGACATTCTGGTGGTGTCCGCCCCGGGGCATACCGACGGCCACCTCGCGCTCTTCCACGCGCCGAGCCGCATGCTCATCGCAGGCGACCACTGCGTCGGGTAAGGTCCACGCCTTTGTCTATCATGTTCGCTGACGTCATGCTGATTGCAGGTGACCACTGCGTCCCGGGTAAGGTCCGCTTTTTGTCTTTTTTGCTCGCTGACGTCATGCTGATTGCAGGCAATTACTGCGTTGGGTGACAGCCCCGTTTCGCCTGTTCTCTGCGCTGACGTCATGCCAAGTGGGGCGCCTTTCAGGAGTGATTTTAGGCGACACCCATTCGACTTTGCTACGGCCAAATGTTAGAAAATTAGACGGAAAGGCAGGTGGTTATGCGAAGCGGGCTTCTAATCTGTATCGATGTAAACGAAGCGCAACCGAAGCAGATTGGCTGGACTGTGTCATACGGCCGTCATTTCCAGACGTCTTGAATGTTCTCACCTTCCATTCTGTTTACGGTGCCCTCTGCCGTCATCTTCTTTAGGCTGTTTTGTTCCTGCCGGCAAGCCGCAAGATGGTCGTACTGATACCAGAAAAGCGCAGACAGTCACCGAGCAATTCAGGATGACTTCAGCAAGGCCAAATCTGCGGTAGCAAACGAGTAGTAAACGAAGGGAATGAACAGAGAAACAGAGATACTGAAATATAAATACAACCAAGAAGAGTGCTTGTGTCACTTGCAGGCATGGGTCCGCGGTTTTGGACGCGAATGCGGGCGCTGACATGCAGGTAAGGTTTCCGACATGTATGCTTCTTTCGCTCTTCTCTCGAAGTGTGCGAACCAACATTCTACTGAAGCCTGCTGCACATATACGTTTATGCTTGTGACAGCTTATGATTGAGCAATTATCGCCCCTCCTTTCTCTCGAGAGTCCGCCGTTTCCCTTACGAATACTGAGATCTCAAGTTGCTAATCCGAGACGACGTCGACGTTCGAGCAGCGAAGAGTAATCGACGCGTAAGAGCATTTGGTTGCAGTTACAACTTCGACGAAAGCGGGACTCTTATACTGGGATCCGATTCGTCCATCCACAAAATGAAAGAAGCCCACATTCTCAAACTCTGTTTCCCGGTCGCAGGAGTACTTTGACACCACGGAGCGCTTCCAGGAGCTGCGCCCCCGGTTGCTGGTCCTGATGCACGGTCGGCCGTCGTTCACGCCGCGTGCCATGCTGCGGCAGTATAAGGAGCACCGGCAAAAGCGGGAGGACAAAATTTCCCAGGTTATCCAGGTGGGAAGAATTGTCGACCTCATTTTGCATGTCCTGTGCGTTCAAATATTCCGGGTTTTAACGGCTCAGCGGTGCATGTTGAAAGCTCCGCACTCGCGGCTGAAGGTTTCATTGTGCTTCAAGGCTGCCCGGTTGCCTATGTTGTCCTGCTATGGCGCCTGGGGCTTCATTTCAGTTCGAGACGAAGCCGAGATTCATGTGCTTGCAAAAACACCTTTGCGTTCTGAGGGCTGTGAAGCGCACACAAGCCCGTCAATGAGCTCTTCCAATTCAGGTTTCAAAGTTAAGTCCCTCTGCACCGCTGATGACGCCTTTATCTGCTTCCACGGTAATTCAACCTAGCAGAGACAAGCGCCCGTTGACCAACCCGTTGACCAAGCTCTCGAGGGCGACGGCTCTTGCAGCAGAAGCTTACTGGCACGTCTTTGACTTGCCTGACGAGATTTGGCGCCGGTCTGCATTCGCAGGGGGGCGCTCGGACGATGCTGGACGTCTTGCGGACGGCCTACAGCGACACGCCCAAATATCTGTGGTCTATAGCGGCGGGGAACGTGTTGCTGCACGTGGGGCGGCTCGAAAAACTGGGGAAATTGCCGGAGGTGAGGCGTGTCTCATAGTTTGGGCTGAAATCTGAGTCTGATTGTGGGCTTGGGCTGTGAAGTTCGTAAGGGTTTAAGGAACGGCCTGGTCAAAAGCTCATATAAACGGTTGGACCCGGTATCATACTGGAACTTTGCTTGGATGACTACTTGCGAACCATCTTGTCCAAGGCGAGGATTTGGCCCGTGATGAAGGCTTGGCTGAAAAAGCCGAAAAATCTAACAAGCGTTCGTTCAGCGTGCTCCTGACTTCTTCTATCTAAGAAGGACCTCCGCCAAGTCCGATTCGCTCTTCCCTCACATGCAATCTCTTTGTGTCTCCATTTTCGTGTCGTCCATCTGACATTTCGGCTTTCGTAATGTCCGGTTAGGAAAATAAGCCAAAAACTCCTTGGAGCACGTGGGCCATGTGAACACCGTTCTAAATGAATGCGTTGTGACATGACAGGATTTTCACGTGGAAAAGTTTCAAGAGGAGAGCACGAGTACGACTACCAGCGTACGACTCCTTTGCGTGGCAACGGGCGAGGCCCTTGGACTCCAGGGAAGTCGAGGCACGGCTGTTGCCTGGACCCTAGGCATAGCTTCCGTCGTTGGGATTACGGCGTTCGTAGTTGTTCGATGGAGGAAGAGTCAAACTTGAAAATTGATCACTTTTCAGTCCCCACAAGCTGGCTCCTTCAACGATGGACGCTCATTGTTGAGGTTCAATGCAAAGAGGCGGCGACTACTTTGACCAACTATGCGTGTTACACAGTCATTGCTCTTGGTATGCACATGGCAACCCGACTACGCGCACGGTCGAAGGTTGAAGATTGCGCCTAAACACAGAGCTTAAATATGTATTCGCGATCACACCGACGTACATAGCCAGTTCAGATGCAACCATAGCATGACGGCGCCGCCAATGATTCATACGCGCTGCGGCCTGCATATATCAGATTCAGCAGTGATTCAGTACTGCCGTACGTGTCAGACCGCGGCCATGCACATTTGCACGTTATAAATCGAGGCAGCTCGCCCGTGGTGCACATGCCCGCGCCGCGGCCTGGTACTATCGCTTGATTGATTGCCACGCATGCAGGGTGATCGAGTCGGCCGCGTGAAGTTGCTAGCACATACCGATCTAATTCCCATGCTGTACATGCCTTGCATGAGGGCTCGCGGCCGGGGCTGCCGTCGACGGCGGCAGCGATCGCCAAGTAGGAACTTCCATGTTCGGAAACTTGAACATGCCGCGCGATTATAGGCTTGAAACATGGTCGGTTATGGGCAGTAACTTATAAAGTTGCTTATAAATGCCATGCATGCGGCGCGCAATGCGCCTGAGTCAAGATGGGGCGCATGATTCGCCGAGTCTACTTTATTAAGTTTGAGATGCGTCCAGGGTACTAGCATGGATATGCCACACGACGCTTCCCCGAGAACGACGGGCCGGACCTGACCGAAGACCCGAGCATAGAAACACCGTCCTGAGTAGCCGCCGCAGTGACGGTATTAGTTTTCATCTTATCGATGGGAACTCGAACGCCGGCCGCTTCACGGCAATTAGATAGTGCACATGCAGTAACGGGTCCTTGGTTGCTAGGTCCGTAGTTGTCGAGAAGAAGTTGTAAGAACATGTCCTTGCGAACAGCACTAACAATGCCCTGTACCCGCACTCCGCCCCATGCCTTTGATTCGCACGGGCTATAAGAGAAGTATCCATGTGCATCGGACCGGCGGCGCCATGGTGGCACGCAGCATGGTACTTTCATGCGATGCGTTCAATGGGTGACGACTACTTGGTAACAACGCGGCTGCACTAATGACGGTCTGGCAGAATAACCTTTTCTTTTGGGATAATTTTTGTATTGTTTGTTGGGTCATCGGGCCGGGCACATGGGTCATGTGCCACATGGACAGCTCGTCCTGCAGCGCGAGCGTCTTTGGGTGAGCGACAAATGATAGCTACCGTCTTGGACAGGTTTCAATGCTAGAATGCCACAAGCGATTGATTGCTCCAACGAATTCTGATCTATCCAAAACCAAGGCTCTAAGAACACTGCTCGCTATCCTGGTCGGATATTTTATGCAAACTGGCACACTGGAGGGAGATACACTGTTCAAATACTATCTGGCGGTACACTACTCCCTAAATCTTCACACAAAAAGCACCTGAATTTGATCACTGTAAAGGGAGGTTGACTGATTTAAACCACAGTAAATCTGCTACCTCTCAAATTACACACACAATACCGGACTCCTCATTCCCACCTAAAGTATAGCTGTGGAATTCGATCCTGGAAGCTCGCAGGCTTAAGGCCCCTCTTGTCGAACCCCGGTGACGTCCGGAGTGCCTAAGAACGTTCTCAGCCTGTGGGTATCAAAATTTACCCTTTGTCATATATACCTATGAATCTCGAAGCCTTTGACATGAATCTCAGCTCTCAGGTTAACGATTAATTCCCTTTGATCATGAGCAGCAAGCTCATGAGCACGCCTTAGGACAGGGTCAAAGGGCCAGTAAGCTAAATCTAGCGCTGTCTCGCTAGGTAAAGATCGGATCCAAAAACGCGGCCGTCACAGCGGCGAAGGTGCGCTTCTGCTCGTCACCTGAGATCGTCGCAAAGTTGTCGCCAGGCTGGGGGCCGTAGTCCCCGGTGCCACCTGCGCATATGCGTTTGCAGCTTGTCGTCGTCAGGACTATTCAACGGCGTAGGCCAAAATCTTCAACCTCGGTCTTGGAATCCATTGAAAACTTAGAGAAGTCGTGCTTCGCAAAATCCGCGTCAATGTTTGTGAACGAGGAGCTTTTGTCAGCATGCTGTGAGTAGTCGCTACCGCCTTCTTCCATATCGACAAAAGCCGTTTTAGATCCAATTCGAGGGGACGACCAGGAAGCGTCGGCCGATCAATCGACACTTGAGAGATTTTGCCTGATTCCGACAGAGTAGTCTTGACGGGTTTGTTGTCAAAGTACCAAGCATCGTGACCGCCAAATCCAAACGACTCAAAGTCCAGAAGATGCAATTTTGATGATAACCATATCTTCCCGAAAAAGCTCGGCGGCCAGCTTGTTGCTTGGGGTGCGAGACCCGACTGCGCGCCCAGAGACCATCTTTCTTGGTTCGTGAAGTTTTCCTAAAAGCGTTAAGATTCACTGTCTTGCTCATGATAGCTCTTGCAAAATCTCTTCCAACGGGAGGCAATTGCGTCCGTCGCGGGTCTCACCGTGGTTCGCCCCAGGCACGACCACGAACTTAGACACAGAGCTGTTGGTACTGTCCGCGTAGAAGGAGCGCTCGTCCTCTTCCAGGCTCACGGTAAGCGTCCCGTCGAGCTGCCCGACAACTCCGAGCACCGGAAGGCTCGAGTTGGCGAAGCTGGTGCCCGGTAGAAAAGTCCCGGCGTGCATTACGAGCGCGCGCACAGTGGCGGGGTACCTGAGGGGAGCAAACCGGGGGATGGGTCTGTCTTAGGGGGAAGAATCCACGACAGGCGCGGAGTTAAAATTTGAGGCGAGAGAGAAGGTTTTACATAAGCGTGTCACGTTTCAGCTTGCAAGCATTTAAGGGGGCAGAACTTGTTTGTCTTGGAGAACGCCTTACAAGACTCGTTCTTCAAAGAACTTTTCTCTGAATGAAAGTTGGAAGTGACCCACTCCATTCGGCATGTCGCTGCCATTTTTGTGCACGTGATAAAGTGAGCGTGACTTCGTGTTCGAAAGTAGCTTGCTTTCGACCTTGTTTCATGTTGACCTGACAGTCTGTTGGCAAGGACAGGACACATCAAGATGCGGTGGGCCCAAATGCTGGAGGACTGGCACAATGTTCTTGTGTGACCCTTCCCCCCGATGTGTTCAACATGAAGGACTTTGCTCACGAACCGAAAACGCAGACGACTGCAGATGTGAGTTGGTCGCCCTGACTCAAAGGCTGAAAAGGTCTTCAGGCTACCTGAGAGAGAGACCGGGAGGAAGTGACAGCTCGACAGTCGGAGAAAGGAACTGTACTCACTCGAAGGCGTAAAGTGAGGCCGCAACAGCCCCTGCGGAGTGGCCCCCAACGACCCATGCGCCTTTCGGCACTGGGTTAAAAGCTGGGTTAGTGGAGTTGATCAGCTGACCAGCCGCGTCAAGGTCGAAGAAAACGGCGGCCCTCAAAGGGTTCTCGATCAAAACGACCACATAGCCATACGCCGCCATCTCGAAAGCGATCTGGAAATAAGCTTTTGTATCCACGGATGTCCCGGTGTAATAAGCTATCCCCGCTTTGACGGCGTTGGCGCTTCCGGCTATGGGCGTGGGTGTGAATACGTACCAGAAACGCTGGGGAGCTGTGGACGGAATTGGAACGGCCGAGAAGGTTACGGTGTAGGTTGCGTTATTCGGATAGGGTTTGGAAGAGTTGCTTCCGGGTGTGAGGAAGGTTTTGTTCGAGTAAGACAAGCTGTTGGTCGTCGCTTGCGGCCAGATTGCACGGTTTAACGACAGCGAAACCAGGTCGGTTAGCGAAGGGGTTCCGCTGTCAACCGTCGAGTTACTACTACAACTGCTGTCTGCGAAGTCGAAGTGACCCAGATTCGAATAGCTCACAACTAGAGCGTCGCTCGGAAGCTTGCTGATAGAATCTTGGACAGCTGTCGAGTTGAAGGTCTCGTCTGCGGCGGTATAACCCGCCACAACTACCAGGTTAAGGGCGGACAAGTTCGTGGTTATGGGCGCTGCGAGCAGGGTTATGAACGTAACCTTGGGCTGCAGGACATAAGCCAGGTCTGCAGCTAACACGCCCCCATCTCCGTGACCCACAAAACCCCAGTACTTGAAAGTGGGTTTGGTTAACATAAGCGAGACCACAATCCCTGGGTTAGTGTTGGTCTCTAGGATTGCCGCACAGAATCCTTGTCTGGCGACTGCCTGGGCGTAGGGAGCGTATGCTTCCATAGCGACTCCGGTTTCCGGAATGATGATGACTCCACGGTCTATTGTACCTGCAACATGAACTTCCTAATCAGCTTCTGCAGAAGCTCTTCAAAATTTTGCAATGGGGGACGGTGCGATTGGGGGTTTTGTGGGCACGATGAGTGACGTATTCTGCTTTGCATACATAACCAACGTTTGAGGAAGACGATCTATTGCTTTAATTTGCCGCCTCCACGCACCTGCGTGATGTTAGTTAAAACCAGGATATGGCAACTGGTGGTGAAAATATAATTATACCATGAGTATTTCAGCTGCAAAGCTGTCATGCGAGCGAGACCGACTCTCAAAGAAGTCATAGATGCAAAGAGGGAAGATGACAAATCAAGAGAGGAATCCGAGGGACCAGAAATGGCTAAAGTAGACTGGAAGCTCCTCTTACAAGATTGGGGGGTATCCCGATGCATTCTCTGTCGGCTTGAACAAGCTTCTCTGGTTTTGGCCTATCGCTGGGCATGTTTCCAGCAGACATGAGTAAGCGCTCACACACACCTGCTTGCTGCATTGTAGAATCATCAGACATTTCTATCTTCTCATAGCTGCAGGATGTAAATACACTCCAAACAAAGGCCAGTATCAGGTCATCCTAGCCTTGCAGAGGAGTTGAGAGACTGGAATCTCCTTTGAACCCCTCTCCCTTGATGAGGGACTCTACGCTCACCAATGGCCCAGGCAAACAAGAGGAAGCGTGCAACCTGGAAGCTCGTCGCTACAGACGATTCTGTCCAGCCCACCTAATATACCCTTTGCGTCTCATTATGCCAGCACAGGAGTAATGACAATGAAATCTGGCTTGCTCCAGTTGTTACTTGTCACTAAACGACGACTCAGAAGATACACTGAAGAGAGGGCAGATGAAGAGATTGAACAACTACAAGTACTTCATTGCCTATTGCACCCTAGATAAAAGCACCAATGTAACCTTCAGAGTTAGCGCTTACTGGTCCCCGCAATAGGGTCAATCACTGCTCCTTGCCCCTCAAAACTCAGGCCCAAACCAGGGACTGACGTCACTGTCACGCGTACGTTGGTTGTCACCCCAGTGGGGAAGCTATACACCGTCACATTTGCGCTGACGTTTGCTGACATGGCCGCCGCAGCGGCACTAGGCGAAGCCTGGCAGCGCAATGAGGCCTGAGGCGAAATGGATTGAGCAGCTGCCAATTCAAAGGAGCTGCTGAGAAGGAGAAAAGCGAGGGCGGAAAAAGTGACACACAAGACGTTGGCGCAACGGGGATACTGCATGGTGGGAGCGAGTCTGAGTTGAGCTCGAGCTGGGGATGGGAAGCAGGCTATTAAGCCTTCCTTTCGGTGCCGCCAGGAGGGGCATGAGTTAGAGTACTTCTTGAACAGGGGGCGATGTCTGTGGTGGATGGAACACCTTTGTTCAATCTGGGGGGAGTATTGCGAAGCGCGCTCGGACCAAGGCAGAACCAAGCTTCAATCAAAGTGTCGACTTGCAGAATCGACATGGCGATCAGACGTCTCTCAAGCGGCCTGCTTGATGATTGACTGCTGTCTTACAACCCTTGGCCATGTCTCATTGGAGATTCGTAAGCCCACAGCTGCTACTTACGCCCGAATGTGAGTATTCTGGAATGGACGTCCCAACCCTGAGCGGGCCCATCGTGATGCAAGCTCTCCTGCAAGTTTGATCAGCTGCTAAACTCAGACTGCCGATGAGAGACAGCTTTTGATACATTCTTGTCCCAGCACCTTGATCAAATACAGTACGTGTGCCTGGGCGCCTCCCGAAATGTCCCACTTTCCTGGACTTTAGTTCAAGTTGCCCGTCTGTGCTGATCTCACTGGTGACAGCCAGACCGCGGTCGCTGTTGTGCATAATGCACATTGAATGCGGCTCCAAGGATTCAGCTCCGAGCAGTTGGAGTGACTGTGCGTCGAGTCGTGACTGTGATTGGCTGTATGGACTCGGCGTGACCTGTCCGACGAATGCTGCGCGTGCGCCTCAATAACCGCTCGCTGACGCGGCCATGCGTCCGTTCCGAGGAATGCGGGGTGGCATTCAGCTGAGCGGCACGCACTCTAGAGTCTGCAAATGCATTTAAGGTGGTAAGACGGTATTCAACAGTGGAGCAATTTCAAAACCCTATGTCTTGATGTATGGATTTGCATTCCGTTTTTTCGAGGTGGTTGAGGGCATTGAGAAGCATGTTTGAAGGCCCCTCGAGCTATGATATAGCATGCGAGAGGAGTACGAAGCACATGAGAAGTTGGCAAAATGCGCAG